TGACAGTTAATGTCAAAGGAAGCTAGATAAAATCAAGAAAAATATACGGTTTCAAACTAAATTTTAAATAATTTGAAAGCGATTTATTTTATGTATAGGAACAATAATCAAAAAGTAACGAGTTCCAAAAACCTTTCCACTAGTGAAATAAAAAAAGTGGGTTTCCATTTAAAAAAAATGATTTATGATAATTCTTTAATCGCTCAATTCCATGACAGCCACAGCCAGTATTATATGACATTCAAACAATTTAATTTTATGTCCCAGCCCCAGTGGTTGTGGTAATCACTAAATTTGCGTTTAGGCTATACGAATTTTTTTGACAGGGAGTTTTTTACGACCAAAAATTTTAAATATTTTTTTCTCAAAAACGGTTAATGCACAGTGTTGAAGAAATGAATGTGATGTTAAAAGAAAATGTATTGAATATGTTAAACGAACAATTGCACTGTGTTAGGTATGGACTTTAATTATTTCAATATGGCTTATGTGATAAGAATATTTGTTAATATAAATCTCTAAGTCTTGACTGATCACTGACTCATCAACGCCCAGACCAAACCCTTGACCCTAGAAAGCTGAAATTTTGCACAGGGGTTCCTTTTATGATGTTTATACGAGATAAGAAAGGATTTTTTAAAATTCATCCCCTAAGGGGGTAAAAAGAGGGGTGGAATATTACAATATTTTTTATTTAAAAAACGGTTAAGTTTCCGAAAAAACGCTTAAACACGTATATTTTATTTTCTTTCTTTACATATTTTAAGATTTTTTAAAAATGTATACAGGGTGTTTCGAAAAATCTGATGATTGATTAATCACGATCCTGCTTAAAGCGCTTGACATAAAAAGCTGATTTTTGGAAAACGGATTGACTTTAGGGTGTAGAGGTTCGATAAGAAGGGATTTTTCGAAACTCGAATTCTAAGGGGGTGAAACAACCCCTTAAATATTAGAATATTTTTTATTTAAAAACCGGTGAGTTTTTCGGAAAAACTCTTAAACACGTATATTTTATTTTGTTCTTTTACATATTTTAAGATTTTTTAAAAATTTATACAGGGTGTTTCATAAAATATGGCCATTGAGTAATCACGATTCTGCTCAAACTGCTTGACGTTTAAAGCTGATTTTTGGCAAACGGATTGACTATGTGGTGTAGAGGTTCGATAAGGAGGGGTTTCTCGAATCTCAAATTCCAAGAGGGTGAAAACGCCCCTCAAATAATCTATACTAATATATAAAATTCTTAAGTGACTCACTGATTAATCACGATCCTGCTCAAACCACTCAAAGTAAGAAGCTCAATTATGGCATACAGGTTGATTCTAGGGTGTAGTGGTTCGATAAGAAGGGATTTTTCGAAATCCCAGTTCCAAGAGGGTGAAACCACCTCTCAAGTATTACCATATTTTTTATTTAAAAAACGATCAAGTTTCCGAAAAAACGCTTGAACACGTATATTTTATTTTGTTTTTTACATATTTTAAGACTTTTTAAAAATGTATACAGTGTTTCAAAAAATCTGGTCATTGATTAATCACGATGCTGCTTAAAGCGCTTGACGTAAAAAGCTAATTTTTGGGAAAACGGATTGACCTTAGGGTGTAGAGGTTCGATAAGAAGGTATTTTTCGAAACTCGAATTCTAAGGGGGTGAAACCACCCCTCAAATATTAGAATATTTTTTATTTAAAATCCGGTGAGTTTTTCGGAAAAATTCTTAAACACGTATATTTTATTTTGTTGTTTTACATATTTTAAGATTTTTTAAAAATTTATACAGGGTGTTTCATAAAATATGACCATTGAGTAATCACGATTCTGCTTAAGCTGCTTGACGTTTAATGCTGATTTTGGCAAACGGATTGACTGTGGAGTGTAGAGGTTCGATAAGGAAGGGTTTCTTGAATCTCAAATTCCAAGAGGGTGAAAACGCCCCTCAGATATTGCAATATTTGTTATTTAAAAAACGGTTAGTCTTTCGGGAAAACGCTTGGACACGTATAATTTATTTTATTTTTTACATATTTTGAAATTTTTTAAAAAATCATACAGGGTGTTCCAAAAAGTTGGGCAATTGATTAGCCACGATTCTGCTCCAGTTTGTATGTTAATGGAAATTCTTGCTTTGCTTTATCATATCACCATTACAAATGATTAATTCGACGCGAACGAAGTCGCGGGTACATGCTAGTTTGTTATAATTTTGTTATTAATTTGTATTATTTTATACTAGCCAAGTGCTATAAATAAAGAGTTTATTATTATTATTAATTTCGAATGCTTCGATTTCTGCGGCACCCGTGCAGGTTACTAAGAGAACGTCTCCGATTATACTCAATTATTGAACAATTAAGCTCGTTTCCAGGTTTCCCTAGGGATAGCGGGGAGAAGATTGGCCGGAGCCGCGCAATAAGAGCAGCTTATTCCCTTATGATATTAATAACTGCGAGAGGGGGAGGTTTTTGGGGGGTCGGGTATGAGAAGGAATAAAGAAAAGACGATGAAGGTAGAGAGAAAGGCGAAACAAGGAGAAAAATTGATGGGGAACAATGTGGAAGAGAAAATGTGGAGTGTATGTATCTTTTCTTGAGTTATAACTCGTCATACAGTCTCAATCTCTATCCCTCTTCCTCCTGTTTTGGTTTTGGAACCATTAGTATACCACTTTATTGAATGGTCTTTAACTGCTGAGCAAGCGTTTCTCTCTTGCCCAATACTACATTGAGGTGTTTCTCAAAGTTGTACATCCTTGGCATCCACAACAAGTAGTTGGAGAAGTAGAATTTCTTTTTTGAGGGTATTCCAAGCTCCTGAGCTGACATTTCCTTGAAGTAATACAGGGTGGTCCGAACTGTACTCCGGAAGTTTCGGCAGCATAGTCTGCAGATAAAAATAAGTAAAAAAGTTCTATAAATGTAGTCCTAAAATTCTTAGTTTTAGAGATACAGGGTGTAGAAGTTTCATTTTTATTTCGATCATCGTGTTTTGACATGAGAAATTTGATTTTGATGTCAATATGACTCCTGTTTGTAAGGGACGTCACCTACATGTGCATTAACTGTTTTGAAGAATAATAAAACTTTTCGACCGTACCTGTAAAAAATTCCGAGTAAAAAAATATACATGTGCGTGACTTTCTACGTAAAAAAATCACTTTTGATAAAAATCGCTACGAGGAACCGTTCTCAAGATATTTAGAATGGAAATAGTCAATACATGTCATTATTGACAAAAAATAAACACGCAGTATTTTTAGTTTTTTTGAAAAAAAAATATTTTTTTTAAATTAATCAAAAATTTTTCGGCGAAAAAATGATGATAAAACAGTTTCTGTTGAACTTTTGGCACAAAAACATTTCAAATTTATTATTTCAGTGTAATAACTATTTAGTCAATATGTTTTTGTTTAATTTATGTCAATGATGACATATATTGATAACTTCGATTCCAAATATCTCGAGAACCATTACTCGTAGCGATTTTTACCAAGAGACTTTTTTTACGTAAAAAAAGTGGTAAAGATATATTTTTTTACTGAGTAGGTTTATACAGGTACGGACGAAAAGTTATTACTCTTCAAACCAGTTAAAATACATGTACGTGGCGCCCTCTACAAGAAGGAGTCATATTGACAACAAAATCAAATTTCTCATGCCAAAAAACTCCCAGACGCCAATTTTCATTCAAATATTGACGTTACTTCAGAAATTATTTAGAAAAAATCGAAATAAAAATGAAACCTCTACGCCCCGTATCTCCGAAACTAAGCATTTTAGTACATACATCTATACGAACTTTTTTACTTATTTTTATCTGCAGAATATGCTGCCTGCAGAATACAGTTCGGACCACCCTGTATAAATAACTAATAAACAAAGGACACGACTGTAAATCGATAGGTCTAAATCATTCCAGGTCATTCGATCAATCAGTCATCCATACCACTACCAGTCAGTAAATAAATAAAAGGCATTTAAAATTATTTTAATTTACATTGTCTGATTTCAAGCATTTCTGTTTGCACTATATCTTTATTTACAAGTATCCAAACAGACTTAATACAAAAGGGTGTGTATTTTGAGCTAATTAGAAATAAATCTGAGAATTATAGACCCGTTCTTGTATCATCCCTTTTCGTTATTCGACGATGAAGGGCTGAAATAACTTCAATTATTCAATAAGACATAAAAAAAGGGTCAAAACATACACTGAATCGGGGATTAAACGCATTATACTCCCTCACAACCCTCGGGAAGCAAAACAATCTGGCTTTTTACGATACTGGCGCCCCCTGGTGGGTGCTAATCGGTCACGTGGGATTCACCCGTCATCTGGGATGGATTTTAGACTCGAAGATATTAGATGGTGTCAAGTAAAATCAATTATTTATTTCATAGATTTCTTATAATATAGATTCGACAATAAAAATGGTATTTTATCGTCGATTGAAAAGATTAATTGATTAATATTACGATTAATAATTAATTTCGGGAGACGAGAATGCAATTTTATTGTCGTGTATAAAACAATATTTTTTCCATAGCGAGTTACCTTTTAAAAAATATTCACAAATTATTATTTCAAGGAATTTATTACGAGTAGAAAAAATATTGTGCTGGGTTGGCGTTGGTTTCAATATAATTTGACAAATAAAGCTGTCTCTTTAGTGTCGATTGCTGATTGAATTGGAGACAGAAATGGCTCAAAACGAAATAAGTAAATTACCAACAGATATTCAGGCTGAGGCGACAAACGCCATATCCAAACTACTTCCATTTAAATCCCGAAAACTTATGAAAAGGGATACAAAAAATTTCAAAAATGGAAGCAATTAATAAACGTGCGAGAAGAAATAGAGTTTTTAACCTATCCTCGCTGTTAAAGTATCATTTAATCTACCCTTCCGGTTAAAGTACTATTTTATCTACTATTTTTGATAGACATAAGGCAATTTTAACAGTTGCTATAAAAAAACATAAATTCTACTGTGAAACTTTATTATTTTTGATATGATTTTCAAATTCGTACAAAGCATTTCTTCGTTTGATTTGTTTTCTGTAAGATCGGTTAAAAAAGCTCGTTGTTTGTGCATATTATACAGGATGAGTCTTAAATAAGTACAAATATCTTTAGGGGTAGTATAGAAACACAAATTTGGTATTTTTTAAAACAAAATGTTTTTTTTTAATTTTTAATATAATAGTAATAAAAAACATAATACCATGATAATATGGTAACATTAGGTAGTAGACTGTCCCTGTAAAAACGTTTGCACTTATTTCAAACTCACCCTGTATACACAAACGAAAAATGTTGTTTATTTATCCTAAAATGATATGCAAAATTCTGAACTCTGAATATCTTAATTTTTCTATGTTTATATCAAATTCACAAAAGTCACCTGTGCAATAAAAAAATTATCACAGACTGCCTTAACTTTAGAGTAACAACTTAAGACAACAATCAACTACAATATTTTAACAAAAAAAAAATGATTTAAACAATGCTGCATGCTGTTTTAAAATATTCTCTGAAGTTTTTAACAACATAATCTTAAAATTGTCTTATAGACATTTAAAAAAATTACGAGGCATTTACAGGAGAACTTTGCTGTTGTCCTGTATTTTTAAGGATAAAAATGCTGCTGTAAAAGTTAGGGCTACTGTAACAACGGCTGGAAATAGTAGAGCTGTGTGAGCTAACGCTGTGTAGATCGGTATAGCGCATAAGGACGCGATGTGATATAAGCTGCGCATTATTCCATGAGCTGTACACCTGAAAATTTTAAAAAAATCATGAAAAAATCATAAAATTCGAAAAATTTACAAGCATGTGCCATCTATGCGAGTTTCATGGAACTAAAAAAAGCAGAAATTTGTAAATAATTCCTCTATACTCTCATAGATGGTGCCATACGTATTTTTAAAAAGGTTTTTACCTTAAATGGCAGGGATATGCTTCGACTACTACCAAAGAGATGGCGCAGAGAGCGCAAACCAGTAGAACTTTCACAATAATTTCAACAGCGGTAAAAATAATGGTGGAATATCCCAAAAAATGGATAAATAATATTTCTCCTCCCACTTGACTGGCCAGCAGCAACAATATAACGATAATCCTGGATCTGGTGGTGAAATCCAGTAGAAATCCGAACAAAAATAGGCCTGGGATCATGAAACCCGACCTAAAATTTTTGTTAATTGAGTTTTTTTCGAAAAATATCCAAGATAGGGCTTACCAGGCTAAAGTTTCATCGTACAGGTCGTCTAAGTAGATGTTATAGTCGAAATCTATGACGCAGTTCGATATTAGGGAAAGAAATGAGTTGTTGGTGAGGTTGCACTTGACAAAATGGTGGTCTGTCAGGTCTGTATCGATGAATCTTAAAAAAAAAGAAAAAGATTATATTAAAACATGAAAAATTGATGCTAAAAAAAATCAAATCAATTTGTTTATTGAACTATAAGTACAGGATCCGGCTGCATGATTATTAGGCTCATCCTATTTTTAATAAAAAACTAATTTTTATTTATAAATAAATAAAAGAAGTGTTTTAAGTCTTTTTTTTAATGTTAAAAATACAATAAATATTCTGAAATCAAAACCAGACTAAATATTTACTATTATTGGTCTGTAGTTACTTTGCTATAAATATCGTAATCTTAAACTAAACAAGGTGTTCAAAATTCTATGCCAGACTTTCTAAAATATAAAATCATTTTTCTTAATTTTTTTTAAATAGAACACCCTGTGTATTATTCTTTTGTTAGATGGACAATTAAAAAATAAATATTTTTCGAATTTAGAGTATTTCAAAAATTTTAACGGTTTCGCAAATATTTGCGTTATTGTTATACAGGGTGTCCAAGAAATAAGTGCAAGTATTTTATAAGGGGTGGTAGATCTCGACAAAAGAAACATATTTTCTCTTTATCGTTTTTCAAATAAGTCCAAAATAACGGAGTTATTTTACTTTGAAAATATCGAAAAAAAATGATTTTTTGCTAAAATTTTGGGAACCACTGGACCTTTTCTGGATATTCTTTCTTGTAAATTTAATCTAATACCTATGTTGCCATTTTATCAAGAAATTATGTTTTTTAACTAAACACTAAAAGAAATTCAAATTTTTTTTTCGCGAAAAAAAACCACAGGCGTTTTTCTGAGGTTGAAATATACTACCAGTTAAAATACTTGCACTTATTTCTGGGACACCCTGTATATACTTTCAATGATAAAATAGACTGATATTGACACAAGACAGTAAGTATCTAGTATATTGAAGATACTAGAGTATTTGCACTTATTTAAGCCTCACCCTGTATAATTCAATAATACTAAAAATTTTCATTGTTCTGAACTTTCTGACAAAAACTAACAAAAAATATATTACTTACCGTGAATTCCTGATAAAAGAATTCTCAAACGTTAACACAGAAGTCTTCACATTGATAAATTCCGAATACTCGACTGTACAGTTCCAAAAATTCACGTGAATCAAGTTCACGTGCGTGAAACTGACGTTGTCAAACCTACAATCCTTAAAATAGACGTTCTCGATGGTGTCTGTAAAGTTTCCAGTAAAATTTTGACCTTCCACGAACTTTTTTTGGCCCAAATACTCCCTTTCACGAAGCTCTTTGATGAGGGTTGAAGAAAACGTTGACATCCCCATATAGATCAACCCTATCAAGAAATGCAACGTTGCCAGTAAGACGGTGGTTCGAAAATGAATGGGTGAAGTGATTTTTTGAAAAGCCTCCCTAAACTGAAAAAAAAAAGAAAAAAATAATTAATAAATTAATTTTTCCTTATACAGGGTGGTCCGAACTGTATTCCAGAAACTCCGGCAGCATATTCTGCAGATAAAAATACGTAAAACAGTTCCTATAAATGTATGTCCTAAAATGCTTAATTTTGGAGATACAGAGGGTGTGGAAGTTTCATTTTTATTTCGATTTTTCCCAAATAATTTCTGAAGTAACGTCAATATTTGGATGAAAATTGGTGTCTGGGAGTTTTTTGATATGAGGAATTTGATTTTGATGTCAATATGATTCCTACTTGTAGAGAGCGCCACCTACATATTTTTTAACTGGTTTAAAGAGTAATAACTTTTTGTCCGTGCCTGTATAAAACTACTGAGTAAAATAATATACATTTACGACGTTTTTTACGTAAAAAAGGTCTCTTGGTAAAAATCCCTACGAGTAATGGTTCTCGAGATATTTGGAATCGAGATTATCAATACCCGTCATCATTGACATAAATTATGTTGACGAAATAATATAGTTATTAGATTGAAATCATAAATTTGAAATGTTTATGTGTCAAAAGTTCAGCAGAAACTATTTGATCATATTTTTTTGCAGAAAATTTATAATTAATTTAAAAAAAAATAAAAATTTCCTAAATTTATTATTTCAGTCAAATAACTAGGTATCTATTATAAATTGACTATTTCCATCCTAAATATCTTGAGAACGGTTGCTCGTAACGATTTTTACCAGGAGACATTTTTTACGTAAAAAGTCACGGAAATGCATATTTATTCACTCAGCAGTTTTATTCAGGTACGGACAAAAAGTTATTACTCTTCAAAGCAGATAAAACACATGTAGGTGCCGCCCCCTACAAATAGGAGTCATATTGACATGAAAATCAAATTTTTCATGTCAAAAAACTCACAGACACCAATTTTCATCCAAATATTGACGTTAGGTACTTCAGAAATTATTTGAGTAAAAATCGAAATAAAAATGAAACTTCTACACCCTGTATCTCCGAAACTAAGCATTTTTGGACATACATTTATACGAACTTTTTTTCTTATTTTTATCTGCAGAATATAAGTTTCTGGAATACAGTTCGGACCACCCTGTATTTGTAGTACCTATATAAGACTTGATTACTTGCTAAATTTCATAATTCTAGGTGAATGGAATATACCCTATAAATTTTGATTCCCTTGAGCGTCGCAAAATACATTTTTTTACAACATAATTTAGACTTACCGAATATAATCCCTGGGAAACAATATTTCTTGTAGGACTGCTTGGCCTATCTCTGTAAGCACTCCTCCCAGGCAGTTCTAGCTCTGTCAAACCGTACTGGGTTTTCGACTGGTTCAATTTGTGGAACCTCTGGTACACAGCCAAGGCCTCCACTTCTCTAGAAGCTTCTAGGAGGTACCTGGGTGATTCTGAAGCCCACATCAAACCCACCAAGCATCCTACAGCGGGTAGAATACTCAACATCAAGAACCTATTAGAAGAAATATGTATTACTAGCGTGTACCCGCGACTTCGTTCGCGTCGAATTAATCATATGTAATGGTGATGATAAAGCAAAGCAAGAATTTCCATTAACATACAAACTGGATAAAATTTTCTCACATTTATGTCAGCATGAAAAAAAAACAATATGGCGATATTATTATAAAACTTGGTAATATTTGAGGGGTAGTTTCATCTCGTTGGAATTTGACTTTCGAAAAATCCGTTTGCCAAAATAAGCTTTTTATGTCAAGCAGTTTAAGCGGAATCGTGGTTAATCAATTACCCAAATTTTTGGAACACCCTGTATGGTTTTTTAAAAAAAATTCAAAATATGTAAAAAACAAAATAAATTATGCGTATCCAAGCGTTTTCCCGAAAGACTAACGGTTTTTTAAATAACAAATATGGTAATATTTGAGGGGCGTTTTCACCCTCTTGGAATTTGAGATTCGAGAAACCCCTCCTTATCGAACCTCTACACCCCACAGTCAATCCGTTTGCCAAAAATCAGCTTTAAACGTCAAGCAGTTTAAGCAGAATCGTGATTAATCAATGGTCATATTTTATGAAACACCCTGTATAATTTTTTAAAATCTTAAAATATGTAAAACAACAAAATAAAATATACGTGTTTAAGAGTTTTTGCGAAAAACTCACCGGTTTTTAAATAAAAAATATTCTAATATTTGAGGGGTGGTTTCACCCCCTTAGAATTCGACTTTGGAAGAATCCCTTTTTATCGAACCACTACACCCTAAAGTCAATCCGTTTTTCAAAAATCAGCTTTTTACGTCAAGCGCTTTCAGCAGGATCGTGATTAATCAATGACCAGATTTTTCGAAACACCCTGTATACATTTTTAAAAAATCTTAAAATATGTAAAAATACAAAATAAAATATACGTGTTTAAGCGTTTTTTCGGAAACTTGACCGTTTTTTAAATAAAAAATATTGTAATATTTGAGGGGTGGTTTCACCCCCTTGGAACTGAAATTTTGAAAAATCCCTTCTTATCGAACCTCTACACCCTAGAATTAACCTGTATGCCAAAATTGAGTTTTTACGTTGAGTGGTTTGAGCAGGATCGTGAGTAATCAGTGAGACAGTCACTTAAGGATTTTATATATTAGTATAGATTTGATTTTAGTAATAACAATTATGTGTTTTAGTAAAAATTAAAATTATTATATGTTTATTAAGCGTTTGTGAGAATTTTTTGACGCCCCCTTGAGTGCTTACCTGTGCCATGAACTCCAGTGTTCTTTGTTGTCCCTGACAATGTCAGCACCTAGAGTAGGCATAGTGACGTGAAATAGAATAGCTGTGAATACAGCTCCTACAGGCCACATAGAATGCATCACTCCGATGTATCTAGATCTAGAAGATCTCGAACAAGCCTCGGCCATGTAGCTAAACACCAAAGGAAACGCACCAGCAATCCCTAGCCCTGAACAAAACCTACAAATAATTTTGTTCCACACTGTAAATTTTCGGTATGTCCTTGAATTGTTCAAATAAAAAAAAAACAGATAAAGAATGTCCATCGTTCAGCGTTACGTCATATATTGTCGAACTCTCTCGATCACTTGCCAACCAAATGAAAGAGATCGGTGACGCTATTACGGCATTTCGTAAATTACTGCATATTCTTTTTAGTGATTGTAATTGTCATTTGATTTGGGGTTATAATTTTGGGATAAATATGAGTAATATCGATGAACATTTTTTGACAATGACAAAATCATATTTTTGCTGGTATTTTAATTGTAGATTTCTCTGGATCCTATTATCACATTTTAGTATTTTGAATGTATCTATAAAGATTTTTGCAAATAACATTTAAATGCTTATTCGAAATAAAACGAAATTCTAATACAACTTTTGCATAAAATCATCTGATGGAGAGACAATATTTGATCTTTTTTTTTCAAAATTTTCATAGATACAGTAGATATGTACTTACCTAGCGGTCATAAAAGTTCCATAAGTTGGCATCACTGATGCCACAGCGGAAAATAGTGAAGTGACAGTGAGAGCAAGTAGAAGGGCTCTTCTGCGACCTATGTAGTCCCCTAGGATTCCCCAAATAAGCGACCCACAGGCCATAGCGAGCAATGTGATAGAGACTATAAAAAACAGAAATAAATTAAATAAGTTCATTAGGAATCATGAATATCCATAATCCTATAGTACAGCCGTATACAGTACGTCTGTCCGTTCTGTAGCTACGGGGTATCCGTGAGAGGGGAAACGATATTCTCTCCATGTTTTTCGTAAAAAAATAGACGACGCGTCCCATCAATAAAAATTCGACAAATTTCCAAGTAGCCAATAAAATGAGTGGGCGGAGCGATTTGCGGTGACGTACTCGTCAAGTCGACGTATAAAATATATTGCTGTTTATTTAAATGTTTTTTGTCCGCATTCCTTTCATAGACATAGATCCAGCAGACGTACTGTAGTAGATTTTTCAATAAAATGGCAATCAAGATGGCTGGTGTCGCCATGGCAATTTGCTAGTGACAGTTAGTAGCTATTTTCAAAATCGAAAATAGTTTATGGACTTTATTTAAATTTATAACAGTTTACTTTTATTTAATCTACCTACAGTAGTTTAATAAGTAAGTATTTATTATTTTATTATTATAAAAATATAACTTCGGTATGGATCTTAGTTTTGACGCACCCTGTACATTTCAAAATAATTTTAAATTATGCACATTGCCTTCCCACATATACCCATAAAATATTTTGTTTCTACATCTTTTCGTTTTCGTATAATCAACCGAGGCGAATGAGGTGTGCCACCCTGTATAATATCATGATAGTTACCTAGCCATTCTTTTTTGTGCTCTTCAATACAAAGATGTAGCTCGGCAGCAGGGAGAATAAAATTCAGCATGCTCAGTTCGGAGCATTCTGAGGCTAGAGCTAGACCCAGTACTATGGAGAGAACCACCTGGGCTTTGCCCATGGCAGCCTGCGATAAGGCATCCTCGTGGAAGCCCACCAAAGCTTCCCCTGATGGTACTGAACCAGTGGGTGCTGAAAAAATATAAGAGTTACTAGAAGATATTCATATCGTTGCCGTTTACACAAAAAGTCGTACTAACAATAATTTTAACCTTATGCTGTAGCAGACAAAATAAATGGCTTGTCTAAAATGAATGTAGAACGTATATGTGAATATATATTTTTTAATTTAATCCACCCTGTATATCTTACCGCAATGGTGAGAGTCGGAATAATTCAAACACCCTGTTTATGAAAAAATTACACTCATTTATTAGGTGTTCAATTTTAAAAGAATATTTATTTTACAATAAGGAGAGTTTAAGAGAATGTTTTGAATCATTAAAATCGCTAAAATAAACTTGAACACTCTGTATATATTATAATTTATAAAACTATTTCCTTACTTCTGGGCTCACCAGATCTGTTGTTCGAAACTTGGTCTAAAGGCGGTACCAAACATGCCGATTCTTCACACATTTTCGTATTTTTTTTAATCTTTCTTTACTGTAACATTTTTTTATAGTAATATTCTTCTTTTTTTTCAAACCATTTTTTCTTATATTCTTAAGTAACTCGCTATAAAAAAAAAGATTCATTTGTCAAAAAAATGCATTTCTAAATTAGACAATTTATTAATATAACTTACCTAGGTTTTTTAAAATGTGACAATCAGCAATATTCCTACATCAGATACAGAGTATTCAAGCCATGACAGCTGAGTATTGATTTTACCGTGCCTCTTATTTAATCAATATGTGTATGTATGCCCTAAGGCCCTGGTTACATTTAACGTTTTGCCTTACGTTTTGCATGACAGAAAAATACATTTTCAATTTTTCTCAAAAAACTACATTTTCATGTTTTTCTTAATTTTCTCTAAAACGATATGGAAATTTGGAAATGTATAAACGGAATCAACTATTTTAGAACAAGCAAAAACTTTTGTAAAGAATACATTTTTCTCAAAATGTCAATAATAAAAAAGTTTTTCCTCTTGTAAAGACAATCTGGGGACATACTGTATAAATAACCAAATTATAATACACAATGTGATACAATGTTCCATATCTTATTTTTTAAGATTCTCACTTCAAAATATACAGGATAATTCAAACATATTTTACGCTAAAATTGTTTTTATGGAAATTTAAAACCTACAATTTTAGGGTATAAATATATTTGAATCACCCTGTAGGTCGATGAAAATATTTTAACATGTGCGTTTTGTTATCGCATGCCCACATATTTTAGAAAAGAAAACATGGAGCTTATTCGGATTTTTTTATGGGCTACCCTGTATTTTCTATTTGAAATAATTTTGTGCGTATCGAAAGTGGCCCACCCCTATAACTTATTTATTTTTTTCAGATAAAGAAACGAGATTGGGTATGTCAGTAAAATGCTTAAAAGATGTCCAAATCGTTTTTTTAATCATATCTCAATTTTTTCAAATGGAACAAGGGTGGCTTATTAGCATGCTTGGAAAAAGCATTTTTTTACGAATAATTTGGTATTACACACTCGGTATTTCGAGTCAAATTGTTTTTTTTTTATATTTCATTCTATTCAGAGTGTCATTTTCTATCGAATAAAGTAGACCAAAATCAATTGAATACGTCAATTAATCCTAATTTATGTCACATACATAAATCTCGTTTTTTATCTCAAAAAAAAATAAAAAGTTATAGGTGTGAGTTACTTTTGAGATGCACCCGGTATATCATTAATAATATCCTCCAAACATGTTCTAATATTATTTCTAAGGTGGATAATGACTTATTTTCCTTTAGTCAAGTAAAAAATAACAGATATGGCAACATTGCAAATAGCATATTAAGCAATATCAGTGAATCATGTTTTTAAGTACGCTTATACGCGTTTGTTACATTCTCGTGTTGTTTTTCGATATAAAATAATAAAAATGTCTCCAAAAACGGAATCCGATGAATTAAAAAAGCGCGTTCTTGATTTTTTGTGTGACGACATCAAAAAATTCTTCTTTATCGACTGCTCAAGTTCCAAATTAAGCAGGAAGGAAATATTTGGTGTTATTCAAGGTCTCCAACAAGATGAAAGTGCGGATGACTCAGCCAAAACATTGAGAAACTACCAGGGATCAAAAAATCAAGCATATTACACATGGAATCGTGAAGATTTAGAAGATATAATATCGAATTCTCCTAATTTGGTCGTGTTGGAGTTACCAGAAGAAGAAAATATTGATAAAGATCAAGTAAAGAAGATTTTAGATCTCGTAGAGAGACGTTTGTGGAAAAAAGTGGTGCTGATTTCCAAGAAAAAAGATATTTTTGATGATTTAGTTTATTGGTATCATAAAGCAGGTGTGCTGAAACTTAATAAAGAATCTGTTCTTCAAGACCTTTTTCCTATTCATAACATAGTTGTTAAAGATTCCTCGGCAGATACTATAACAGATTTGGTTCATAAAGGTGCAGATATTAATGTACAAGATGAAAATAAAGACACACCTTACATCTGGCAGTTGAAAATGGAGCTACACACTTAGTGCATCTTTTGTTAAGTCTTGGAGCAGATGTTAACATCGGAAACATCCAAAATCGAACTGTTTTGCAAGTGGCTTTGGAAAAAAGCTTTATTGACATAGCTAATATTCTTTTAACCGAGAATATAGACGTACATTTAAAAGATGATAATGGATGTACTGCTTTACATTTGGCAGCGAGGCTTGGAGATGTTGACATTATGAAAAAAATTGTTGAAAAAGGAGCTGAAGTGAATATCGAGGATGATTTTGATTGTACTCCATTGATATATGCTTGTGAAGGTGGAAAAGAAGCAGTAAAGTATTTATTACCTCTGATAAAGGACGTAGATATCCAGAAAACATTATTGCACTCAGTTAAAACTGACAACGGTGATGTCATAGATATTCTAGTACATTCTGGTGCTGACGTCAACTTCCAGGATGCTGATGGATTTACTCCATTATTTACTGCAGCTTCCTATGGGAATTTAAGCACAGTAAATGCTCTATTAAACCATGGAGCTGATCCAAATAAAACAACTACTTACTGTGGGACTCCTTTACACAGCGCAGTTTCAAAAAGACATAATGAAGTAGTCAAAAAACTACTAAAAGCTGGTTCTGGAGTCGATGCAATATTTGAAGGCAAGAATATCATTCATATAGCTGCTGAACAAGCTGACAAAGATATCTTGCTTGCTTTACTAGAAAATAATGCAGATGCATTGAGTAAAGACAAAGAGGGTAATACTGCATTACATTATGCCATTTTGAACGATTGTACTGACGTTATTGATGTTCTTATCGCTCAAGGGATAGATATAAACGCCAAAAATGACCAGTTTCATACAGTCTTGTATTCTGCATGTCGCTACGACATTCCAGACGTAGTTAAACGTCTGATATCCCACAACGCCGATGTTAGTATCAAAGAAAACTGCTTAGGATGGTCTCCTTTGCATAGGGCTTGTGAAGAAGGTAACTTGGATGTAGTAAGAGTTTTGCTTGATGCCGGAGCGAATGTCAGTGACGTTACGAAGTTCAAGGACACTCCCTTACACCGTGCTGTAGGTAAAGGTCATGAGGGGATTGTTGAGGAATTGGTAAGGAGAGGTGGTGACGTCACAGCGGTTAATGGTAGAGGTGAAAGTGTGTTAGATATAGCCCGAAAACGGCAATCAAAGGAAATATTAGAACTCCTTGGTAAAGAATCCTGATGACTGTTAAATTTAGCTCATGTAATATTATGATCTTAGTTACTATTTTTTTATTAATTATTAAATAAAAATTTGTGAATTATTTATTGTGTTTAATTTGTCATTTCTAATAATATTTGTTTTATTTTGATATGGTATGCATATCATTCGTTATCTGCTAAATTTTAAGCAAACAAAATCAAATAAATAGTTATACCTATTACCTACTTTTACATTACTGTATTTTTAAGTTGTTATTGAACTTGTAAATGATAAATGAAATATAGTTAAAAAAAAACCGAAAATTGCTTTATTCAAGTATAACAAGGACTTAAGAATACTTAAAAATGGAACAAAACTGTTTGAATTGATGACAAAAATCCGGGATGTTTTTTTAAATAGATAGGGAAAATATGACTTGGATCCAGGTCCCTGCGGTGGCAAAATCACCAGGCCTCTGCAGTGGCAAAATCACCAGGTCCCTGCTGCGGTGGGAAAGTCACTATAGGTCTCCGCAGTGGGAAAATCACAAATAGCCAAAATTTGTTTTTTCCGAAATATCTAGAAAGCATGTATAACTATGATTTTTTTAAATGTGCGTTATTATCACATCCATATTTTGCAAAAAAATATATTCAAGAAAGAAACTTGATATAGAGTTTCGTGATACCGGGTCACCCTGTATATTTAACTGTATTTCGTAATTGAAATACGTGTGAATCTTATAATTATTATTATCTCCGTCTATTTCTTTTTTTTTTCTAATGTTGATTATTAGTAATTTTCGCTAATCAAGTAAAGGATAATGGTATTGGAACATTACACCTTACAAGTATCCTTTTATATTTAGGTATTTATCTATGAAGTACCCTAACTAACTAGCTACCTAAATGTGTCATGTTTTCTATATAAGTAATGCATTTTTGGTTTATCCATTTAATAGTTGCCCGAAGTTGCACATTTATTCATATTATTTGTTACATTTTCATGTTAAAAAATGTCTTCAAAAACGGAATCTAAAGAATTAGAAAAGCGTGTTCTTGAGTTTTGTGTAACCAGACTCAAAAAATTCTTGTTTATCGACTGTTCAAATTCCGGGTTAAACGGAAACGAAATATTTGGTGTTATTCAAGGGCTTAAACTTCTTAAAGTAGAAAAAGTGCAAAAACTCAGCCAAGAGACGAAAGATAGAGCTACCACAGGGGAAACTACTTGGGAAGAGAAAATCAAGCATATTATAAATGGAATCATGAAAATTTAGAAGAAATAATGTCAAAATCTCCTAATTTGTTGTTGTTGGAGTTACCAGAGGAGGAAGATATTGATAGAGATCGAGTAAAGAACATTTTAGATCTTGTAGATAGATATTTGTTAAAAAAAAAATATACTGGTTTCGAAGAAGAAAGATTTTTTTGAAGATTTATTTTATTGGTACCATAAAGCAGGTATGCTGAAACTTAAAAAACCTCAGCCAGCTTTTTCCCCATTCACAATATTGTTGTTGGTTCCTTAACAGATATTATCACAGATTTGGTTCGTAAAGGTGCAGATATTAATCAACAAAATGGAAATAAAGATACACCTTTACATCTGGCAGTTGAAAATGGTCGTATTGACTTAGTGTGTCATTTGTTAAGTCTTGGTGCAGATGTAAATCTAAGAAACAAAGAAAATAAAACTGTTTTGCATGTTGCTTTGAAGAAAAACTTTCTTGACATAGCTCATATTATTTAAAAAAAAACGTAGACGTAAATTTAAAAGATAATGAAGGATATGCTGCTCTACATTTGGCAGCAGGGCTTGGAAATATTGACATTATGATACAGCTGTACCACATTCCAAACATAGTTAGATGTTTGATATCCCATAAGGCAGATGTCAATATCAAAGATAACCATCATTGGACTCCTTTGCATATGGCTTGTAAAAATGGTGAATTCGATATAGTGAGAGCCTTACTCGATGCCGGAGCCAGTGTCAATGACGTCACGAAGTCCAAGCACACTCCCTTACATTTCGCGGTAATTTTTAGTAGTGATAATAAGGAAATTATTAAGGAATTGATAAGGCGAGGCGCTGACGTCACAGCCGTTAATAGTGATGGTAAAACTCCATTAGATTTAGCCCAAAGAGAACAGTCAAAGCAGGAAATAATAGAACTTCTTAGCAAAAAAAAACTGATGAACATTAAATTTAGCTCATGATTATACAGTACGTTTATCCTTTCTGTAGCTAAGGGGCATCCGTAAGGGGGGAAATGATATTCTCTCGATGTTTCTCGTAAAAAATTGGACGACGCGTCCCAACAATGAAAATTCGATAAATTTGCAAGTAGCCAATGAAATGATGTGGACGGAGTGTTTTGCGGTGACAAGTACTCGTCAAGTCCACGTGGAAATGTTTTTTTCCGCATACCTTTCATAGATACAGATCCAGTAGACACAGATCCGTACTTTACATATTATTTTATGACATTAAACAACAAACAAATAACAAATTTATTAATTAGTAAATAAGAGAATTTTGCTTATTGTATTTGATGTGTCATTCTAATATTTTTTTTTATTTTGAGAAAATATGCTTGTATATCAGTCAATGTATTTCTAAGTTATTCTTAAATTTATATATATTTGAAATAAATGCAAAAAATTATAGGTATTCTGTTTTATTTAAAAAAAAAAGAAATTAAACCCAATTTTGGTATAAAAAGTACTGAACAAAACTGAGATATGATATGTCATTCTACTCAGAGTGTCATTTTCTATCGAATAAACATACCGAGGGTGTCATTTAAAAATCAAAAGTTGTAGTTTTTTTTTCGATGAAACAGGAAGTGACCGAAAACAACTGAATACGTCAATAAATCCTAATTTATGTCATATACTAACATACCAAATCTCGTTTTTTTATCTGAAAAAATAAAAAAGTTATAGGAGTGAGCCACTTTTGAGACGCTCCCGGTAGATCTTTTTTTTTCGCAACACTCTCTGTCTCACCCTGTATATATTAATTGATTTATTTTCTTTTTAATTGCTACTTAAAACCGAACATTGATTGCTATCGCTTACAAAATATCATCGATTATGAAACTATAAATATATACTTTAGTAACAAAACTTTTATAATCTCATAAGTAGGTACGATGCTTTTATTTTAAACTAATGCTAGCTCAGTTAGATAGTTAGTATTTAGTGACAATGAGTAGCAAAAATACGGTCAAACTTAATTTAATATCAGCTGCCTGTGAAAACCTAGGTATTGGAAAGAATGGAGATTTACCATGGAAGCTTGAGTAAGAATTTGCCATTGTTTGTAAACGCTTTCACTATTATTATTATATAATTAAATGCAGTGAAGGTTACGCGCATTTATTTACACTGAGATGCAAGGAAAACGCAACGGAATTTTTTTTCGCCAAGTTTGCAGTGTTATATACAGGGTGGTCCAAATTGTATTCCGGAAACTTCGGCAGCATATTCTGCAGATAGAAATAAGTAAAAAAGTTCGTATAAATGTATGTCCTAAAATGCTAATGTGCCGGATGCAAAACATCGGGTATTTACTCAAATTTCAATATTCGTTAAATATTCAAATTTCAATATTCATTAAAAATGGATTGAAGTTAACAGAGAAAATTGTTAGGACTTCATGTAATTTTAGTTGCATATCTATATCTCGTGACGCACCATCATAAATTGAATTAAAAAAACATTCTTTTCTAAATGCATTTATAATTATTTTTAGGAAAGAATATGCCTACTTCGAGCGAATGACAACAGAAACCGAAGACAAAAACAAAAGAAATGTCATGATTATGGGTAGAAAAACGTGGGAAAGTTTTGTAGAATATCCCACTTCTGATAGAATATGCCTTGTTTTATCTAGAAGTAAACTGGATGTAGGGTCTGTTAGACATGTCCATGTTTACCATAGCTTTGATGAAGCTATTAACGCTTTGGAGCAAGATGAATTTTTCAAAAATAAATTTGAGACCGTTTGGGTCATAGGAGGAACGAGTATTTACAAAGTACTGTCAAAAAATATGTTTGAATTTAGCATTTTAAGGAATTTTTTAAATGTTTCTTTCAGAAAGGATTAGAATCGGACAGATTTCATCGACTATATTTAACGAGAATTCATAAAAACTACGATTGTGACACATTTTTCCCGAATTTGCCATCAAATCTTGTCGAAGTTAGGTAAAAAATACATATAATAACAGATAATACTTGTAAATACTCATTTGGATTAAAGTTATAAGATATAATTACATTACTGATAAGTTTTTATTATTTTTATTAATGTTATCTTATCAAATAACGTGTTCATTTGTACATTGCACTTTTAGATTATGTTTTTATGCTATTTTAGAGATCCACAGGTACCAGAAGATATTCAAGAGGAACATGGTATTCAGTATAAGTTTCATATATATGAAAAATAGATTCTTATTCCACAGTCTAATTTATTTTATCATTAAACGTTATATGCACAGAAGCAATATTTTTTTATTCAATTAAAAATCCTATTAGTTAAGTAATTTCTTCAAAACCTGGCAACTACGTAAAAGATAATTTATTTCATAATTAAGCATGGTTTACAATATCCTCATTAGTTGATTATTTTATGAAATAATAAAAAAAATTCCATCTAAACCATTATAAATCTAATTAATATCGATAGTTTAATAAATGATAAGACTATTTTAATAAATTTCCCAATGTGTTTTCTCTGTATTTAAATCATTTTGGCTATTTAATAACACGTAAAATCTCTCTAGTAGTTCAGACGTACCCTAATCTTTGTTTGAAATAGTGCGACGTGCGACATCTACCGTGTCTGTATCTATTTAAAAAATCAGTTTTAAAAAGTTTGAATTTTATTTTTTGTTATTTAGCTGTTTTGTAGCCAATTATTTGATATTACTCGTTGATATTTACATATTTCTAAGTAAAAAATATGAGCGTTAAATTGAATCTAATCGTTGCAGTTAGCGAGAACATGGGAATCGGAAAAAACGGCGATTTACCGTGGAGATTGAGGTTAGAATTTTTATTTTTAAACCGATTAAACCGAAAAAAATGCCTTCTTTGTTATGATAAACTTGTTAAAACGATTAAACTTATATTTAATATATTTTTAGGAAAGAAATGGCTCATTTTACGCGACTGACAACAAGTACGAAGACTCCAAATCGTAAAAACATTGTTGTTATGGGCAGATTAACTTGGGACAGTATACCAGAGAAATTCAAGCCTTTGCCCAACAGAATTAATTTTATTTTAACCAGATCTGATCGAGATTTCAGCCAGTACAAGGATACCTACAAATTTAGTAGTTTAAAAGAAATTATATCCAGTCTAGAGACGGAAAAATTTAAAAATGAATTCGAGAGTGTCTGGGTTATCGGAGGGGCTTCAGTTTATAAGGTAAAAATACTTCTTTGTGGGGTCATTGTGTAGTGGGCATTATTTATTTTCTAGGAGGCTTTATCTTCGCCATATTTCCACAGATTATATCTTACAAAGGTACAGAAGAATTTCGATTGCGATGCATTTTTTCCACAACTACCCGAAAGTTTGAAGGAAATCAGGTAAATTGAGATATTTTTGTAAAATATTTTATGAAATAGGGGCTGTTTTAGTGATACAGAGGTTCCCGTAGATGTTCAGGAGGAACGAGGGATTAAATATACGTTTCATGTTTATCAACGGGTCTAGAATAAGAAACAATGTAGAACTATGTAAGTAAACCATTTATTTTTGTAGTATTTACAGAATAAAACGAATATATACAATATATAATTTCAAAATATTAAAACTTGTAAAGGAACATTGTATAACAAAAATAAAAATAAGTTTATTTTTGTTTATATTTGAATATGTATATGTATCATCTTTCTATACAATTTATTTCTGTATTATCAACTCTACAGAACTAACTATGTTATTTTTCATAGATATACAATTAAATATGTTTTATTACTTTTCTTAATATATTTTCCTCCCAATCACTAGTATTCCTAAAATAGAATAACACTAGCATTTTTGCATAATACACATTTTGCTATACTATCTATAATTGTAGCAGTCTTTGGAATTTTTATTTAAATATTCTTTAAAATTGTTTTTTCGAAACTAAATATTTGATAGAATTTTTAAATTAAAAAAAAACAAACAGATTTTGGGCAGTGGTACTTAAATGATTTCATAGAACCATCAAATTACCATATATAATCAAAAACTATTGTAATTAAGGTTCGTATTTTTTAATTTGTTTAATGTCAATTACAAAAAAAATAAAAAAATTGCTGGGATTTACCAAAATTCCTGAAAACTAAAGTAAAAACCCGGACGCGATGTTGCCGATAACGACAAAATTTCCCAAAAGTCGGCTATAAGATCTCGAAATTGTTGCCACAGTTTACGAAAATTCGGAGAACCCAACTAAACAATATGCGTTGTTGCCCATAGTGACAAAAATTTTTAAAACTTGACGAAAAACTGAAAAGAAAAAACCCGAAATCTAACTGAAAACCCGGACGCGGTGTTGTCGATATCCACAAAATTTCACTAAAGTCGACTATAAAGTCTCGACACTGTTGCCATGGTTTAAAAAAATTCCGGAAATTCAACTAAACAAATACAAGTATGCGGTGTTGCCGTTAGTGACAAAATTTACTAAAATTTAACCATGTTTTGTAGTACGGTGTCGATAACGAAGTAGTTAAAGATGTTGTCATGGTTTACAAAAATCCCTGAATCCTTGCAATCTCACAAAAATCCGCACAGCGTTGCCATATTTTACCAAAATTCTTGAAATCTAAAGAATTTCACAAATAGCGACTATAAAATACGTAGTGTTGCCGTAATTTACAAAAATTTCTGAAATCTAACTAAAATCCCGGAGATGCGGTGTTGCCGTTAGCGACAAAATTTCCTAAAAGTCGACTATAAAATCCGTACAATGTTGCCGTAATTTACGAAAATTCACGAAATCCAACTAAAAAATCCCGGAAACGCGGCGTTGCCGTTAGTGACGAAATTTCCTGTAACTTGACTACATTAATTTTGTTCCGGTGTCCGTATCAAATATTTAATCGAAAAATCTCCAATAATTGGTCATATTATCATCATCCAGAGTTGGCTAGAGGGCCCTAGTCAGAGACTCCTGCTGCGGCAACTGGTGTTTTTTAGTGTGTATGCTAATCTGTCTGTCGCCAATATGAGTGGCTTGATTCGACCAATCACCCGTCTGTAACGTGGACCTGTAGAATCGCGACGTTGCCTTGTTGAAAATGGGCAGCAGTTCGTTTGCTTCATTGGAAAGAGCCTGTGAAAAATACCACGAAAATCAGACCAAGTCAATTAAAAAAAACCTTCACCTTACCTTCATGTATATGACAGCATCAGTTCCATAACCTTCACAAGAAAGAAGAACCAGATCTCCGTGGAAGTACCTAGCGTAGAGCCTGGATATGGGTAAACCATAACCGTACCCCGCCAAAGGTACTGTATGTGCGTCCGATTTACTTGGTTGAGGCGCGGTAGAATACATATATTTGAACAAGTGATCTGTGGTTGACCTTGAGATACCACCACCTTGGTCAGACATCTGAAGAAAAAAAAACGATATTAATGTTCTTGCAAGATCTTCAATAAAAGGCAGTACCTTGAGACATATATCTTCTCTTCCCCTTGATACGGTCACTGTAATGGGTGGAAATAAGTCGCTGGTATTGTGGTACTCCATAACCGCCCTCATCGAATTCTTGAACAGCTCGAACAGCATGTGATACAGGTGTGATGGCACGTAAACAATATTAATAAATTGTTCTTTCTCGAGCTCTGAAAAGAAATTAAGTGAAACATGGCAACAAGGTTTTATACAGAAACTTGAACAGGAACAATTTGTCTTATGAAGCAGATGATGCAGTGCCTCGCCAATAAATTTAACAAAATACACGTTTGACACTTTAGTTGAGTATTACGAGTTTTTGGTTTAAGTAAATTGTGTTGTGATACTTTAAGATGATTATTTTTTATTATAGGGTTGTGAGCTTTGTTTGTGTAAATACCTGTTCATATACACACACCGGAAAAATCTAGGGATATCATTTTATTAAAGTTAAAAGTTATCATTTTAATAAAGTTAAAAATAATGTTAAAATAAATGTTTGAATAAACAACCACATATTTGTAGGCCGATTCTTTCTACTTCGATTGAAACGAAGTAGTCACACTAGTTATTTCTAAATTTGCGATATTTGCAGAAGTGTTTGTACATTTTTTGTCAAATGTATAAAAAGCACCTAGCATCAATTGTTCGAGTTTAACCTGTACTGGCTCTGTTTTTATGATAACTGGCCAGAATGCATTCAAATAACTCTGTTTAGTATTAAACGACATTATGGATCGTAGACATCTTAACAGAGACGAAATGCTAAGGGCAATGGGTATGTTCGAAGCTGGAGTGCGCCAAATCGACGTAGCTAGAGCATTAAATATAACGCAAAGTGTAATATCGCGATTAAGTGCATGCTACCGTGAAAGTGGTGATGTTGCTGAAAGGCACACAGGGCGACATCGCATTATTACCCCTCAGCAAGATCATTTTTTACAATTAAATGCTCGACGCCGACCGACTCTTACAGCACCAGAGCTTAGTTTAATTCTCCAGGAGACACATAATGTAACCGTTAGTCCTGACACTGTTCGCAATAGATTAAGAGAGGTCAACTTAAGAAGCAGACGCCCCTGGAGAGCTCAACCCTTAACGAGAGGAAATCGAGAGGTACGATATTTGTGAGCTCAAGATCATGGTCGAATGAACAATGGGCCAATGTTCTCTTCACGGATTAGTCACGCTTTGGAATTCATCCGGATTCGAGAAGGCTTAGGGTATGGAGAACCAGGAAATCTTATTCGGTTGGATCATGTTCAGGAAGTGCACCCTTATCAAGGTGGAACAGTTATGGTCTGGGGAGGAGTCTAGTTAGGCCGAAAATCGATCTCGTTTTTCTTGTAAGGTTTCTAACAGGAATCACATATCGTGATTTAATTCTTGAGCCTGTCGTGTTACCATATGCCAATGATTTTGGGAGAAACTTCATTCTCATGCATGACTATGCACGGCCTCATACAGCCAGAGTGGTAAGTGAGTTTATCAATGCTCATCAATTAAACATCTTACCCTGGCCGGCAAAATCTCCTGACCTCAACCCCATCGAGCACGTATGGGACGCGGTCCAAAGAAGAATTTTGAGAATGTTCTCGGTTCGGGCCGTGAATGCAGCGCGGCAGGCTGTACCTCAAGAAGAGATCGACAACCTGATCAGGAGCATGGAGAGACGATGTAGGGCTGTAATGAACAGTAGAGGAGGCCATACCCTTTATTAAGTAAAAATGGTTTTATCTTTTTTTTTAATTCACAGTTTAGAATAAAAAAAAATGTGTGTATTTTTTTGAGTTCCATAAAAATCAAGGTAAATTTGAATAATTTTATTATATCAGAAATGCAAATAATAAAATTACTGACAATGGCTGAATAAAATTGTAATATCCCTAGACTTTTCCGGTGTTTGTATTTATAACAAATTCATTTTTGTTTCCTAAAAGATTCTGATTAAAAGAAAATATATAAAAGTGGTCAACGCTGTGCCGGTCAAGCTTAATCACGTGACTAAAAGTTAATTTGGTACAGTGTTGCCAGAACTGAAGGATTTCCTTCAATATGAAGGATTTTACTATCAAATTTTGTCAATTGAAGGATTTTTATCTAAAAAGAAGACAATATGAAGGTTTCTGGCAGTTTTGCACAATAAAAATTAATAAAATATGTAGTAGGAGTATTTATTTTTTTCCTACGTCAATTTTTTCACTTTAACGTTGTTTAGTTAAGGATAACTCAGTTTAAAGCAATGTTGCTGTCATAAAGTCCCCAACTGGAAAGATTTTAACATTTAACAAAAAATGAATAGATACATTTTTATCTTTCTACACGTCTTAACTAAACCAAAGTTCTTGATGTTGAAAATAAATAAATAGGTATACGGAAAACATAACATAGCGTCTTGCACGATTAATTATTCTCGGTTCAAGAAGTCATTGTAAGCAATGAATTTTTTAAAACATACCTTATAATACTGCTGTCGAGTATCAATCAAAGCATTTTTGATCCTGTTATTTTTTTAATAAAAGTTTATTTAAATACATTGGTGTCCAAAAATTACCAGAAATAAGTTTTTAAAAATTTTCTCCTAATTATAAAATAGCAAAAATACTCGAAATTTGGTGATTTTTCACCAGATCTGGAATTTTTTGTGAAGTAGAAAGAATACAAAGGTATTTTAAGGTTCCGTTGAAGAAATTCGCTCGAAAATTTCTGCCAAAACTGATTTCGTATGATCTATAATACATGTGTTACTTACCTAGATGATATATCCTTACATGGATAAATCAACGCCATATGTTTAGCATTAAAAAATATGTCTCCAACATCACGACATGCCATTTTCAAACCTTTCTTTATTGCACTTATGAAACGTTCAATAGGTTTGTCTTTCTCGAGGACCTTACTTTGCGCCATGCACATTAAAAGTTGCACGTATTTCCAAAATAAGCACAATTTTGTACGGTTTAGAAACATGGTACAAAGAAAACAAGGTATGATCGATAGCGGCTCCAATTTCGTTAAGTTTGCGCATACCACCTGTGACATCATACGCCATACAAAAAAATATCCATATTGTTCAATTGCCACTAATAAAAAAAGACCTAAAATAGGGTAGAATTAGGACATAACCCCAAAAGTTATGTCAAATCATCGATCTTGACATTTGAAAAATTATTTTCACATTTATTGTGTCATCTGTTTGACAATTTGAAATTGGCGCGCGGGGCTTGTCGACCAATGGTGCCGTTTATCACCTGTGACGTAGTGACCAACCTGCGCAATATCATACCTTGTATTCTTTGTATCATGGTTTAGAAAGTACAAATTATACATTGTTATGGAAACCAACTTTTCATTGTCATCATATTGTCATAATTATATGTCATAATCTTATTTCCATTGTGTAACGACGCTTGTTTTTTGCATTTTTTAATTTAAAAATTGTATTAATTACTCTTTTATCGACCGCTTTTATATAGCCAAGGATGCAAGTGTGTTCAGTGAGAAGTTAATTTTAAATTTGTGCAATTATCTTTCTATTTTTTTTTCATTGGACTTTCTAAATACTCGTAAAAATGACTAGAAAGTGTTTAGTGTGTGGAAGCTTTAATATAAACGTCCCCGAATTATCTTTTCATAGGCAAGTAAAGTATTCAGTCGTTCTTTTATTTATATTAAGCCACATGCATACTTTCTATTTAGATTTCCTAAAAATATTGATATTCGTACGGAGTGGCTAAATGTATTTTTTATATAAATTAATTTTTGTAACAGTAAACATTCAATTTATTGTTCAAATAAAAGCATTTTACAAATCAAATTTTTAAAATTGACGTTCAAATTTGGCGCGCGGACGATAGGTCCTCGACAAAGATAGATAGAGTAGAAGAACCGCGTGTGCAACAAAAAGAGAAGATAAAAAATGGAAGTCGTTGATATGTTTGCGACAGTTTCCATAGCGATTTACCTATCCACGTAAGTATATATGATCTAGGGTTACTTACGATTGTGATGTATCTCGTTCAGTATGAGTTCCGGTGATGCTAGGTAGTACTGGTCGCACAGAAACCTGGCGTTTTCGTACGCGTCCCTTATGACGCTGACGATGTCGCACTGGGTATCGATACAGCCGATGTACTTGCTCTTGTTGGGGCCGGGGGCCCTCTCCAGCAACCCCCCGAAAATCAGAGCTGAAAACAGGTGGACTTGTTTACAATTAGAGAGGTTATAACACAGAAAGAAAAAAAAACATAATCAGGGGAGATACAAATATGTAGAGGCTTGTTGCATTCTACGAAATATTTATTACTTATATATAATTATTCTCAAAGTGTTAGAAAGTATAATTTGTGAAAATTCTAAAAATAATAGTTATTTTTATACAAAACAATAAGATGGTATTTTATCGTCGACCAAAAAGAAAATTTTAATTAATTTCGGGAGGCCATAATGCAATTTTATCGTCGTGTATAAAACAATATTTTTTTCCATAGCGAGTTACGTTTTAAAAATATTCAGAAATTATTATTTCAAGGAATTTATTACGAGTAGAAAAATATTGTGTTGGATTGGCGTTGGTTTCTATGTAATTTAACAAATAAATAAACCTGTCTCTTTAGTTGCCAGTTTTGAGTCAATCTTTTTTAATTCTCTTTCGTGTCGATTCAGGGGCCGGAAAGTGAAATAGCAAAAGCGGTTCCACCGTTTCCACGGAAATTTCAAATAAAATAGTTCCAGCCTCGGGCGCTAGTTGGTAGTGAAATTAATTTTTAGGTTAAGAAATTGCTACTAGTTATTGCCAGATGGCGTTCAATCAGATTTTTTTTGTAGTTTCCAACGGCCATTGTCATACTATTGTCAAATTCTCAAAAAATATTGTCGTTGTCATAGCGCCAATCATAATATTATCAAAAATGATTATATCAAAACGTTTTTCAAACTATAATTTGTTATATGTGTTTTATTAGACAATTCCTTTTGTTTGTGGCCCTAAAAATATAATGTAAGTCTTTTATTTTTGCCATCATTTAAGTACCTATTTATATTTACTCCATTTACAAAACTTTGGGCGTATTACGTTGGTTTTGTTTTATTATAATAAACGATGTTAAAATATTTGACTTATAAATAAAAACTTTAAATAATAAATAATATTTACACATGTCTGGCTTTAATTTGATTTAATAATTGTATAAATTATACTGTTAAATCTTATTTTTTACACATCACAACGATACTCGTTATTAGTATTGTTGAATTTGTGTAAAAAATAAGATTTAATTATCAAATTTAATTATTTTAGAGCAAAATTCAAATACGCTCATTTAAAAAGCCCGCGCTTCGATCCATTTAAAACAAGCCCTACTCAATAGATGGCGCCACTTCTGTAGGACCATTTTTCAGTATGGCAGAGTCCATTCTTTTTCTAGCTAGGTATATTCTTTGTGTCGATTGCTGATTGAATTGGAGCCAGAAATTGGTCAAAACGAAATATGTAAATTACCAACAGATATTCAGGCTGAGGCGACAAACGCCATATCCAAACTACTTCCATTTAAATCCCGAATAACTTATGAAAAGGAATACAAAAATTTTCAAAAATGGAAGCAATTAAAAAACGTACGAGAAGAAATAAAGTTTTTATGCACCAAGCCTATAGTAGAGATGTTAATACAATAACAGTAAAAATAACACAAAAAAACAAAGAAACTAAAAATTTTAGCTGATATCTTACTGTGCTGATTTATAAGCATCCTGATTGATATCCTGGACATGTAGAACCTGTCCAGAAAGTACTGTATGCTGTGTTCCGTGTGGCTGTCAACGTCGTGGGACTCTTTGAGCTCCAGTACCCCCTGTGCCATTGTCTCCACAACGTCAGAATGTCTGTTCCTGATTTTGACCAATTCGCTACAAAAATGCTCCAGAATATCGGGGTTAGGATCCTTTTTCTCGAATTCCAGGATCTCTTGGAAGCTGCGTATGTACCTGGCGGATTGAAAATCAACCCCGTTGGATAAGGACGTTATACAGGGTGTTTCAAAAAACATGTGTCATCCCTCGTGGGGAGATTGCTCAAGTAAAAATAAGATTTATTTTTCGTATCAACATAGGTCCGATTCTGCTTTGTTTCGTAGCTACAGGGTCTTAAAGTCTTAATATTTTTTTATTATTATTATATTAACTTATTAATTAATAAAAATTTTAAATAAGTACTCATCAAAAAATATGAAAAAAAGGTCCTATAAACAAAGGTATGGAAATGCATAGTTTTATAGTCTAAAATTAGTTTTTTTGTAATTATCTGAAATATCATTTTATTTTTTTATTTTAAATTGCTGTAGGTTGGACTAATAGTAATAATATTTAATAATAAATTAGGTAAAATATAATTTATTAATTTTATTTTTATTTTAATTTTATTAATTGTGATTAATAAAATTGCGTATCTCATCAAGCAGGCCGAATTCGACGAAACTTTTAATTGGCATTAAACGGCCTACAAAATTTTGATATCAAAAGAAAAAGAATCAGAGGGGCCCATGTTTTTTTTTTGAAAAATATTCCAGTGATAAACCATATGCCCGTCCTTGATGAATTTATCGACACTTTTTTGGCCATTAAAATATGTCGCACATACAGTAACTTTTACCCTCAAAATTTCATTTTCTTGGAAGAAAATTATAATAAATCGAAAGATTATTAAGACTTTAACACCCTGTAGTTACGAAACAAAGCAGAATCGGACCTATGTATGTTGATATGAAAAATAAATCTTATTTTTACGTGAGGAATCTCCCCACGAGAGATGGCACATGTTTTTTCAAACACCCTGTATAAAATAAAACTTAAAATAGTGCATATAGTAAAAACACAGATTATACAGATTATAAACTTTGTTTTTTCTTTATTGTTTTTCGTGGTTCCAATTTTCGGAATCGGGTACTAGTTAGGTTACTAGTTTGCGCACATAGCACGTAAGCCTGTAAAATTGTGCACAGCGCCTGACCGGCACAGTTATTAGAGAGATATCGGAAAACCGAATAGCGTCATGCAGTATTTACGCGTACCTTATTATGGTTACGATATGCGCGAGTCAATTTTTAACGCAACACCCGCTAATAACGTTACCGCCTGACGTAATTTGCGGATCAATTACACCAAGCGCTATTTCTAAATAACGTTTAAAAATTGCTTAAATGGGCATGTGTGGGTATTTGACAACCGGAGCCGGCCGGCGAGATATTTTATTTTGGGTTATGTTTGAATTGTTTTGAATTATTACTTTAGTTTTATTAGGTAATTTGATATTTAAGTAGCTGGGATTAGGTTTAATTAAATAAATATGGCCCACAATATGGATTCCACCTCTTCCAATATTAAAGAACCTATAAAGAGGCTTAGGTTTACAGCAGATGACGACTTAGCCCTTCTAAGAGAATTTGTTGCTAAGAGAATTTGTTGCCCTAAACCCACTGGCAGACGTTGAACAATAAAGCACTGGAAATAAGCACTTTAGCCCTTTAGTTTTAAAATACTCAGTAAACAAAACAATTTCAAAGTTTTAAATTCAAAGCTAGGTTAAGTTTAAATAGCGGACGCGACGCGATCAGAATTCATTCCGATCCGATAACTATAAATGAAGAGAGTTAATACCACCTCACGTAAAGGAAATAACACCTGGCCTTATTAACGTCCATGCACGCTATTCGGTTTAGCGATATCTCTCTATTACGCTGTTTATTGTTATTTTACGTGAGTTTATCTTTGCGCACAGGAAATTTAACTCGTTTGCACATCGTCATAAAAAACAATTTTCGTACCACGAATTAAGCCCCGTTCTCAGAACAACGTCGTGTCGCGGGCGACACAGTTTGACATTTCAAACAACCAATGGGAGCTGTACTAAATTTAAAATTGACAGCTGTTTGAATTTTGTACAAATCTGATTGGTTCTTTTGTCGTGTCGCTGGCGACAGTCGCAGTTCTGAGAACGGGGCTTTAGGGACAAGATTTTTATCTGTATACTTATAGGATACCTAATCTGTGGTAAAAATATAAAATATGGATATGGAGTTATATCTCTACATAAACGATTTTTTTTTAAATTTATGTAAATACTTTCCATTTATGATATGTTGTTTTTATAATAAACTGATAAAAAAAAATAACCTTGAACCAGAGTTGCATTAATGTTATTTTTTCGCCGCTGTTTTTTTTGTGATTTCATTTTTGAAATAATTATGATTGTGATTATCATGTTAGTCACACGACACGTTATTGCACATACGTATATAATTATTATATTTAAAAAAACACACACATTGTGTGGCAACAACATGCAAATTACTAGTAATTCTAGCCCAATAAACATAAAAAATAAATATGTATAGTCTAATCTATGTAATAAAAAACAGTCTGTTCTAATTACAAAACAAAGTCTAAAAAATATAAAAATATCACTGTTATATAAATAAAAGGGATGATAATCTATGGAGAGGTTAAAGAAATAGAAAATAGATAACAACCACTAAATACACAGCGGAATTATTATTTTTAATTGTGCTTTCGATGAAAAATTGACAGAAAAATCAAGAATGCATTTTTTACAAAATGTCAATAATAAAGAAGATTTTCTCATGTAAAGACAATCCGGGGACATACTGTATACGAGCCCTAACAACTATATGTTGGGACAAGGTCATATTTTGGAATTATTGCTCTGGCTTTTTAAAATGACTGAAAAATATATGTTTCATTTTTTAAATATAAACATAGCCATATATCCTAAACAACTTGACAATATTTTTATGAATTTGTAAATCAATCCATATTTACAGTAGCAGATTTTGTTCATAAAAGGACAAATTTGCTAACAACTAAATGTTGGGACAAATATTTTTAAATAATTAATATCATCATAGGCGGCTTAGCTATAAAAGTTACAAATGTCGCAAACTGTTTACTTCAGCATTGACAGCTTGTAAGTGACTCGATACTTTGAGTAGTGAGATTTACTGTAAGTAATTTTATTTTTTTTAATTTTCAATTTTGTTAATTATTTAATTCAAAGTAATGGTCCGTGGAAAAGCTACAAATCAAAAACTACGCGAAAAACAATTCGAAAAATTTCTGATGATTTAAGTATTCCAAAAACCACGGTCTTTAATATAATAAAAAAATACGGCGAATCTGCCAATGTAGACGTTAGAGGTAAAAGTTCGGGAAGGCCAAAAGTTGTATCTCAGAGAGATTTACGAAATTTAGTAAAAATTTGCAAGTCTGCGAGAAGTACTCTTCGCGAAGTAACAGTTAAATGGAATACTGTAACTGGTTTAAATATATCTACAGAATGTTGCCGAAAATATATCCATAAATGCGGTCTAGGGTTTTACAAGGTAAACTTTATTTTGTGTTGATAATCAGTTACATGAAGATTATTGATACAAATTCTTATTTAGGCCAAAGAAAAACCACTACTGACAGAAATTCAAAAGAAAAATCGCTACAATTGGGCAAAATCTAAATTATCGTGGACACAAAATGATTGGAATAAGGTCATATTTAGCGATGAGTCTAAATTTGATGTTTGCGTTGGAGATCATCGAAAACGAATAATCTATATATATAAATCTGACTGTCCTGACTGATACTGACTCATCAACGCCCAGACCAAACCCTTGACCCTAGAAAGCTGAAATTTTGCACAGGGGTTCCTTTTATGATGTTTACGTAAGATAAGAAAGGATTTTTAAAAATTCATCCCCTAAGGGGGTAAAAAGGGGGGTGGAATATTACAATATTTTTATTTAAAAACGGTCAAGTTTCCGAAAAAAACGCTGAAACACGTATATTTTATTTTCTTTTTTTTACATATTTTCAGATTTTTAAAAATGTATACAGGGTGTTTCGAAAAATCTGGTCATTGATTAATCACGATCCTGCTTAAAGCGCTTGACGTAAAAAGCTGATTTTTTGGAAAACGGATTGACTTTAGGGTGTAGAGGTTCGATAAGAAGGGATTTTTCGAAACTCGAATTCTAAGGGGTGAAACCGCCCCTCAAATATTAGAATATTTTTATTTAAAAAACGGTCAAGTTTCGAAAAAACGCTTAAACACGTATATTTTATTTTCTTTTTTACATATTTTAAGATTTTTTAAAAATGTATACAGGGTGTTTCGAAAAATCTGGTCATTGATTAATCACGATCCTGCTTAAAGCGCTTGACGTAAAAAGCTGATTTTTGGAAAACGGATTGACTTTAGGGTGTAGAGGTTCGATAAGAAGGGATTTTCGAAACTCGAATTCTAAGGGGGTGAAACCGCCCCTCAAATATTAGAATATTTTTATTTAAAAAACGGTCAAGTTTCCGAAAAAACGCTTGAACACGTATATTTTATTTTCTTTTTTTACATATTTTAAGATTTTTTAAAAATGTATACAGGGTGTTTCGAAAAATTGATTAATTGGTCATTGATTAATCACGATCCTGCTTAAAGCGCTTGACGTAAAAAGCTGATTTTTGGAAAACGGATTGACTTTAGGGTGTAGAGGTTCGATAAGAAGGGATTTTCGAAACTCGAATTCTAAGGGGTGAAACCGCCCCTCAAATATTAGAATATTTTTATTTAAAAAACGGTCAAGTTTCCGAAAAAACGCTTGAACACGTATATTTTATTTTCTTTTTTTTACATATTTTAAGATTTTTAAAAATGTATACAGGGTGTTTCGAAAAAATTGATTAATTGGTCATTGATTAATCACGATCCTGCTTAAAGCGCTTGACGTAAAAAGCTGATTTTTGGAAAACGGATTGACTTTAGGGTGTAGAGGTTCGATAAGAAGGGATTTTCGAAACTCGAATTCTAAGGGGTGAAACCACCCCTCAAATATTAGAATATTTTTATGTAAAAACCGGTGAGTTTTTCGGAAAAACTCTTAAACATGTATATTTTATTTTGTTGTTTTACATATTTTAAGGTTTTTAAAAATTTATACAGGGTGTTTCATAAAATATAACCATTGAGTAATCACGATTCTACTTAAACTGCTTGACGTTTAAAGCTGATTTTGGCAAACGGATTGACTGTGGGGTGTAGAGGTTCGATAAGAGGGGTTTTCAATTTCAAATTCCAAGCGGGTGAAAACGACCCACAAATATTACAATATTTGTTTTTAAATACGGCGAGCCTTTCGGGAAAACACGGACACGCATAATTGATTTTGTTTTTTACATATTTTGAAATTTTTAAAAAATCATACAGGGTGTTCCAAAAAGTTGGGTAATTGATTAATCACGATTCTGCTTAAACTGCTTGACGTAAAAAGCTTATTTTTGGCAAACGGATTTTCGAAAGTCAAATTCCAACGAGATGAAACTCCCCTCAAATATTATACCAAGTTATATAATAATATCGCCATATTGTTTTTTCTCATGCTGACATAAATGTAAGAAAATTTTATCTTAGTTTGTATGTTAATGGAAATTCTTGCTTTGCTTGATCATCACCATTACAAATGATTAATCCGACGCGAACGAAGTCGCGGGTACACACTAGTACGAAATAAAGGAGAAGCTTTTCATAAAGATTGCTTAAAGAGTGTTGTTAAATTTCCTAAGGGGATTATGGTTTGGGGTTGTATATCAGCAAGAGGTTTGAGCAAATTAAATTTTATAGATGGCACTGTTAACGCCTAAAAATATCAACATATACTTGAGACCTCACTTTTGCCTAGTGCTCAAGAATTGTTTCCAAACGAAGACTATATTTTCCAACAAGATGGAGCATCGTGCCATTCAGCAAAATCAACTAAAAATTGGTTCGGTAATAATAATATAAAAGTTCTATCCCATCCAGCAAGTAGTCCGGACCTCAATGTTATTGAAACTGTGTGGCATAAAATGAAGCAATATTTAAGAAAACACCCACAACGAACAATTTTTGATTTGCGGACAAAACTGCAGGAAATTTGGGATAATTTTTCTCCTCAAATGTGCCAATCTTTGGTAAATACAATGCCATTAAGGGTTCAGGCAGTTGTTAAGGCGAAAGGTGATGTAACTCCGTATTAAACAATTTTCTTGTTGTGCTGTCCCAATATATAGTTGTCAGCAAATTTGGCTTGATTTTAGCAAAATAAGCTATTATCAAAAGTGATTTGTGTGCAAAGTTATAAAAATATAGTAAAATTGTCTAGATTATATTGTAATGTTTGAATTTAGAATAATAAACAAAATAAATTGAGTCGTTTTAACAAATTACTATTTTTATTGCAAAAAAAGACCTTGTCCCAACATATAGTTGTTAGGGCTCGTATACCCCAGTGGTTGTTTTAAATACATAATACCGTATGATCGAGAAAAAACGGCGTCAGCGATGGCTATGGAATGAAGATCGCTGTCATTTTAAATGTAAATTTATATGGGAAATGTCATTGATGTTCATTTCCCAGCCAACTGGACGCCGTTTTTTTTCGATCATACGGTATAAACATTTATAATATACAGTGTCGCTGTTAAGTATGGAAACGGTCGATTATTAGGTGAAATATAGGAGGTACCGCAAAAAGTTAAATATAAAAGTTATAGGGTTTATAAATATCTATTAGCGGGTAATAAATTTAAGTATACAGGATCGGTCATAAAGTCGTGGCACATAAAAGTTTCATTTTTTTAAATGGAAACCCCTGTATATTATTGGATATTTCGGTTCTTCCTTCAAATCTAAGCAAAAATCGAAATACACACAATGGTCCTCAAAGCAACCGTTTCCGAGTAATTGACTTTTGAAAATATCACTTAAACAATTTGATTTAATTAATTTCGATATGTTCAGTCTCATTTAACGATGCCATTCTGCCGAAACTGTGATACTTAATCTTAATAATATTTGACATTAGTTCTCAAGTTAGCACTTATAGATGTATAAAATGAGAGTATAGCTATAATCTGGAAATTACAAAATTTTCGTTTAACATTTCAATGCTTCAATTTATGTACATTGTGTATCACGATTTTTGCTTAGAATTGAAGGAAGAATTGAAATATGTAATAATATACAGAGAGTTCTATTTAAAAAAATGAAACTTTGATGTGCCACGACTTTATGACCGACCCTGTATACTTAAATTTATTACCCGCTAATAGATATTTAAAAATCATATAACTATTGTATTTAATTTTTTGCGTTACCTCCTATATTTTACCTAATAATCGACCGTTTCAATACATAAAAGCGACCCTGTATATTAAATTTGCTATTTTTTTTTAAATCATCCTCAAAATTGTACAATCGAAAATTCTTTTTAATTGTTACTATTGTTAGTAAGTTCTGTGTAACTTTTTAGCCCTCCGTATGTCTAACAATTATGCTCTTTTTAAAACAGTGCATATACAGGGTGGCTCAAAAATTTGCATTATTTTTTTCCTAATTAGGCATTTAAAAAAAAACGTTCTGAAACACGATTTTATACAGATCCTCAGTTTTGTCAAGTACTTTTTATAGTATCAAAATTGGATTTAATTTTTTTTATCGTAAATTAAATGATCGTTAAGTCGACTGGCTGTCCAGTGAAGAGGCTGTGCTAAAACTGTTTTATTTATTATTTTTAGGACTTACCAGTCGTTGACAGCTATGACAGATGGCATCCTGAGAAGGTTATCCGGTAGGAGGGCTATTTCTTTCATGATGTTGGCTAGCCGGACGGGCAGTTCTTTACGGAGGAATATGAATGATTTTTCTTCTGAAGCATTGAGTCCTGGAAAGAACGCGAATTAATATACAGGGTGAGAAGGGTTTACGAATCTTAAAATGGAATTTTAAGATTCATAAACACTTTTGCGATAAATAATCAATAAAAAAAAACAACGATTATAGAACCAATATATTTGCAAAATAGACTTTTTTTTAATTCTATACATGATTCTACTAGTACCAATTATCATTAATTAATATCAGAGTTAGATGAGTTCTTATCTTATTTACATATATTTTTTTAAACCAGTGTCTTGGATAACAACACGAAAAATATAAAAGCATTATTATTAGTATTTTTTACCTTCTTTAAAATACAGAGTGTAAATTTAAAAGTAATGATAAAAAATTAGGAGAAGATCACCCTGTATAAAATCCGATTTAGGCCCTGTATACCGGGTGCGTCTCAAAAGTGGCTCACCCCTATAACTTTACCACAAACTTGGTATTTAGAGTAAAATTGTCATTATCAACCGCATGATACAATTTCAAATAAACCATATGCGAAAATGTCAAAAGTGGACATATTATATGTCATTCTATTCAGTGTCATTTCCGGTGGAACAGGAAGTGACCGAAAACAATTGAATACGTCAATCAATCCTAATTTACATATGTCAAGTACTAGCATATCAAATCTGTTTTTTTTTAACTGAAGCCACTTTTGAGACGCACCCGGTATAAACAATAAAATATATGTAAACATAACTGCATATCTAAATACCGTATGATCGAAAAAAAAACGGCGTCCAGCAGGCTTGGAAATTGGAAATGAACATGATAACATTTCCTATATAACTTTACATATTATAAAATGACAGCGATCTTCATTTCATAGCCATCGCTGACGCCTTTTTTACGGCCATATTGTACTACATATTTAAATTAAAGAACATATAGACATTATTAATAAAAAAATAAACATTTTAAATTTAATTTTATGATATTTTTAGCGGTATTTTTATGATGCATTTTATTATCTATTTGACAATCATATATTAACTACATTCTCAGTATGAAGTAATTTATTATGCATGTTATTTTAATGTGCGTCCTAAAAATATATACCGGGTGTCGCAATATAAAATAAACGGTTACTGAGTTGATCGCTTTTAAAGCTGCTAGACTATCGGACTATGAAATGAAGAACGTCATTTCCAAGCCAACTGGACGCCGTTTTTTTTCGATTATACGGTATTAGATCCACACAAGTAGGTAGTTTACATTTTATCAAAATTTTACCGTGATATAGTCCTTAAAATTGATATAAATTGAAAGAAACTTTGGCTAATTCATTATTTTCGTATATTTATTTGGAACAGACGAGATATCTGGATGATTAAATCGAAAATAATAAGGAATTCCTAGAAGCCGCTATTTTTGTCAACAATCGCTCACAAACCGCGTCATGATACAAAGTCCGCGGATGTTTTTATTTACATACAAAAAAAATTGGAAAAGCAATTCCAGCTCATAGGCGTACTCAAGTTTTTATATTTTAATAAAAAAATGCGTATTTTTTTTAACGGTATGCTAATATTGAAGGGGGTGATTCTTGGTCCTATTCTAAGACAAAAACCTCATATAAATGTAAATGTAAACATCTTAATTTCTGAGATACAGGGTGGTAAAATCTTGTAATTTTTTTTTTTTAATAACTCTATTTTATTACAGATGAAACTTAATACACGTCTTTTATGTATCAAAATACCTTTTTTTTTGTGTACAAAGAATTTTATTTACTTCAACCAGTGTCGTCCTTACGGGTTTTACATTGAATGTTTTTGGAGAAAAAGGTGGTACACCACTGACTTCTCTTAAAATAAAAATTATCGTTATTATTATTTATATTAATATGCATTTTGATGCATGGAAGGCGTGTATCAAATATAACATTAGAGATATATTTTGAACAAAAAAAATTAGAAAATTTTACCACCCTAGTGTCTGAAAAATTAAGATGTTTAGGAAACATATTCATATGAAGTTTTTTTCCTTATAGATCCAAGAATCACCTTAAATATTAGTATATCATTAAGGAACACCCTGTATTTATCCTTTTTGTTTAGGATATTTCGAATAATCAAATATGTTAGGTATATACCCCGTATAACGTTTGAAATTGTGTCAAGTTCATTTATCCACGTACAAAATAAAAAACTGTAACCTTGTTCACATAAAATTACATGAATTATATAAACAAATATATGTACTTAACGTACTTAGCTCTCTAGCTGAAGTGTTCATAATAACTTTTGTTGTCTTTGATATCAAAAATCATTAGTAAACTGATATTGTTTCTGACTTTATAGCTCATTAGACACAGAAGTATACCTATTTATTTACATGAATAATCTATTAGGTATCAGAACTAAGTATAGAAAAATTAATTAAATGCATATATTATATTACTAAAAATCTCTCTGTATATTGTTAATCAAGTTGTTGGATTTTTGCCAGATTAATATAGATTTTATAATATCCAGGTTTGAACTTTATACTGTCGTCACTACGTGCACCAGATTCATTTTATGACTCTCTACTCTCAATTTTCTATTTGGCAATAAAGTACTTTATTGTTAAAATCCATCACATCATTCTGTGACCTTAAGAACTCGTTTAAAATTAATCCAATTGATGGCGAAATACTCATAACAAATACATCCGATACTCGTCAATTAAAAACAATAACAATAAACAATTATACAGTTACAAACGTTGAATGATGAAACTAGTTTATGAATTATGCACTTACCAAAATCAATAAATTTTTTAATTGAAAGAGGTGAAGGGTTGAACTGCGAATAGAAGTCCAGCATCTTGGAGACGTTCTGCAAACGCGCTATTATCCTCATTTTGGAAATTGTTCGTTTAACAAACGGGGAAAACACTCAATACCAAACAAACAACTAAAAGATTTTCGAAAACTGAACTCCGGCTAGCTGTGGGATTCTGTTTTAATTGAATGACCTTGTGTCAAGTCGAATCACACACAGTCATCTGATTTGTTGAAGTTGTATGGTAGGCAACCAAACATTCACGCGCTTTGTTTTTTGTATTTTTTTATTTAATTTATTACTCGGGAGAGTATTATTGTTAATAAAACACATACGTGATAGTAATATTCTCCTTAATCTGGATGAATAATTTTACATATGTTTATAATAAAAACATAAAATCCTCAAGTTTTCTTCCTAGTGCAACGCCCAGCCACGGCATATATATGTGCCGTGGCCCAGCCCTAAGTATTTTGAATTTTGAAGTGACAACAATGTCAATGTCAACGTCAGTAGTTTTTCTGAAAACAACTGAGAAAGTTAAAAAAAGTTTTTTCTGGATACTTTTGTGGTAAATTTTACTGATTGTAAGTTTTTTTTATAGTTTTAACGTTAAAAAAGATGCGAATAATTTTATGGATATAAAATAATATCGATAAACGATATTCTAGTCACTATAAAAACGACTTATCGACCGTGGATTTTGATAATACGTGTTTTTCAGGTTGGCTATAAATCTCGGTGAAATACTGAATTCCGTTTTTGTTCTAGAACATTATAAATTGGGTGATTGCACAACTTATTGTCAGTTTAGAATTTGAAGCATGGGCAGAAAAGGTAAAGTTCTGATAATCCCTAAAGACCTGTTATGATTCACGCTTAAATTAACACACTTTTAGGTAAGAAGAAGCCTACAGAAGGAGGCGAGCAAGCTCCTGCAAGCCAGGGATCTCAACCCGGGCCGTCTGCAGGTCCTCAAGCAGGCACGAGAGATGGTAAATACGACTATAGAGTTTTTTGTGTGCTTGTTATTGACTTACGTTATATTTTTTATAGGCCAACAAAAAGAGAAAACCCCGCCACAGCAACAGGCTGGAGCAGAACAACCGCAACAGCAAGGAAAAGGTAAGAAGCAGAAGGGTCCTAAACAGCAGCAAAAAACAGAGGTAGGACAAGGAAGTGGACCACCACCGGTTGCCCCTGGACAACCACGGGAACCTCCACAGCAGAGAGGACCGCAACAAGGTCCTCCACAGCAGAGAGAACCACCGCCGGGTGTCCAACAACAGTGGGGTCCACCTGGACAACAAATGGGACCGCCTCAAGGACCTCCACAGCAGAGAGGACCACCGCCGGGTGTCCCACAACAATGGGGTCAACCTGGACAACAAATGGTACCGCCTCAAGGACCTCCACAGCAGAGAGGACCACCGCCGGGTGTCCAACAACAGTGGGGTCAACCTGGACAACAAATGGGACCACAACAAGGTCCTCCACAGCAGAGAGGACCACCGCCGGGTGTCCAACAACAGTGGGGTCCATCTGGACAACAAATGGCGCCGCCTCAAGGTCTTCCACAGCAGAGAGGACCACAGCCGGGTCTCCCACAACAGTGGGGTCCATCTGGACAACAAATGGCGCCGCCTCAAGGACCTCCACAGCAAAGAGGACCTCGGGAACCACCACAGGTTGCTCCGCAACATACGGGACCGCCACCAGCACAAGGAGGCGCTCCACAACAAAGAGGACCACCTCAGCAACAAAAGGTAATTTTTTTATAATGAAAACATGCACAGGGTGTTTTAAAAAACATGTGCCATTTCTCGTAGGGAGATTCCTCGCTTAAAAATAAGATTTTTTTTTTCGTATTAACCGAGGTAAAATTCAATGTATTTATTTTCTACATCCAGGGTTGGGTAGGTAGAAAATTTTGTATTTTTTCTTTAAAAAAAAGAGAAATCTGGCAACGCTGTCGCCATCGCTTGTCACTCAAAGTTGATGACGTGCATCGGAAATTGTTTTGCGATTACCATAGGTACCTTGGGTACTGAATTAATTGGTGTTACCTTAATAGCAGCAGAGTGGCGGTCGCCAGCAGCAGCAGCAGCAACAGGGTGGAAGAGCACCTCCTCCTGGATATGTCTCGTCTCCACAAAGTCCACCTCCACAGCAAGGCGCGCCTCTACAACAGGGTGCTCCGAGACAAGCTGCGCCGCAAAGACAGCCGCCAGCAAGGGGGGCCACGCCGCGTGGGGATGCAGGACAACAGAGAAGCCCCGATGCAACTAAAGGTAAAGACTTTCGCTGCGTTGACAACAATTACTAAAAATATAGACCATTAAAATTTTTTAATCAAGATATAACCGATACGTGTATTTATTATTTTGAAAATATTTGTCATATTATTTCAATATACTTTTTATGTAAATTTTAAACAAAAATTAAATCATATAACGATGAATTCTTTTTTAAAAATGTTTTAAAATGCTACTTCGAAAAATAGCTATGATGAATGGGCGACATAGAATCAGTAACCAGAAAAACATTAAAATAATTATTAATGTCACTTTTTCTGCTGTTTGTATACTGTTTCACACATGATAATAAAGAGTTGATTTGGATGTCCGACGATATTTTAGATTTGTGTTTTTTTTTTGAAAGATTCTTACATTACATTAAGTTCCACTTCAATAAAAAATCCAGGTCTCTACTTGAAGAGACAGAGTTGATGATGGCCGCAGAAAAACGAAACGCCTTTGGCGTCAGCAAAGGATAAAGCTAAACATCTTTTTAGGGTTCCGTACCCAAAGGATAAAAACGGGAACCCTATTACTAAGACTTCTCTATCCGTCCATCTGTCACAAAGGTCTATCTTATGAACCGTTTTTATTATAAAATTATTATTATTATTAATTATTATTTCCGTTATTTATTGCAAATATTCTTGTTAGGGCTGTCCGCCGGTATCGAGAAAATGCAGATTCGAGTCGACAAAGGTGACGAGAACATCGTGTCAAAGAATCGGATAACTCCGGGTACCAAAGGCCGAAAAATTCCCATTGAAACGAACCATTTGAGTCTGAATTTGGGCAAGCTCAGTATCGCCTACCACTATGACGTGGCGATTGATCCGGACAAGCCGAAGAAGTTCATGCGACCCGTAATAGAGTTGTTCAGGAAAAAACTCTTCCCCACTAGGTAAGTCTAGAGAGATGTGCGACAATATCGATATTTAGTATCGTTTTTTTTAAAGAAAAGTTAATATAAACATTCCAGATAATGCATATATTACTGATAAAATACATAAATCTAGGGATGGGCAAAATTATCGATACATAAAAATATCGATATCGGGGTTTTCAGGTCAATTTTTGAAAGAAAAGTTAATACACGCGTTCGAGATAAAGTATGTATTATTGATAAGATATGTAAGTATAGAGATGTGCAAATTATCGATACTTATAAAATATCGATATAGGATTTTCCAAGTCGTTTTTTGAAAGAAAAGTTATTATAAACATTCCAGATAAAGCATACTTGAAAAAATATCGATATCAATAACTCTAGGCAAATATCAATAACTCTAGGCGATTTTTTGGCAAGGATTTAAAGGATACATTAATGATCATATAGGTGAATCTAGGGATGTGCGACAGTATCGATTCGTCTAAATATCGATATAGGGGTCTTCAGGTCATTTTTTGGAAGAAAAGTTAAAATAAACATGCCAGATAATGCATATATTACTGATAAGATAGATAAATCTACGGATGTGCAAAAGTATCGACGTGACAAATTATCGATACTTAAAAAATATCGATATAGGATTTTTCAAGTCGTTTTTTGACAGAAAAATTCATATAAACATTCCAGATAAAGCACTATAATTAGTTATACTATTAATACTTGAAAAAATATCTATATAGTGATCTCTAGGTGATTTTTTGACATATACTCCGGTGATCTTATTGATGAGATAGGTAAATCTAGAGATGTGCAAAAGTATCGATATTTGAAACAAATATCGATATAGGATTCTTCAGGTTTTTTTTGAAAGAAAAGTTAATATAAACATTCTATATTACGCATATATTATTGATAAGATATGTAAGTCTATTGTTAAGAGTTGTATGTACAAAAGTATCGATATATTAAAATATCGATATATGGTTCTTTATGGTTTTTTTTGACAGATAAAGCATATATTATTTTTGAGATAGGTATTTATAGGAATGTGCAAAAGTATCGATATATCAAAAATTCGATACTTCAAATATATAGATAAAGAACTTTTCGGGTCATATTTTGAAACAAAAGTTAATATAAATATTTAGGTAAGTCTAAATTTGTGCCAAAGTATCCATGTGTCAAAATATCGATACCTGAAAAAAATATGCGTTCTTCAGGTTATTTTTTGAAAAAAAGAATCATAATAATACTCCACATAAAGCATGTATTATTGATAAGTCTAGAGATGTGTAAATGTGTCGACATGTAAAAATAACGATACTTTAAAACATATCGATATAGGTATAGTAAAGTCATAATAAATTTAACGAAATTTTCTGAGAAAGGCGGCGTTGTCAAATGGCGGAAAACCTCCCTAATTTTAGGTATTTCATAACTCAATAAATTTACTACTGTATCTTTTCAGACACTGTAAAATATATCGTAATCGCAAATCGTACAGGGTGCTCAAAAATTAGTTATTCAAATATAAAGTAATTTTTCTTTTTTAATGGGACTTTCCTTTTAGATGCACAATTAGAAATTGCATAATACAAAGTATCCTTGATATCCAAAAAGTGACAACTTTTACGAAATCTCGAAAAAGGCGGCAGCGTTGCCAAGAGCCGGAAAAATTCCCCAATTTAAGGATTTTTTTACGTCTTTTCGCAGACATCCAGCCTTCGACGGAATGAAAAACTTGTACACCCCCACCCCGCTACACAAAGATCTATCTGTGGTGTTCGAGGACACGGTCACCATAGACGATGGAGGTCGACCCAAGGAGTACAAGGTCCAGATTAAATTCGCAAACACGGTTGATATGACACCGTTGCGCAATTGCTTGCAGCAGCCAGTGACACCGAGGGAAGCCATGCAAGTGGTGGATATCGTGCTGAGAATGGCCCCCGTACAGAGTTGTATACCCGTGGGCAGGTCGTTTTTCATCAAGCCGCCTAGGATCATTGATTTGGGACAGGGTAAGTTATGTAGAATATAATTTTTTATAAAGACAATATGACCAAAAATAGTGGTCCAATTTTTTTTATAAAGACAATATGACCAAAAATAGTGGTCCTATATTTTTTTGATGCAGTGTGCATTCACCAATTAATAGAATACTTAAATGCTCCTGATTTTATCTAGTCTGGTTTTTTTTATGGTGATATGTTAAAGACAGTGTTTACAAAACTCGACCAATTATTGTCGACAACATTAGAAAGAAATTATTGTAGCTGCTTTTCGAGGTAGAACTCCACATATGTCTTTTAAAATAAAAAGATCCTTTTGAAAAGACAATCATTTTATGCAGTTAACATGAAAGGAAGCATTTTGAGCATTTGATTTAATCTAGCTAATTTTTGTCATATAATTACAGGTTTCTATCTAGTTTTAATTCTGTAATAATTAAAATATGTTTTAAACGTGTATCTTTTTATTACCGTTGAGTATTTTACTCTACAATCTTCAATTTTTGTTAAATTAAAGAAAGGTATATCAGAGCCACCTAGATTTTTTCAAATGATAAAGAGCTACTGACGCAAAATCATAAAAATTAAAATATCAAGGAAAATCTTTGTCTGAGCGGTAGGCAACCTTAATAATATTTTGAAGACACACAAATTCCCAATGGAACACCGGAATAATATACTGGGTGTTCCATTTAAAATAAAGGAGTAACTTGCTTTTAAATGTGACTAATGTTCCATATTAATTTTGTCTCACCCTGTATAACTTTCCGGGTCAAATTTCAATTTGGTTTAACATACAATGGTTACTGTAATTAAATATCAAGCTATACAAGGTCAACTAAAATTTAGGTAGCTGTTATTAAAATTTAAAATTTACTCTTCGTTTTCACAAAATGTCAAAATCCTTTTTAGGTATATGCTTCTTTAATAAAACTCACCTTTATTTTTTTCCAAGAATTCGAAAATCAATTAATGTATAGGGTGTTCCATTTGAAAAAAATAACTTTGATGTGTAACTTTTTTTTGGGACACCCTGTATAATTCCATATATTTTTATAGTCTGTCCAACGAGAAGATCCTTGACAGTGATAGATGTGTCTGTCATTTTAGTTTCAAAGTAGTTTATTTTATTTTACAAAGAAATAAGTTGGTATATATATTTAAAATTTGATTGACAAGATGACAAGTGATTACTTCAAAAATTGTGAAAAAACTGTATAAAACTGAAAAAATGTAATCGAGTTATTTTATTTAATAAAAACGGTATGTGTTAATACAAAACAAACAAGAACAAGACACTACATCTACATAATTTTTTTAAACCAGGACCTTTTGACATTATTTTTCTGCAGTACTAAAATCCATTATTTACCTCTCGTGTGATGTCGATATTTTACAGCTACTCCAGTTTTTAGTATATGTTTAGTTCGATCCTTCTACCAGATACGAGATGCACTTATCTACGACGAAATGGTATACAAACTATTACAAACTTTATCGATGGCAACTTCATTAGTGTATAAGACTTTCTGCCTGGACAGCGAGTATTAACCATAAACTGTGCTCAGGGTCTACAGTTAATTTTCACTCGATTTTTCCTTCACTTGACTTCAAAAGACACAAAACACACGTAATAATACGAATCAAAATGCATCATCTTCCAAAACGCAGGGTATTTAACAAAAGTTGACAGAAAATTACACGAAAATTATAACCTATAATTTGGCAAGACTTTGACAAGCGTCAAAAATGACAAAAATCTAAAGGCGAGTTCATACGCATCGGTGTCCGTTTGTCGTTCATCGTTCCGTCAAACCAATAAAAATTAAATACGATCTGTCATTTTTAAATAAACCAATAAAACTGGTTAAAAACAACAAGACACGACGTATGACGGATTTATATTTAAACCCATCCATAGATAACTTAAAAATTATTAGAAACTTTTTTTAGTAAAATAAATAGATTGGTATGGGACGTCATCTGCTTTTTTTCTGTCATCGTCTGTCGAAATCTTACCTGAGAAAAAAAACAGAGTATATAAAATGCTTTCAGCTAACCTACATATTATGCTAGCAAAATTTCATTTCGATATAAAGTCCCGTTCTCCTTGGAGCTTCCGCGGCGTATAAGAGGCGCCACCCTGTACACTATTTTTTTGACACCCTGTATATTCTCTTCGCAGGTATGGAGATGTACAACGGATTCTACCAGTCGGCCATACGGGGTTGGAAACCGCTGTTAAATGTCGACGTGGCTCACAAGGCCTTCCCGAAAAATATCCTCGTCATAGACTCGTTGGCTGACCTGCTCAGCGACTTTAGAACCACCGTCACTAGGGATCAGTTGCGCCAACTCAGCAGTTGGCAGGAGGAGACGCTGAGAAAGTTTATAACAACTTTGCGCATCCAGTACGAGATTCCCGGACATCCGGGATCTAAAAAATCCTACAGGTATGTGGCGAAAAATACCTAAAAATAAATATTTTACATTATTTTTTTGTTTACGTTTATGCAAAGCCTTTAAATCTGGTAAAGACACTGTCCCACACTGAAAACCAGAAACATAATTTCGAACTACTAGGTAAAAGTAATTAGAATATGTCAGTTTTATTTGTTTCTTCCAGTAGCTTGTCATAAGATCATACCCTTTGAATAAGAAGACTAAGGAAGGAGCATATCAAAAATTTTCGGTACACCGCGATGGGCCTCAAATATGGCCGACTTAAATTCCGGTTTATCAGTGTCGTTCTAATTTTATTTAAAAAACGTAAAACTATGATGTAGGGTAGACGTGGGGTAGACTCAATAATTTGTTGTTTTATTTTACGTTGCGAATAAATGTTGGTAGTTATTAAAATTGTTATAAAAATATATAATTCTAATAAAAATAGATAAGTTATAATAAGTATTTATTAACACAAACATCCGATACGCTACTGAAGCAGGTAAGTCAAATTAACGTATCTAAATTCTTTGACATCTAATGTTTGACAAGTAATAAATAAAAGCTAAAATGCAAGAAAAATATATAATTTAGTTAATTTAAATGAATTTCATAAATGATCGGTTTACTACACGTATGTATATTATATAGTCACTTACTAGCGAAAAGTTGTTCTATTATTTCACTCAATTTTTGCCGAGATTTACCGCACGCTACACAACCACGCTACACAACCAAACTATTTTAGAGTCTTTTTCGATAAATCGCGATAGTGTCACTGTTAATTTAAGTTCTGCCACAATTTTCATCTAGATTTACTACCTTTATACAACTATCAGTAGTAGAATAAATAATAAATAACATAAAATAAGCTCCGTAAAGACTGACAAATCCACAAAATTTCAAATCAAATTTAAACGTGTCAAATGAATCGTCAAACAGAACTGTCAAGGATCCCCACCCTAGAGTGCTTTTTCCGCCAATCACCACAATACACCAAAACACTTTTACTTTTACACTGAAGGTATTACTGAACGCAAATGGTCTCGACAACAAAACTGTAATTGAATATATTGAGCTTACATTGATATGTATGAAACAAAATTGTTTTCAATTTAATAGCAACTTTTTTGAACAGCGGTAAGGTACAGCAATGGGTAATCCATTGTCTCCATTTTTGGCTAATTTATTCATGAGCAGGTTTGAAGTGGAGGCTAAGAATCAGTTTGAGTATTTTCCAAGAGTATGGTTTAGGTATGTGGATGATATTTTTGCTGTTTTTGACACACATTCAGACACTATAGATAATTTTATTTCTAAGTTAAATAATCGTTTTCCTTCCATTAAATTTACGCATGAAATTGAGAACAACGACAGATTACCATTTCTAGATGTATTAGTTATTAGAAATACTAATAATTGCCTGGCATTTGATATCTATAGGAAAAATACGACCACACGCAGATATATTCCTAATGAATCACATCATAGTGTTGAACATAAAATGGCTAGTTTAAATTTCTTAGTTCATAGGTTACTTAGTTTCCCACTTTCCAACGAAAGATATGAAATAGAAAGAGATTACATTAGGAATGTAGCTGAGTGTAATGGATATTCTCCTTTACTAGTTGATAAATTAATTAGAAAACGTAGGTATAGGTTAATGATTTCTGAAAATTCGACTTTTCAAGTGGAGAAAGATACGTCTAAATATTTTTCGATACCGTTTGATAGAGAGTTATCCCGTGGTCTAAAAGGAATTTTTAAGAATGTCATTATAAACTTGTGTATAGTGCTAATAATAAATTACAACAATTATTAGGTAATCCAAAGGATAAAACACCTCCACTGGAAAGGTCGGGTATTTATGAAATTAAAGATTGTAATCAGAAATATGTTGGGCAAACTAGAAGATCAATATTAACTAGATTTAAAGAACATTTAGCACAGATAAGATATGGTAGACCGGATAAATCTTGCGTTGCCGAACATATTGTTGATAAAGAACATTGTATAGATCTTAATAATTTAAAATTAATTAAACAAGTCTCAAATTACAGGCAATTAGATGCATATGAAAGCATCAGAATTAATAAATGTAAAGATAGTATGAACAGAGACAACGGTCCAATTCCTTCAAGTTCTTTGTTCCTACTACTCTAGTGGCGGAAATCTAACTCTTACGCTCAGTGGGCTCTGACTAGGTTGGCTAGATTTTGCCACGCCCACTCGGTGCTCACTGAGCGAGTATATAAACACTCAACTTGTAGATTGTATTTTAGTTTATAATCATCTGCTGATGATGCTAACATGGTTAGCGAAACGCACGTCAAAAAAAAAACAGTGTAAAAGTAAAAGTGTATTGTGGTGATTTAGTGTTTTTATTTTGCTGTGTAACACCAAAGGTTCCAACCCTCAACTGTAAAAACTAACGTAGAAATAACTTTGAAAGTGGTGTAATGTGCTTATCAATCAAACTTACTTCTCTGACTGCAGTCAAGGGTAATAAAGGAGCTTTATTGGTCACGTTCTCGTTCAAAATAGTTTATCAGGGAAGCTACAAGCTCTTTGCTTCGACTGTTTAAATATTTCGGCATATTTGCAACACACAATTTCAAGAAATGCAATACAAAAACTCGAAGATTTAGTTCTTCAAAGAACTGTTTGTGCTTAAAAGTACATTTAAAAAAAAGACTATGAAAATAGGCAAAAAAACGAGAATTACTGAGAAAGATTCAACAAGAACACGATATTATACAAAATAATGACTGACATTAGAATAATTGTCAAGTAATAAACGACAACCTTGCTGAAAACGGCGCATTGTGACCAACATAGCGATAATAAAATTCGGTTTAAACTAATTTTTGCAGCTTTAATCTAAATAAAATATCTGTTACAATCATTTGCTCTATAAAGTAAAATAAAGAGCTGCTCGGTATCTTAAATTATACAACGAATTTAAACATTTTTGCGAAAATTTCATTTAGTCAGGTTTATAGACTTTAGTGTCAATGGCGATATGATTGATGACTTGCATCGGAAAATGTTTTGCGATTACATTACCGATCTTTTCTGTCTATTTACAGGGTAAACGGCTTGGGCGAAAGCGCCGACAAGGCCCAATTTAATCACGAAGGTAAAAGGATGACCGTAGCGCAGTACTTCAAGGAAATCAAAAACTACAATTTGAGGTACCCACAGTTGCCCACTTTACACGTGGGTAGTATACAGAGGCCCGATAAGATCCTGCTGCCCTTGGAGTTGTGTACTGTGCTGGAAGGACAGGCCGTTAACAGAAAAATGACAGATACCCAGACCAGTAAAATGATTAGGTAAGTCGTGTAATGGATAATCTTTATTTTTCGTCATTTTGTTTGATTCCAGCGCCACAGGTGGTCGTTATCCCACTTCTGATGTTTGCTTGTTTTGTTATTTGAAACCCGTTCACCGTTTCGAAATAAACAAAGTGCACTTTTTTTTTACTTAAGAACGTCCTAGCTTTTTGTCATTAGTTGAAATTACTGTATCTGCACTCAGATGCAAAAAAAACGCATTGGAGGAATTTTTGCTCAAATTTAAAGTGTTATATCTTTGTTATTTTTAGCCCTATTTCCATGAATTTTTTAGCAAGCTGTATGTAATTATATCAACTTTAATTCGTAAACTCAGCTTTTTATTAACTTTAGTATTTGGCATATCACACAGGGTTAATCGAGAGGTTGTTTTTTTACCCTAACTTTAAAACACCCTGTGTAATAATTTCGTCTTTAAATTTTGTCATGATTCATGTCAAATGTCAATACACGCTTTGGTTAATTTTTAAAAGCGAAATGAACTGAAAACGCTCAATTTGCAATTTTCTCAAGTATCATGACTTTTTGATGTAATTCTTTAATATGACAAGATGGATTTGGTGACTATTGTCGCAACGTCATAATACACTGCATTGGATACTCTATACTAAATTAAAAAAAAACGGTAAAGACTAACGATATAGTCCGAGTTTTAATAAACATTAATAACGATAACAGAGCTAACGATATTAAAGAAAACATCTGTAATACTCAAGTATACAAACAGAAAGAAAAAATGTAAAAAATACGTTAATACTTTGTATTGCCGCTCTTGACCAAACCAAGTAAACTATAATTTAAGGTTATTGTTTCATTGCCTTTCAGTGTGCAATAACTTTGACCGCGAATAACTTTTAAGGGAATGTTTTTATGGAAAAATCAAAGAGACCTTTTTTGTAGAGCGTAAAATTTTGTATTGGAATATGTTTTCCTACACTTGACTTCAAAAGACACAAAACACACGTAATAACACGAATCAATATGCATCATCTTTCAAAACGCAGGGTATTTGACATAATATCTAAGTTGACACAAAATTATAACCTATAATTTGGCAAGACTTTGACAAGCCTCAAAAATCTAAAGGCGAGTTTATACGCATCGGCGCACAGTGGGGTATTTGACACAGATAGTTGATCGACATTTTTTTATGTAGACCTTATATAAATTATTGCTATTCAATATTTTTATATATTGAATATTATATATATATTCAATTTATAATTAATTATATATATATTCAATTTATTGCTATTCTCAATTAAAGAGGAAATAATATGAACAAAATAAAGGATAATTTGTCGATTCTAAAAAAAGAAAGAAAAATCACTGTTCCAGTGTTTCCACGGTCAATGCCACTAATGCCAGTAGTAATATCGCAACTAATACTACTAATGCTATGACTGATCCGCGAGCAATGCCCATACCACTAAAGTGGCTACTAATGCCAAATTGTGCTATACTGCTAATGGCACTAATGCGATCGCTTTGTACACAACAATGCCATCGCGGTTTACACCTCGCATTAGTATATCACTGATTGGCAAATTAGAGGAAAACAAGAATGTTTTTCTCATTTTGTCACCAAAGTCGCAAAAAGTCGCAGTATTTTATTTTACTGTATGAAAGCCCAATGTTTACTAAATAAAACGTATATAGACAATATGCTGAATTCTTCGAAATGCGCAACTGAATCTCTAAGTATAATAAAAATGTCACAAATTTAATCAAATTTTCTGAACGCCTAACTTTTAGTTGAAAAAAAAATCGTTAGTATAGAGAATATCAAAATAAATAATACGTTTTTTTAGAATACATACCTGCAGCTTGCTGAGCCATTTTCAATCAAAACAATAATATAAACGTAAAAAGAGCACAAGAACAACAACAATTTATAATTTTAAACATAAAATTTAGCCATTTACCTCTTATCTGTGAGAAGTAACAACTTTGACGTTTCGTTGAAACAAATGAATGCAACTAAACACACCCATAGCAACGCCATTCATGGCAGAGTTGATTTAACTTATCATTTATCTTTTTTTGGGAAATCTTAAACGCATTTGCTTTTTCGAATTTCGATCACCTTTTTCATGCTAATACCCCACCGTGCGGCGTCCGTTTGTCGTTCATCGTTCCGTCAAACCAATAAATTGGAAATATGTCTGTCATTTTGGTTAAAAACAACAAGAGACGACGCATGATGGATTGATTTTTAAACCCATCCATAGTTAACTTAAAAAATATTAGAAACTTTTTTTGGTAGAATAAATAGATTGGTATGGGACGTCATCTGCTTTTCTTCTGTCGCCGTCTGTCGTAATTTTACCTGAGAAAAAAAAAAACAGTATATTTTTATCTGTATACTTACTACTATTAACTGTATACTTGTAGGTACGCCGCGACATCTACCGACGTGCGCAAGGACAAAATCAACCAGGGCATGCGCCAGGCGAATTTTAACACCAATCCTTCGGTGCGCGAGTTCGGCATCTCCGTCGGCGACCAGTTCCAAAAACTGGAAGCCAGGGTACTGAACCCTCCCCAATTGACCTACAGCCAGAATCGTACCGTGGTCGTGAGCAGAGGGGTGTGGAGGAACGAGACGTTCTTCAAGCCGGCCACCATCAATAAGTGGACGATTGCGAACACGGCCAGGTACGCACCGAGACCAGACGATTACCGCAGAATGGAGGATTTGGTAAGTCTACTACAGTCGGTCCAACGACAAGATCCTTGACAGTGATAGATGTGTCCGTCATTTTAATTTCAAAGTATAGTACAATTCTTTTAAAAGTTCCTCAATATGGCCGATCGAGTTACGAAAATTGGTAATTTTTTTTTAATGAAAAATAAGTGGGCGTTAGCGAATTCAGAAACTGATTTACTCTTGGGTTAACAATAGCATTTTTCAGGATTGTCAAGTTGACGTTAAAGTTAGGTTATTAGGTGGTTGTCATAAATCATAAATAAAAACATAGATTATTGAAATTATTTAATAAGAATAAAGGTATTTTACCGCAGATCCGAAGAGATTTTACTTAAAGGTATTTTATAAACTTTCTCAGTCAGAATATTAACTCCCCTGTTTCTTATATTTCAGTTAAAGGGACGTAAGAACTATAGGAAGTGAATTTTTGTTTTCATGTTTTGACGATATCTGAGAGTTCCTAGAATTATCAAGATTATTGAATAATTATAGTTGTTTAATAAGTGAAATTAATAGAACACTTGGAAATAGGATGATGCGTTTCATGTTATAGTTGATAGATCACCCCATTTCTCTTAATTTGTTTTTATTTCAGTACAGTTAATCACCAATTGAATTGATGTGTGCAAAAACAGCTATATATTTTCAAACATCTTATTTAAATAGTTGTTTTATATACTGTTAAACTGTATCAACTACAAAGTCTTTAGCAAAAAGTTATAATGTAATAAATTTTGTAGATATAATTTATGAAAATTTGTATATAAAGATTAGAACACAATCCTCTGAGGGAAAAGGAAATACTGAAAAACTCATTAAATATATACTTTATTTAAAATAACAACATACAAAAGCAGTCATCCATGCAAACTGTAATAATCAGAATATTATCCGCATTATACCTTTATTAAATTTGTGTTCACACTCCTGTCAGGAAAGCCGGAAATGTTTGTTTAAATATTAACGTTGTAATAATATTACAAACCTGAAAAATACTGATACCAGGAAACTTCTCAAAATAATTAGAGACCTTTTTACAAACATCTGGACTAATTTATTTTCACGAATTTGTGGACGAGTCAATGTTTTCTAATACGTTTTTAAGCTTTTTACACATTTTTTTAATATCTTCCAGCCTATTCCTCAGTTCTTGATTGGTGGAAAGATTATTTATAAGTATATAATTAGTACTGCAGGCTGCAGGTTAAATAAAAGAACAAAATCAAGTAGAATTTGTGAATAAAAACTCAAAAATAATGAAAATATTTAGAAAAAGGAACTGTAAACGTCAATGTCAGCCAAGTGTCAGAGTTGAATTAGATTTACCACAGATTATCAATTTGAATGATTTGAACTACAGTCGATTCCAGTCTAGGATTTTCGTTTTTTAAGCCTCCCATACTGAAGTCCGCCATATTGGGAAGTTTTAGGTGAAAACAAGTATGAATGCATTTGAAACAGATAGGAATTTTGATACAATAGTTTAGTGAATTTGCAAAATTTCTTCAATGATTCCAGCTGATGAGATCAGCCAGGGAGGTGGGCATCACCATGGCGGGACCTGCTACGCAGCCCTACGGCAACGTTGGAGGGCGCCAGGAGTACAACGACATCCTGAGGTACTTCCAAGAGCAGCGGACCAAGGGTTTCGACGTCATATTCGTCATAGTACCGGATTCTGGCCCCCAGTACTCCTTCGTGAAGAAAGCTGCGGAAATAGCTGTGGGATGTCTGACCCAGTGCGTCAAAGCTGGTACAGTGGGCCGCAAAATGAACCCACAAACAGCTGTCAACATCCTGCTTAAAGTATGTATAAAATTTCACGTAAAGATTGTCATCAAAAAAAATATTTTGGGCAAACTCGTAGAAGATCAATATTAACTAGACCATTGTATAGATATTAGTAATTTAAAATTAATTAAATCAAATGCTTAAGGTGAATAGCAAGTTGAACGGTGTGAACCACACCTTAGCCGTGGCGCCGCTTATTATGAAGAGACCCGTGATGATAATGGGAGCTGACGTCACGCATCCAGGACCTGGGTCAACTGGATTGCCCAGCGTTGCCGCTGTGACCGCGTCACATGACCCCAAGGCGTTCAAGTACAATATCTGTTGGCGTCTACAGGATCCGAGGTAAGACTATAGTCTGTCCTAACAAAGACAAAATCCTTGACAGTGATATATGTGTCTGTCATTTTAATTTCAAAGTAGTTTATTTTGTTTTACAAAGAAATAAGTTGGTACAACTGGAACACATAGCAGGAAATTAATATATTTAAAATTTTAGTGACAAATGAGTACTTCAAAATATTATGAAAAAAAACTATATAAAACTCAAAAAATCTAATTAATTTTTTTAGGGTATGTGTTAATACAACACAAATATAGTCTCAAATTATAAGTGTGTGTTAAACACACCACCACATCAAAAAAATATATATAAAAAAGAACTATTTCTTACTATAAAACTTCAAGAAACTTACTTATTATATTTATAACAATATAACCTATCTATAAATAAAGTTTTAATACAGGAATAAATAAAACAAAATATTTTATATATACAGGGTGTCCTAGAAATAAGTGCAAGTATTTTAAGGGATGGTAGATCTGGTCAAAAGAAACATATCAGCTGATTTTTTTAGATGTAGCTCAAACGTTGAGTATTTACATATCTAATAGAGGGCGCTGATTCTGAACTGTTGAAAAGCTGGTATAATTATTCGTTATTTAGTTTCATTATTTCACTTTACTAAACTGTAAAAAAGGTATTTAAATATAGTTGACCGTTGCACTTACTCCTAATAGTGAATAGGAGTCTACAATGATTAGAAAAATCTACAGCGATTAAAATAATTTAAGTATTTTTTTGTAGTAATTTAAAAATGTGAACTTATATGCATACAGAATGTAAATAACGTAGAAGGTGGCAACATTGCATTCTCTCGAAGCACTATAAACCTATTTCCGAAAACCGAATAGGCGGCACTCAAAAGTTTTTCAAAAATATCAAGAAAAATATAAAAATTTCATTTTTTTCCCCCAAAAAACCTCGTGGGCGCGTTTTTGCGGTCGAGCTATACTACTAATTAAAATACTTGCACTTATTTCTCGGACACCCTGTATAAACCCATCCGTAATTAACTTTAAAAAATTGAAAGTTTTTTTAGTGAAAACTATGGATTGCTATAGCCGTCATTTGGCTTTTTTCTGTCATCGTTGTATAGACTATAGACTATATATATACAGGGTGTTACTACATTTATCCTCGTTTTTCTCCAGGTTGGAGATTATCGGCGACTTGGAGAATATCGTTCACGAACAGCTGATGTTCTTCTACGCGCAGACCAAGGTCAAGCCGGAGGCCATCTTGTTCTTCAGGGACGGCGTGTCCGAAGGTCAGTTCGAAGAGGTTAAGGACAAGGAAATAAGGGCGATAAGGGCCGCGTGCAAGCGCGTTCAAAAGGACGGGTTCGAGCCGAAAATCACGTTTTTGGTGGTGCAAAAACGCCACCACACTCGCATGTTCCCCGTGAATCCCAAGGACTCGCAGGACAAGAACATGAACGTTCCCGCAGGTAACTATTTTAGTGTGTACCGGGCAGATATAGTCTATCCAACGACAAGCTCCTTGCCAGTGATAGATGTGTCTGTCATTTTAATTTTAAAGTAGTTTATTTTATTTTACAAAGAAATAAGTTGGTATAGTCTATAAAATGAATAACTTTGAATTTTGACCGTTGTTTTTTACCACCATATGGCAAATATAAAATCCCTCTGTCAAAAAAGTTACTGATATTCTTTAAATTGAGTGCCTGAACGAATCAGATAGGTAACTCATTTTACTTTCGCGAAATAGAAAAGGAAAATAATAAAACAAGTGACAGTCCTTCCTCTTCTTGCAAAAATCAACACGAAATGTCATAATTGTCAAAAGTAAAATATCATCAGCTTTTGACATTTCTAAATATCAAACCAATGCCGTCTGTAATAGAACAGCCTCAGAGTGAGATTTATGACGTCACGCTAGTGAGATACTACGGATTCATAAATATGTTGTAGAATACATGGAAAACATAAGTATTCCTCATATTTTTGGTTTGTATTTTAAAAATGATATAGTTTACATGAAATATACATAATATATAGCACATAGCATTGTTTGATATAAAAACTATATTTTTATAAACATGGTAAAAAATGCATTATTTAACTTTTTTTCTAATCAACTCCAGGTACCTGCGTCGACACTGACATAACGCATCCCTTCATGCAAGACTTTTACCTGGTTTCGCATGCGAGTATACAGGGTGTGGCAAAACCAACCAAGTACTGTACCCTCCATGACGACAACAACATGGACAACGATCAGATTGAGGAACTGAGCTATTATCTTTGTCATATGTTCACCAGGTGCAACAGGTTAGTATAGATTCAAGAAATGATAAAAAACGATACGCAGAGAAAGGTATACCCATCCCTGGAATTTATGACATTTGTAATGAAATTTTTATTTTACTTGTTGCGTTTACGCTGGTCAGTCAAGTGTCCTAAGTTCTGTTACGAATTACTTTTAATAATGACGACGTAGCAAAAAGCTTGCCCAACCCTGGAATTTATGACACATGTGAAACAAGTCTTATTATTAATTATTATACTTTTTTGAATAAAAATACGATAGCTACTGGCTTTTGTCTCATTTTAAAATATTTTTTTAACAAATTTATACATTTTTTTTCTTTCTGTGATTTACACAGATCTGTCAGCTATCCGGCTCCGACATACTACGCGCATTTAGCGGCTGCCAGGGCTAAGGTCTACATAGAAAACGACAGAGTTAACCTCACTAATCTGGAACAGGAATTCAGACGTTACAAAATCAAGGATGAGATCCAAAAGGATAAACCCATGTTCTTTGTTTAAGCCACCCTGTATCAACGGTATTATAATAATTATATTAAAAGTTATTTTTTTTTTAATAATATATAAATTGGTGTTGAAAAAAGTGTTTAGAAATATATGAAAAAAATATTTATATACATATATCGGATATAATTGAGTTTAAAATGTATTTAACAACACAGGTGACTGATTTTTTTATGTAGAATTAACAAATATTTACTGGAAAATGCTTACATTGCTTATTTTTTTTTGTGCATCTGCTTTTTTTTTTAGTTTTAGGCTAGAGTTAGTTTTTTTTAATAATAAATCTTAGTAGCTAGGTATATCTTGTTTTTTTTTTTCACCCTGTAGTTTTGTCTCGACTATTATATATTTATTATTATTATTTTATTGTGTTTTTTTTTACAGGGAATATGTCAATCATTAAGACTTGTAATACTCAAAACAAGAGAAAAATAATTCTAAAATTAACAGGTATGAAATTATTGTATTTATTATTTTATTATTTTTTTTACATAAAAATTTCGAAGAATGGATGTAGTCAGGGTTGTTAAACGTAAATAAAAAACTACACTGACTCGAAGATTTACTGTTATATAATCAATTAAAAGAGTATGCGCTGTTTTCTGGTATTTTTTACGTGGTGTGTAGTAAATGCATGTAATAATTTGAATATGCGACATTACCCATCCCTGGTGCTGACATGTATAATCTCGAAATATATTTCGAATCTCTTTTTGATGCGGGGATAAATTGTCAGGGTTGTTCGGCGTAGTAAAATGGGATAAAATTACGTAATTTATTACTGTTTTTTTTTCTACGCAGGAATTTTTTCGGTACATAAAATTATGCATGTACATAAATGTACATAAAAATAAATTCAACAAAAAGATTAGGAATAAAACTCAAAATATCATGTTGTTGGCATTATTTACATTTATTTTTTATGTATGCATACATTGACTGTTTCTATTAATACACTTTGATACGTCATTTTTTCGAGATAAAAAAAAGTGTTCAAATAAAAAAAATTATATATTCTATCAACTTTTTTTTAAACATTTAAGATTAGTCTTCATTAAGACTATTAACATTGCCTAAAATTAGACATACACGGATAAAAATTGTTCATTAAAAACGTAATGATCGAAAAAAAACGGCTTCACGGTGACCTTTGAAGTCAGTTTAGTGGGTTAAAATGAAAAAAAAACTTGTTCGAAAATAAAAATGTCCGAGTCTAACACTCAAATAATAAATTTAAAGAAATATAATACTAGATTGTCACAAACATTTCCTTTTTACTTTAATTAAACATTATTAGAGATTTCTAAGAAAAAAAAAATAATTAAAAATAATACGAAATGTAGAACTTAAAAATTTATTAAATAAATTCTAAATTCCTTCTTGACTGGCTTTGTGAGAAAAAAATATTTAAAAAACCAAACCAAAAATATTCTGATTTTCTTTCTTTTTTTTTTCTAACACTATAAATATCTTCAGTGATCTTCCATGTCATCGTGACCGTTCGCCAAACCATTATCCGGTTTTCTACATACGAAAAAAACGCTGTCGTACTCGTACTGAAGCATAGAGTACGGGTTTTGGCAGTACTTCGTTTTAACACCCGTCGCGCATTTCTCCATTTTGAATCCCACCTATAAACATAGAGAAAACCTGTTTTTTTTTATATTATATGGCCCAGGAAATACAGGGTGTCCCAGGCTGAGCGTGCATTAGAAATTTCTAGAGAACCACAATATCTAGATTGGAGATTTTTTGCACATCATTGTTTCACAACGAGATCTATCGATTAAAAATATTTTCAATATGGCGGCACTTCCGGAAATACCGGAAGTTGACAGTAACATTCCTATTTTAATTGGTTGCCCCCATTTTTTAATCGTTCAATTCCATGACAGCTACCGCCATTATTATATGACATTTGAACAATTTAATTTTTGAAATAGATAGCCATATGTCTTTTCTTTATGTCGTAATGGCTGTGGTAATCACTAAATTTTACTTTTAGACTATACCTACAAATTTTTTTGACAGGTAGTTTTTTTTGTACACAAATTTTAAATATTTTTTTTTCTCAAAAACGGTTAATGTTAGGTATAAAGTGTTTAACAACAGCATTTAAAATACCCCCATTTTACCATATTTAAAATAAGAAAGTTGCTGTCAACTTCCGGTATTTCCGGAAATGCCGCCATATTGAAAATATTTTTAATCGATAGAGATCTCGTTGTAAAACATCGATGTGCAAAAAATCTCCGATCTACATTTTGTGGTTCTCTAGAAAGTTCTAATGCACGCTCAGCCTGGGACACCCTGTATATGTCCTGAGCCAGTATATCGCTGATCCGGTATCGTCTTTAGATGCGGCAATTGTATACAAACCTTTTTGATAACGTCACATAATACTTTAAAGCTAGGTTCGATGCTTTTTTCGTTCTTAACATCTGAGTAATGGTAGAGTAATGGACCCAGATTGATCCATAGTCCGCCAGGTTTCAAAATATCATAGATAGTCTCAATAAATTGAACGACATTAGGTGCACAGTCTATGAAGAAGCACGTTGCCACACAATGCCACTCGTCATTGGTCGTGTAGACTTCCAAGAAATCTCCGGCTGTCATTGAGAAGTTACTTTTTGGTGATGGCATAGGTTTCACGTCTGGAAAACTATAAGAAACATTTTCTGTTAAAATTCTAGGTTATGTATATTAGTAGTCGCTTTGAATATAAAGATTTTAGCTTCATTCGGAATCTTCAAATTAGTGGTTTCAATATATTCTGCAGATAAAAATAAGTAAAAAGATTCGTATAAATGTATGTCCTAAAATGCTTAGTTTCGGAGATACAGGGTGTAGAAGTTTCATTTTTATTTTGATGTTTTCTAAATAATTTCTGAAATAATGTCAATATTTGGATGAAAATTGGTGTTTGGGAGTTTTTTGGCATGAGAAATTTGATTTTGTTGTGAATATGACTCCTGCTAGTAGAGGGCGCCACCTACATATTTTTAACTGGTTTGAAGAAAAATAACTTTTCGTCCGTACCTGTATAAAACTACATTGACGATTTTAGACTGACATAAATTTGAAAGTTTTTGTGACAAAAGTTCAACAGAAACTGTTTTATCATCATTTTTTTGCTGAAAAAATTATGATTAATTTAAAAAAATAAAAATTTCCCAAATATATTATTTCAGTGAAATAACTATCTACTCAACGTGTTTATTTTTCGTCAATAATGACATGTATTGACTATTTCCATTCTAAATATCTTGAGAACGGTTGCTCGTAAGAGATATTTTTTACGTAAAAAGTTACAAAGATGTATATTTTTTCCTGGGTAGTTTTATACAGGTACGGACAAAAAATTATTACTCTTCAAAACAGTTAAAATACATATAGGTGGCGCCCCCTACAAATATGAGTCATATTGACATCAAAATCAAATTTCTCATGTCAAAAAACTCCCAGACACCAACTTTCATCCAAATATTGACATTACATAATGATTTGGAAAAAATCGAAATAAAAATGAATCTTCGACACCCTGTATCTCCGAAACTAACCGTTTTAGGACATACATTTATACGAACTTTTTTACTTATTTTTATTTGCAGAATAAGTTTCCGGAATACAGTTCGGACCACCCTGTATAGTTGTCTAATGAGTTAGGAAGAGTTTAACAGACATAAAAAAACGTATATCAGTACATATATACTTTATTGAATATATTCTTAAAAAATAATATACATTTCCTATAATATATTACATTAAATTTAACACTTTTTACATGTGTGAATTAGGTGTGAATTAAGACTTTTTGAGGGAGTGTACTTTTATTTTTTTTTCTTTATTAACTAAAAATTTAGAATAATTCAATTAAAAATTACGAAATATTCCTTCCCGTGGATAGTTATAAAGATTTTTGTCTAGCCCCAGCAAGGCAACTATTAAGCTTTGATTAGCGTGGTTATTTGGAGGGTGTTAATTCATTGGTTAGTTGGTTATTTGGTGGGGTTTTTACTAATTTCTATTTGTTTTTTAGATATTCATTGATTTTCTTTATCTGTTTGTAATAAATTATATAGTACGCCACGGCTGTTCTGCATCCGCTTTTGTCCAAAACTCTAACGTGATTGGTCAAGCTCGATAGTTGCCTTGCTGGGGCTAGACACAAGTGTTATAAAGACTGTTCAACCATCGTTCACCGTTACGTCATATTAAGAACATTAAATAACTAAGAGGTACTACTACCATAAATAATATATAAAAAAATACTTCATTCTTTTATGAAATAATCGAAACTGACATGCTATTTTTCGAAGATATTCTCGTCTTATTTGACAGAGTCCTACTCCAAAAAGCTCTAGTCTCTGGATTGAAAGCTACGTAGAACAGAAACATCACAAAACCTTGCAGGGCGGAGCTGATGGTGAAGATATAAACAAAAACGGTCTTTAACAACCCTGAAGATACTATATTAAACAGAAATCCCACTATCCAGGGGATTCCCAAGACTGAACATAGAAGAACTGCCAATTTAACGTGCTGAGATCTATTTTTCCTTGTATGGACTTTTTCGATCCTCCCACTAGTGATTTCGTAAAGGATCTTGCAAAAGACGCACAGATTAATTGAGAGAATCACTAGAATGGGCAAATATATACCAAGGTACAGAGATATTCCTGTGGGGTAACAGAATTTTGCTTCGGCGTTGTAGGTTTCTGGGTCCGAGATCAGGACAGTTAGTGAAGGAATTAGACCAAAACCCCACCCGAAAATCACGGATTTCAGTACTAGATGTCGCGGCATCGGACCAAAAACCCTGACAAATCGCAAATACTGACAGAAAGCGTAGACAAGCATCCAGGAGAACTTACATATAACCAAGTACTGTAATACAAACCCAGGAAACGTACAATTCATGTCTACTGTATCGTTAACGTACATAAAAATAATTTCTAGCAAAATAGCTACGGAAAGATTCAAAAGTATTTGAGTTCCCGTCCTGGATCTCCAAGACCTGAACGTCAAAGCTGTAGCAAAAATACCCATCAACCCTGCACAACTAACCAAACTTCCTATGGCAGTTATCCAGGACAAAACTGTATTAGTTAAAGACGACTCTTCTAAAACTATAGCGTTGAACCTATCGGCTATAAGCAAAGCTAGATGAGTGAGATGAGAGTAGTAACAAAGCTTCAAACCGGTGTCGTTTTCGAATTCACCACCGTATTCACCCCCCAGCGTCGACCAGGTACCTTTTTTAGGCTGTACCAGATCCCCATAGTCCCAGAAAACACACTCAGACTCGTTACTAGCTTCGCTGTTGGTCCTGATCAACACCGGGATACGACTTCTTAGGTAGGTGTCGTAATTGGGTATGTTTAAGTTGATGACTAAGTTCGGCGTGTTGTTACTCGAGTTTGAAGTGTAGAAAAACGAGTCGCTGAGGTAAACCACTGCTACGATACTGACGTTTGACAGGTTGCTGTGTCTGATGCTCTGGATGTCTTCTGTAGGGACGTACAGGGCTAGATCCACGTCAGTCCAGTTGTGTACGTCACTGAAATTTCCGATGTTCTTTACAGTCAAGTTTTGAAACAACACCAAGCCTGAGGCGTTTTCAGATAAAGGATTGAAAGCGTGCACCAAGATCTGATGCTTCTGAATCGTCAAACCTTTGTTCTGAGACTCTGTCAAGTTATTAGCTACATTCTCGATAATCCTTAAGTATGTATCGGTCAAATTGAATTGGTCTTGAGCGTTTGCCAGCACGCTGTAGTTAGTTTTTAAGAGTTCATTGACTACGTCAAGGGATGCGTCGAAAAGTGTGACGTTTGACGTGGCGTTATCAGCGAACTTATCCAGGATCTGAGACACGTAGAACAAATCACTCACCGAGAGGTTTCCGTGTTCTACAATATGTGTCACGTCGTGTATCACATCCTCGGTTATTTCGTGAGCTGAGAAGTTATGCAGGGCTACTGTATCTTCTCCGAAATCTTTCAGAGAACAGCTACCCTTTATTTTGTCCCAATAATACCCTGACAGGAAGTTACCAATACAAACTCTCCAAACCGGGAAGCCGTTGTCCTGTAAACACAACTCCTCCGGCATTACAGCTTGGTAGGGTAAAGCAGGGGGCCAAGTAAGGTTGTCTTGGTGTTCTCCATTGCAAAATTCGCTGCTTTTGATGTAAAGAAACTCGAAATATTCAGGAAGGGCCAAGGAAATTTCTTGTAATTTCTCGTAGTCTGCTTCAGGGGAGTTATCTGAAAGAATTGATAAATGTATGAGGACTTCAGCTGAAGATTTGGCATCAAAATTTAGTATTGCCATTAACCGAATTTTAGCATAATCTTCTTCGTTTCCTAAGATGTTTTCTGAAGTAACTAAATCCTTCCCTTTGAAGTAACTAAACACATCGGATACATCATCAGTATCTTCGCAATCAGCATGCGAACATACATCTTTAATTTTGAGTTTCACACTAAACTCATTACCAACTTTAACTTTATATGCCGTGACATTGTTCGAAACAACATGCCTAGTCTCTCTTCTATTTTTAATAGAGTACGCTTCACACCAGTAAGTACCCATGTACTTCTCTAACCTCACATTGTATATGACTGAACGGTCTTTCCTGGAAGGATGCTTGGTTTGGTTCAAATACAAGTCAATGTCGACTTTTTTTCGAAGTTTGTCACTTGCATCGGTGAAACAGTATATATAAGATTTATTCTTCCAATTATAGATGCATTCTGGTGAGTATATCGCTAGATACAGGGTCCTTTTTTTCTCGTTGAAGGTTAGAACCATGTTGACCTTTCCAAAGCAGGTGTTTGATTGAAAACAATCAGGGCAGAGGACTCTCATGTCGTTTGAGACAGGAATTGAATTGAATAGAGTAAAATACGATGAATTCTCTTGAATGGAGCATTTAGAGTTGTTATCAAAGCAGTACGGGCAACTTGAACAGTAAGATTTGATATGATGGTTCAAAGTTCTCGAAGAAGCAACGCATTTAAATAAATGATTAGAGTTACACATTTGTGGTACTAAAAACTTGGCGTTTGACGTGTTAAGAATGTTTTCAACTAAACAATCTTGATTTCCAATTGAATTCAAGTCAGACAAATCAATGTTAGTCTTGTCAAGTCTCTGGCCGTACTGGTCTCCCCACAGAACATACTCGTATGGTCCGTATCGTACTTTTCTTCTTGCCGGGTACCAAAAGGTGGATAGTTTTTCGTCTGATGCCTGGAAATCGTAGAAAGGGTCGTTCCAGTCCGTTATTTTGCAAGTGAAGTGGCTTGGTTGTGGATTGGTAGCGAAATAATACAGATCCGGTTGGTTTATGAGGAGGGTTTGGTTCAGAGGTACTCTGCAGCTATCGCAAGTCTGTTGGGTTTCAGTGCTTGAGCTAGTGGTCTATAATTGAGAAAAAAAACTGTCATTTTGTGGGTTATACAGGGTCGCTTTTATATTGTATGGAAACGGTCGATTATTAGGTAAAATATAGGAGGTACCGCAAAAAGTTAAATACAAAAGTTATAAGATTTTTAAATATCTATTAGCGAGTAATAAATTTAAGTATATACAGGGTCGTTTAGTTTAATATTTTTAAATAGAACCCCCTGTATATTTATTATATATTATAATTATTTCTTCAATTTTAAGCAAAAATCGAAATACATACAATGTACCTCAAAGCAACAGTTTCCGAGTTATTGACTTTTGAAAATATGACTTAAACAATTCGATTTAATTCATTTCGATGTGTTTGGTTTGATTTAATGATGCCATTCTGCCGAAACTGTGATACTGTTGTGATGGATTTTTGAATTCCTATTAGCTACTAGTAAATTTAAGTATACAGGATCGGACATAAAGTTGTGTCACATAAAACTTTATTTTTTTTAATGAAACCCCGTGTATATTATTGCATATTTCAATTCTTCCTTCAATTTTAAACAATAATCGTAATGCGCAATATACATAAATTGAAGAATTGGCATGTTAAACGAAAATTTTGTAATTTCCAGACTTGCTATACTCTCATTTTATACATCTCTAAATACTAATTTGAGAACTAATTTCAAATATTAAGTACCACAGTTTCGGCAAAATGGCATCGTTAAATGAAACTGAACATATCGAAATTAATTAAGTCAAATTGTTTAAGTGACATTTTCAAAAGTCAATAACTTGGTTTGAAGTGCATTGTGTGTATTTCGATTTTTGTTTAGAATTGAAGGAAGAACCGAAATATGCAATAATACCGACCCTGTATACCTAAATTTATCACCCGCTAATAGATATTTATAAATCCTATAACTTTTATATTTAACTTTTTGCGGTACCTCCTATATTTTACCTAATAATTGACAGTTTCCATACATAAAAGCGACCCTGTATATTTTTTTGTTAATAGGTTGTGATATATATATGATAGACCTTTGAATAAAAAGATTAAGGAAAATCAATCCTCTCAGATAACGAATTATGTATACAGGGTGAGACTTTAATGAAAATTTGGAGTTTTTTCAATTTTTCACTCTTTAATCTCTTTATTTAAAAGGGTTGTTTTTAAAAATAGTAAAATAATAAACATGAATATTTACTTCAATTAAAACAAAAATATTTATCTCTGCAACAATGTATACAGGGTGTTACAAAAAACATGTGCCATCAATCGCGGGGAGATTCCTCAACGTAAAAATAAGATTTATTTTTCATATTAACATAGGTCCGATTCCGCTTGGTTTCGTAGCTACAGGGTGTTAATGTCTTAATAATCTTTCGATTTATTTTTTAATCTAGTGATTCAAATTAAATTTTGAGGATAAAAGTTACTATATTTTTCATATTTTTTAACGAGGAATCAACGAGTACTTACTATAGCTTTTTTCGTTTTCCTGTTATTACCGATTCTGAACCGTCCTAGAACTCTGCAGCGCATGCGCAAATGAAGTAATGTCTTCATATTTCCTTCTGCGCATACGTATCACAGTTCTAGGACGGTTCAGAATCGGTAATAACAGGAAAACGAAAAAAGCTTTTTTTTCCTTTTTTTTAAACACCCTGTATAGTAGCGGTATACAATAATGTAAAAAATAGTTTTCTCTTACCTGATGTAGGATAGATATTACCAAAAACACTCCGAAAACCCACATTTTCAAACTTCAAACACTAGGAACGCCACATTTTATTTAAAATATACAAAAAAATATTTTTATAAACACTTTTAAATATTTTTTTTAAAGTCGTAAGATTTGAACACCATTTTTTTAATTGTTTTTCTCAAATTAAGTAAATACTTTTAAACGGTACTGTTCTTCATGTATTGTAGTATATGAAATTACAGATAACATCTACCTAATGTTGTACAGAATTGCTTGTTATTACTAATGAGCTTGTGTCATTCTGTATACATTGTGGCACAGAAAAATTACAATGCCAATAAAGATAATGTTTTATCGATAGTTTTGACATTATTAGAAAGCCAGATTTGATACGATTTACAACTAGAAAAATTAATTTTATAGTACAGGTCAGAGTAAAAGTTTTTATAACAATTCTTAAGAATGTTAATCTTATAAAGTACTATTAATTCACAGAGTATTCGTACAAAATTACTGGTATTTGCATTAAATATCTCTTGTTTACCGTGAGGATTACCTTCTTTCAATACTGGAGATAACAATGTAACCATATCCTTTTTGCTAATTACTTCATTAATTTGACTTATTAATTAGGATGCTGCCCAAATATTGTCTCGTTAATTTGGAGAGCGTTTTTTTTTGGTTTTTTTTATCAGTAATCGAAATTTCCTTATTGGTGGCTTTTTTAACATCACTTTTAATCAATTCGTTACTTAAAAAACGATTTATTTTTACTGGTATTCTGTTAAAGTCACGAATTAATATTTTTTTATCCACAAATAAATTTCACGGAAATTATAGGACCGCGAATAATAGAGCAGTGCCTTCTATTAAAAGATCAGCCTACGGGCGGACTTTTGTTTACTTCATCAGCTGTACATACTTAGATATTGGGTTAGATTCCGTTTCATATTTTGTCGGTTGATTTTTGGTTTTAACTCTTTGATTTTTGGTATTATTTATTATTGTAGTGCAAAAAACTAATTATTTTGGTGTTGAAGTGACATAAACTACTACCAGATATATGGTCACTCTCGGTTTCGCATAAAAAAAATAGAAAAATTGAAAAATTACACGTTGTGTAAGTGATTTAACCTAAAAGTGCCCATACATTTTTTACTCATCGTGATTTTTGTGTGTGTTTTTTAAGACTCTAACAATTCATCAATAAAGCTTAAGTGGAGTGTGTTTTTGTGCTATGCCTCATCTTTGTTGTGTTCCTGGTGGAAAGGATAGTTATACTAGGCAGCCTAAAGTGTCCGGAAGAGCAAGAAAAATGGGTACGAGTTATAAATCAAGAGAATTCTATTGAAAATATCTTTAATAAATTTAAAAATAATATTCTCCCATGATAGTATTAATGAAAACTGGACAATTATGTTTATTTTATTCATATTGTGGAATCTCCATTCCAAGTGTTGTTGGTGCAGCTTTGATAGATTCAAACACGTAAGATAAACATGTCAGTAGGTATTATGATCTAGGGAAAAATAAAGAATATGTGTATTAAAGATCATGAAAAAGATTATTATTTTGAGTTCAAATTTTAAAAAAGATTTTTCTAAAGACAAGACTGATACAGTTTAAAAGAAGAATGTGTTTTTGTTTGATAATATATAATGTATGTCAAGCATAACATATATTTGTTCAGTAATTTTTAATGAATAGTGTTGATTATTTATAATACCAAATAAATATCAAATATTTTAAGTGATGGCTGAATACAATGTGAATAAAATAACAATAAAATTGGTATATTTGCATAATACAAAATTAAGTTTTAAGTATAAAGGTGTTACTAAAAATACTAAGAAATTCATATTTCTTTGTTTTAATTGGTCTAATGTTATTTACATTTTACGTAAGAATTATACCGTATCATCGAAAAAAATCGGCGTCTAGTTGGCTTGGAAATGAACATTGATGACATTCCCTAAATAACTGACACATAAAATAATTAACTAGAATTTTACAATCTTGGAAAATTTTATATTCTTGAATCTTGTTTCTAAATATTCTAAATTTTTTGATTTTCTTGGGATTTAGGTTCGGAAAAAAACGCTGATTAAGTTTTCATTTGGTTTTTCATTATTTTTATTTGGTTTAAAAAAAACGTTATGGTTAACATTATAGCCTTCATCAGTGTTGTGTCGTATGAAAAAAATAGTGTCCAATATAATCCAAAAAATTACATATAAAATATTCACACCACGCACCACATAATGTTTACTGCGTAATCCATAGTCAATGTAGATAGTTTTAGTGTTAAGAATAATAATTCTTAAAAATATGTGGTCATCTTTTGATAAGTTTATATTAGTTTATTAATTGCAGTAAACATTATGTGGTGTGAATTTATATGTAATTTTTTGGATTATATTCGACACTATTTTTTTCATATGACACAACACTGATGAAGGCTATAGTTAGCCGAAACGTTTTTTTTAAACCAAATAAAAATAATGAAAACCCAAATGAAAACTTAAATCAGCGTTTTTCCCGAACCTAAAAATCCCAAGAAAATCAAAAATGTTAGAATAATTTTACATATAAAATGCCAGCGATCTTCATTTCATAACCATCGCTGACGCCTTTTTTTAGATGATATTGTATTATCTGTAAATATAATTTTTCGAACATTGATACCTGCAAAATATACATATAAATTTTGTGAATGCAAATAATAATACATCACTATTAGTAGATATTAAATGTTTTTTGTAAATTAGATCGATTTTCAAACCCAAATTTTAAATATATTTTGTTTACTGATATATATCCTTTTCTCATTATTTGTACATTGTAAAAAACATTGCTGCGTTTGTATGGTTCATAGTTTATTTACTTAAAGTATTTATTACTATAAATAGGTATATATGTTGTAGTTATTAACTGTATATTATGTATATTTCATTTAAACTATATCATTTTTAAAATACAAACCAAAAATCTGAGGAATAATTATGTTTTCCATGTATTCTACAACATATTTATTAATCCGTTATATCTAACTAGCGTGACGTCATAAATCTCGCCCGTAGGCTGATCTTTTAATAGAAGGCACTGAATAGAGCTATCGTACGATCGAAAAAAAAACGGCGTCAAAGAAGGCTGGGGAACGACAATCGAGGATAATTTTGGCGAGGTCAAGCCCTAGTCACGTCGTTTACTTGGCCCGTACTATTCTTTATTTTTTAATGGTGCTTAAGAAGGCTGTAATTTATTTTTATACCGATTTTTAAACGGTGTAGTTTAAAATTCGAGAAAAAATATTTTTTTTTTAAATAGATTTGTGTATCTGGTAACGTTCTATCTTTTTTTAAACTTGCTGTCGTAATTTTCCGTAAAAATAAAGTCTAGTAGAGATTGACACAGCCAAAATTATCATCGATTGTCATTCCCCAGCCGTCTCTGACGCCGTTTTTTTTTCGATCATACGGTATCTTGTTTTATAAATTTCAAAAACTACAAATAAAGGATTCAAGGTCTTAAAATATTGATACAAATGCATTATCAATACATAAATCAACTAAAACTGTATTTTCAGATTCAAAACCACAAATAAAGGGCTTTGTAACCGCGAATATATACTGTGTGTACAAATGGTTTACTTATAAACACTCTGAAACATCTTGGAAAAGTACATATTTTCTTCATCTACTGAATAAATCAACTAAAAATGTGTTTTTTCAGATTTACTACCACAAATAAATATCTGTATAACCGCGAATATACACTGCCGCATTTTTTATGCCGCGAATAACAAATAATAGACGTAGGAAGGTTATAATTCATCTGAGGAGTTACTTGCTCCTTCTTCCAGATATTTTTATTAGTTTTAAAACCACGAATAACGAACTTTAACAGCGAATAACATGTTTTTTCTTCACTTAAAAATATCTAAGACATTATATGTTCCTTTTATCTGTTGAGTAAATCATCTGGAGCTGTTCTTATTAGTTTTGAAAGCATGTATAACATATTTCAATGGCGAATATACACTGCTAGCATTTTTAGACCGCGAATAATCTAGCCACGAATAACATGTCTTGGCTTTACTCTAAAAAACTGAAAAATTTTGTGTTCTCCACTAAATAATCATCTTCAGGTATTTTCAGTAATTTTGAAACCATGAATAATTGAAGTCTCAACCATAAATACTTTTTTAAACTGTCAATAACTTGGCCATGAATAATGCGTTTTGATTTCACCCAAAAACATCTAAAAAATTACACATTCCCCACTGAATTCTCCAGGTAATTTTATTTGTCCTGAAACCATGAATAACAAGTCTCAACCGTGAATATCTTAGCCTTAAATATCATGCTTTGACTTCAATTTAAAATCTAGAAAGTTACATTATGTTGTGAACATATATATATATATAACGTTTTTTTATAAATCCATTACTTTAAACAAATAAATCTTTGATCTTGTTTTTTGTTTACTTATTTGATAAATCTCCACAAGCTAATCAACAATTCTATTAAGTTGAACTTACCGAGCACTAATCATTTGGTCCTCCACACTGATATTATTACAATACTGATGAATCCACGGATATATCTCATACTCATCCACTTTCTGGCATAGATTTAGTACGTAAAACGATACAATCAACATGAACAGGTTGAATTCATTGCCCTGGCACTTGAATCCTCTGGAGGCAATTTCAAAAGCCAGCCTCCCCAAGCCGGCACCTGGAACTAGAATTTGTATCTCTCCACGGTCGTACTCTTCTTCCGGATAACTGGCTAAAATCTCCTGGATTATGGGTTCGTAACACTGTTTTCTTTCAGCTGCTCCCAGCGAGCTCCAGTCTCTCATGAGCTGTTTGAAAACAGACTGTACTTTGTCTAACCCTAGTTTTTAAAAAAATAATTAATATTAATATTTTTAAATAAATAAATAAGCACCTTCAGACAGAATTCGAGCCTCCTCCTCAAATTTTACGATATCCATATTAGAATATACATTATCGAACATGGTATAGGCATGCTGAAGGACTAGAGGTATAAAACTATAATTTTTCTCTACACATTCTTTAAGTTTTTGGAGATCTTCATAATACTTGGATAGCCACTTTTTGTGTTCGTTAGGTAGAGTTCCGACGCACTTCTCTTTGTTTTCGATCTTTTTAATTGATTGGTCCCTGTAAAGATATAGATAAGTGACCTAGATGTTCCAAAAAAAATAGGGTTCTTTTAACTGGGTACATTGTACTGGGTAGGATAACGAAGGTTGGTCTAATTAAATGATCAGAGCAACTATATTAATGATAAACAACTACAAAATACACCAAATTTCTAAGGATATACAGACCTGTAGCTCTTGAAGGTTTTTATTACAGAGAGGAAGTATTCCCTTTCTTCTCTTACATTTTTCTCTGTGTCCATGTTTCTGGTTGTTTTATTTGTGTTTAAATGTGTCTTTTTGTCGGTCGAGAACGAAAAATCAAATCGAATTACTGCTTTTTCTTATATAAACAATTCATTACAACTTTTCTCTAACAATGGACATGAAATCTAACCTAGATTTTTTGCGACAAAAGACGTCAAAGTCAGAAGAAAGTTGATCTGTGGGGCGGTCAGTAGTTCTTTTGTCCTGTCCACAGACACAGAATCGGAGAAAATTAAGTCTGTCAATTATGATTTCTTCTGTGGTCAGTTTATTTCGAAAAATTTCATCACAATTTTTTAACAATTCTTTTTGAATATTCTTGAAAAAAGAAACCGTATTTAGAATTTCCAGCTCGAGTTTATTGATAAAAAACACCCAAGAATAAAGTAAGTAAATTTACATATTAATATCACTAACATTACTCATGCCTTACTCTATTAATCGTCTTATTACTTACATTGCTTATGGTTAGGTACACTAATATAGTGTTTTTTTAACGAATTTCTACGAAATACGATAAAAAATCGGTAATTTCCAGATGTCTGGAAGAGAGGGTGGCAAGAAGAAGCCTCTGAAACAGCCAAAAAAAGACCAAAAGGAAATGGACGACGATGAAATAGCCTTCAAGCAAAAACAGAAGGAACAACAAAAGGCCTTGCAAGATGCCAAGGCAAAGGCTAACCAGAAAGGCCCCCTGGTTAGTGGAGGTATAAAGAAATCAGGGAAAAAGTGACCCGACTACTATTACATAGACTAATGTTTTTTTTTCTTACGCTAAAAATGACAGTATGAATATTATCAAAGTTCACAGGGTTTTGTACTATTTTTTCCTCAATAAAGCTCTTGTAATTTAATGAAATATTGTATTTTGATTGTATAAATATGTATCTGTAGTGATTGTTTACTTTTGTCAAAGAATAATTATTAAAATATACGTTATTAAGGCAATACTTTCAATAAAATGGTCTTCATTGTTTTAAGTTCATTCATTCTTCTGTGTATTTGTAAAAAATATTAAAAACCCCTCAAATGTGTTTGTTTTCGAAATTTCCCAAATAAATTATTCCCTTGATACATGGCAACGTTGTTTCTGATTTCAAATCGCGCGCCACATCCTCTATCTCTCTCCCACCCTCCTTCGACTGGTTGTCAAACACACGGCCAACTTGACAAACAGCTGATTCGATCAGTTTTCAGCAGATCTTTGTTCCGTCAGGGTTTCTTCCAGTTTGCGTCTTTGTGTTTGTGTCGCAGCAGCAGCAAAACTCCAGTTTTATCCAGGATGAATACAAAAAAGATGAAAAAATCAGAAAACAACGCCGTTATATAGCATCGTGGAGGCCGAATTCTGAATTGACATCATCGACTAAAAGAGGTAGAAAGTTTATAAATATTTTCGGGGTACTGCTGCCATTTTGTCTACAGCTGTAAATATTACGATCCTTTTATTTTTATTAATTCACGCGTGTTTATTATTGTTTTAAGTTAATGATTGACCCCGTGCTTGTGTATATTCATTCTTATTTAACCCGTAATTTGAATTGTAGATGCTTTTGTCGTTGCACTACGACCTAAATTACATGATGTATTTTTAATTTTCCTCATTTAAGTGAGTTGTTGTGCAATCACACACACACGGGCTATTTTCAATTAATAAAATCAAAGAAAACCGATTTATTTTAAGTAGGCATGGCATCTGTTCAGGATTTTACAATGTTCCACATGGTAGATACAGAGATGAAAAGTAGGTTTCATGCTTAGTGAAAGCTTTAATAATTTTAATCGTTCATCTCTTATTCTCTATAGGGTGAAATAAGTATTTTATACAGAGAAATTGAAAGGGAATTATTAATTTAAATCGATGATAGGGTCGTGAGGAAGGGTTAATAGGTATGAGTCAAGCAAAAAATTAGTTGAATCACTATGAAAATTGCTTTTTTTGTGTTTCCTTGTTTTCTGATTATTTTTTTTTGTTTCCATATGGATTTTATTGAAGTTTTTTTCCCAAAAAATAGAATACTCTACAGTATTTTTAATGTCTGAGCAATGAACTGTGTTTTCAGTTGATTAAATAGAATAATAAATGAACGATAACAATATTGGAATGTTTACAAAATAGTCTCGCATATTTTCAATGATAAATTATTGTGCATAATAATATGTTGCTCTTTATTTAGGTATAGTTTAATTAATTTTGTTTTGATAAAAAGTAAAAAGTACACAAAGTTTGGTATGGAACATGGTGCAATACTTTTTTTTAATTAATGTTTTATTTAAAATATACCGGGTGGTGCCAGTTCGAAATTTTCATGCTATTTCCTATGTTTCCAACAAGGATGCACCACCAGGTATTCAAGGTTTTATTAAATACGTTTTACCTGAACAGGTAAAGACTGGCAGGTAAAATCCTACGTCTAGGCTAGTTTCTTTAGGTTTATTTTTTTATTGTTCAAATATTGATTTTCTCCAAGTACCTATCCAATAAATATTTATCACCATAATGGATACAGGGGATCACTTAAAGGACTGTGCAAATATTTACTTGATTAAGGTTTGTAGAGCTTCAGCATTTGCCATAAAATAGGGAGCAATTTGTTACAAAACCATATAAATTATATATCACTGTAACCACAAAACTTCAATCTATCTCTGTATTGTAACGGAATTTTAAATTATGTCTTTATTTTCGAGAAAATTAAGTTCAAAAATGAGGAATATTTTGTTGAAGTTTGACCATCAAAATCTTAAAAATAAGGAAGTTGTCTAAAAATGTGCTACAATACGGATATGGTATAATCCTTTATCTTTAATTTCCTTCTTCATTTGTGTAAAAATACCTAGCCAGTTTTACGTAAAACGTTAAATGCCGAAAGCTTATTTTTGCTACTTTTTCGGACATCTTTTTCGGAGTGAAATGGACTCTTAATTCCTAAATGTCTCTAGTTTTTATGAAATTAAAATGAAACAAATTGGATATTATTATTTCATGTATCATCCGGGAACATACTGTATATTTAAATTCACTCATATTTTATAAAAAAAAATAGTATGGCTAGGTTTATTGGTATAAAAATATGAGACAAAATACAATGCCTACACTGTTTTTCCAGGCAAGTTATGCTTGAAAATATTATTGAATTGTTGTTATCTACGCTTCAAGTACTCCCAGACTGCCTTCAACCCTCAAATTCTATAACTACCCCATCCTTCTGACTCTTTTTTATTGCTCCATGTCCCCCCTGGAGTGCCTCATGTCCCTAAAATCCCCCCCAAGCGGTCTAGCCAGTTGAACGAACCAAAACAGCAAGCCACACAGTCTGCGACCTGTTTATACCCGTCTCAGCTGGTGTTGGCGAGGTGCTATGACCTCCGAGGACGGGTTAAGGCCCCTTTGGGTGGTTGGCACCACTTATTTTAAGCCAATAGATTGTCTATACTTTAAAAAATAAGCGAATTTGACCATTTTATTCTTTTAATAACATTTTTTTTTATATTTATGAATATCGTTGATAAAATATCAAAATAAATCTTGTGGATGTCTTAAGATTTTGATATGGGGTATCTCAACAGTGAGTCAGTACCCTAGATCATATGTCAGTAGCTTTGTATCATTTTTTAACATATTAAAAATATGTTTTAGAAAGATTTATAGGAAAACAACAAAAAACAAGTCTTTGCTTGGCTCTTAAACATTGGAGTAGAAAATTTTCAAGGAAGTGAATGTGTTTTTTTAACTTGGACTGTCAAAATAACGCATTCTTCGTGTTTCGCTAAAATGTAAGTACGTATCCTATGATGGTACGTTGAATACAAAAATGATTGATGACAACGAACTTTTGGCTGGCCAACCCACTTCTATTATTAAAATTGATTTAGAGCGTTGAACTGCGCTACAAAAGGGGGGTACAGAGGGGCAAGGGGGGATAATTTCATTCATTTGAAGCTCCGTTAAGCGTCTTTCTTTTGTTTTGTTTTTTAAATCTTTTCTTCATCCTAATTTCGATGTTTTTTGTTCAACTTTTTTATTACTCTTTTTTTTATTTTTTTATTTCTTTCGTCTTTTTAGTAATCTTGTCAATTGTAAAACCCTATCGTAGACATATCGTTTTACCTGGTAGTTAAAAGAATCAGATAAGACATTGAAAATTCTACTTGCGGTTTCAGATATGTTTTTAGAGTAGAAAAACATGGCATTTTACATTTAGAGATATTTAAACCTTATTATTACAGTTGAGGGTTGGAATCTTTGGTGTTACAACAGCAAAATAAAACACAAATAATTGCTTTGCTAACCATGTTAGCATCATCAGCGTATGATTAAAACTGGAAATCTAGTTTTAATCATTTGTTGCATTTAAAATCCAAATGTCTTTAAAAAACATCGATATTTTTCAAAGATTGATTCGATTACCCATTCCTATTCCGATGCTCTAAATACCGCCCAGGTCGATATTTTTACTGGTCATTTACAGTCATGTTAAATCCAGTGTCTTTAAAAAATCAATCGATATTTTTCAAAGATCGATTCGATGGCACATCCCTAGTCCGACGTTCTAAATACCGTCCAAATCTCGACATTTTTGCTGGTCATTTAGAATCACGTTAAATCCATGTGTCTCTAAAAAATCTATCGATATTTTTCAAAGATTGATTCGGTTGCTCATCCCTAGTACAATGCTCTAAATATCGCCAAAATGTCGACATTTTTACTGGTCATTTAGAATCATACGATGGTACGTTGTAGTAAATCCAAGTGTCTTTAAAAAATCTATCGATATTTTTCAAAGATCGATTCGGTTGCTCATCCCTAGTAGAGTGCCAAGTGTCTTTAAAAAATCTATCGATATTTCTCAAAAATCGATTCGACAGCTCATCCCTAGTACAATGCTCTAAATACCGCCCAAATCTCTAACTTTATGCTGGCCATTTAGAATCATGTTAAATCCAAGTGTCTTTACAAAATCTATCGATATTTTTCAGAGATCGATTTGATGACACATCTCTAGTACAATGCTCTAAATACCGCCCAAATGTCGACATTTTTGCTGGTCATTTTTCGACTACCTTGTTTCTCCAGGACCAGATACACATATATATTTAGACTGGACAAATTCCGTCGTATATTTCCAGGTTCTAAAAATATTCTTCCATTATACAGCTTGTTCCAGAAATTGTGTGCTCTATGTCAATCCCAATATAAATATATTATGTTACTTTACGATACATGATGGCTTGTTATATAGTTTTTCTATTAATCTACGACGCAAAATTTTTAATTTAAGCGATAGATACATGTAAATATACATATTATGGCTTGATGTGTGTATGTTAATGTGACATTTGGGGGACGCAGTGGGAGGAAATACCAAATTTTCGGTAAAAAAAATCAGTCACTTTTTTTTCGGTCAAAAGTATCTCAGTTACTTACGTACCCAGACAAAAATTCTCAATTTGATAACAATACAGTTGTTTATTTACATCTTATGTGTATTTTGTGAGAAGTCTGTGCATGGTTTGTGGAATTTACAACAAAAATTAAATCATTAACCTTCCCCAAAGTAGTATTCTAAACAAAACACTTGTGTTTGCAATAAGTTCAAGAATAGCGTTTTATAGTTTTGTCTCGATTTTTAAATGTTGTCCCACTGTTCAACCGTGTTTTAAATTCTCCAAAGAGCTGATTATTTATTTATAACATACGTTACAGCCTATTATCAATAATTAAACAGTTTTTTTTTCGAAAACTTAAATTACGTTATGTAAATAATTTTTGATTGTTTGTAAAATATATAACGTATGTTCACAGTAGAATGAAAACGACGTCGCAGTAGCCGCAGAAATAATAGATAGAAAATCACGCGACAAGGAAAAATCAGATTAACGAATAATTAATTTATAAACTCTGTTGCGTAATAGATATAGTCACGGTTTAAGTGGCACACAAATCATTTCTAAGTCGTTGCGTACATGGCTGGTAAAGTAAAACCGTTTAAATCATTATCTCTCACAATTACAACGGTCTAACCTTAATTCGAACCTATTTACTGTAATTCGCTGTGAATTAAACCATACTTTCACGCACGGTATACCGGGGAACATCCAAAACTACATAATATCAGGTGTTTTTAATATCTACAGGGTTATTCACCTCGTTCGATATGGAGTATTGTAGCCACACGATTAGATTTTTTGAAATTGACTATTAAAGCTACAATTTAACGTTATTTTCGAAAGGTACAGAGTGTCCCAAATGAATAAAAAATATCGGAATAAAAAATATCCTGGCCCCATGGTTGCAGTAATATAAATAATACTACAGAGTGTCTAAAAAATTATATTAAATAGCTTTAAACGACAATAACTTGTTTAATTTAAATGGAACACATGTATATATTTGACGAGAAAAAAAACTGTTTAAATACTTGTAAAAGAGGACCAATTAATATGTTTCCTGTATTCAAACTAAATTAATTGACTGTTTGCGTTGATTAATAATAATGGTTCCAAATACTAAAAAAAACGGATTTTGTATTTGTATTAGACAGTGTGGTAAAAAGTAACACCTTGTAAATTTTATTTCATTTTTTGACGAATCCTTATTTGTAACAAGAGAGACGTTCACATTCATAACTTATTATTATATTGATTTCTGATACAAATCCACATTTATTTAGAATAATTTATTAACTAACACAATTAAGTATCTAATTAATTAATAATATACCTTTTTACAAAGATTTAAATAGTTTTCTTTTTGTAAACAAATGGGCTAGTAATATTTTCGGTTTTAGCCTCTGTACATTTTGTACATTTTTTGCTTTAAAAAAATATCTAAAATATCAATATTCCATGGGTATAATGAAAATTGAGATTTAAATTATAAAAAAATGTATTTTCTACGAAAATTTGAAGAGATAGGTAAAAAATGGTATAATACAATTTGATAGATAATTAAATTGTGCATCTGATTCACGTAAAATATACAGGGTGTTCCATTTCAATTAAACAAGTTATTGCCGTTTAAAGCTAGTAATTATTTAAAATAAATTTTTAGTATTTTTATTATTGCGCCAAAAATATAGTAAACAGAGAAATGAGGCCTTAAAATTGTTTCTGCATTTTCAGAAAATCCTAAATATTTCAAAAACGGTAAGATTAAAGTGGCTCAAACCTTAATCAAATTTACCTTTATTTGAATCGTAGAAACTAAAAATGTAATAATATACAGGGTGTTCCATTTAAAAAATAAAACTTTGATATATTTTTTTATTTATTTGGGACACTCTGTATCTTTTGAAAATAATATTAAATTGTAGCTTTAGTAGTCCTTTGTATACTTATCGCATTTTTCTTATGTCTTGTTTTCTTATATCTTTTCGGAAACACCTCGTATGTATGGAATAATTAATTATAATTTGGATCCAAGGCAAGATTACTATTTTTTCAGTAAAAATACGTAACGTAAAATAAGAATTAATTAAAAAATTGATAACATATTATTGTGACTGAAGTATTCTATAGAGATAACCAATTTTTGAACCACTTTTAACCAGATTTTCCGAAACAATTCAATCCAACAAATATCAATTATTGGTCTGTGTGTCCTAATAAGGGAAAATTTCCCGAAATGGAAACGTAGGAAATGTAAGTGTGGAAAATACAGTGGAAAGAGACAAAGGAATTGGCGCATAGGTATATTTAAGTAGCAAGGCACGTGTTAAGTTGGCCTAGAAAACCTTGAGCGAGCTTGACGTCGTTGAAAATCTGTAGTCCAGTCAAATAATCTTAGAACGTACTTTTGCAAAAGTTAATTTTTCTGGAGCGTCAACCTGGTGCAATACATGCAGTGCAGGGTGGCGCACCTCATTCGCCTCCGTTGATTATACGAAAACGGAAAGATATAGAAACAAAATATTTTATGGGTATATACGGGGTGGCAATGTGCACAATTTAAAATTATTTTGAAATGTACAGGGTGTTTCAGAACTAAGATACATACCAAAGTTATATGTTTTCTTATGGCACACCCTGTATTTTATTTCATTTTTGGATTCTTGGGCCCAAAAAAAGGTATTTATTATAAGGGTTAAATATGGTTAAAATCTTTGGTTTTTGAGATATTTAAAGATATTTAAAAATACAGGCTACAATAGAATATATTATTAACACCCTGTTGTGAACATACATTTAATATGGTTATATGTATATGTATATTCGACAAATTGTATAAAATATTATTTTTACCCTTATTCTACGGCTATGCCTAAAGAATTTAAGGTACGAAAAATACCATCAACATTATTATTCTTCTCAGAAAGATGGGTGATGCAAATAAACAGAACCATTACCTAAACACCCTATATTTTTAAACGGTTTTATTTAGCTCGACCCGTACGGTATTTATTTATTTGTTTGTTTATTTGGGTCAAAAATTAGAAATTGAAATTGAAGTACCTTCCTGTTGTCAGATTGATCTGAAATTTGGTACACACCTTTAGTTCCGATGACAATACAATATAGTAATATCAATAACATTGTAAATCTAAGATGGCCGCCGGTACAAAATGGCGGATTTCATATTTTTCCACAACTCCCTCAATATGGGTATCAAATGAAAGGGCTACACTAGTAGAATACTGTGATTATGACAAAATTTAAAATCCAAGATGGACGTCGTTACAAAATGGCGTATTAGGTGAGGGCATGAGTAGTCGTGTCCAGAACAGTTGTGTCCAAGATTGTGTGACGTTAGAAGGACAGATAAAAAAAAGGTGATTAGATGTACCTACGTAGTTAGCGGTAGGTTTACCACTCAAGTTAAGGTAATAGGTTAAAACGTGCTGAGGACTGTATGGCATTAGGGTGGCTAAAAATGTAATGTCGCAAGCGTTTTCCCCTCAAGATTGGGCGCCTCTTGTTGTATATTATAGCCTTGCCCCTCTACTGGACCTCTGGGGGGGTCGACCGTTAAAATGTCCATTACTCGTGGGAACAACATGGAAACAATAAATAAAAAACAAACAAAAATAAAAACGAAACTGCTGCACAACGAAAAAGAAGGCTCGAAAAGGCGAAAGAAAAGTATAATAGATGTTTTTTTTGAAATTTAAGTACCTTCCTGTTGTCAGATTGATCTGAAATTTGGTACACAACGAAAAAGAAGGCTCGAAAAGGCGAAAGAAAAGTATAGAACGAAACGTGCAAAAGAGAAAATGAAATCTATAGTCGACTACAGAAAACGAAGAGAACGGTTAGCAACAGAAACGTGCAAAGCAAAGTGATGCCACCTTATAGTCGACGTACAGAAACAAAGAGAGCGGTTAGCAACAGAAACACCTGAGCGTCATGAGTCCTGGCTAGCATCACAACGTGACAGACAGAGAGAGTTGTTAGCGGCAGAAACACCTGAGCGTCCTGAGTCTAGGCTGGCATCACAACGAGAGAGACAAAGATAGTTGTTAGCGTCAGAAACACCTGAGCGTCATGAGTCCAGGCTAGCATCAAAATTGTTTGAGGAAGGGCAAGCATACGTGGCTCTAAGTCGAGTCGAGTCTCTGGAAGGGCTATGTATTGAGGAATTAGATTGTAATAAATTATCAGGTAAAAAACCATGTAATAATGATGCACTAAATGAATTAAATAGAATGAGGAATATTCGGTAGGCATTTCCGTTAAATACTAAAAACTAGAAATAATAATTGGTAAAAAAACTTTTAAGTTAAACGGTTTTATCTTATGTGCACTGAAAACTAGAAAATAATAATAACAATTAGGTATTTTGAACTTCTAGTTCAGAATATTTTAGTACTAGGCAGAATAGCTTTTAGGCATATTAGACTAAAATAAAAACGTGGGGCCCATTAACTATTGCTGTAATACTTTCTTCTATACTAAGTGTGGATTGCATCGACTTACTATAATCGTAACTGGAGATTTTGACAATCAATAACCAGCCGTGGCGGCTTCACCAGCGAACGCCGAGCTCATGATCTACCAAAGTATAAAGATATGCTTTGCCATATGTAGGATTTCAGAGGGGCCCCACGTTTTTATTTTAGTCTAATATGCCTAAAAGCTATTCTGCCTAGTACTAAAATATTTCTGAACTAGAAGTTCAAAATACCTAATTGTTATTATTATTTTCTAGTTTTCAGTGCACATAAGATAAAACCGTTTAACTTAAAAGTTTTTTTACCGATTTTTTTTTAAATATATCGGAGCAGGTTCAAATGCTTTTTCAAACTATATTAGGGTTTCCTATACCTATCTAGCTCAGATTTTGAATAAAGAGCCATTTTTCAATAAAATGGCAACCAAGATGGCTGGTGTCGCGCCATGGCAATTTTCTAGTTGAAGTTAGTAACTCTTTTCAAAATCGACATTTGTTTATGGACATTATTATTATTTAGATTTATAACAGTTTACTTAAATTTAGCTACAATAGTAGTTACTTTTTACTTATTTGGGACACTCTGTATCTTGTAAAATTATTTCTAAGTTGTAGCCCTAATCCCTAATAGTCCTTCAACGAACCCAAAATTTACAATTTGTAAAAATCTAATCGTTTAGCTACAATGCTCCGTGTCGTATGTGGTGAACAACCCTATAGATTAAAGACAACCATATCTTTACCAAAAAAAATACGTTTTATAAAATCCCAACTCTACCAGACTATCAGCGAATCCTTTCAATACGCCTGGCGATCGACAGAGCTCAGCTGGCCTGCTGGCAATCAGCTGGGGGATTGCCGTGTTCCCGAGCCCAGCCAATCGCGTCGCTTCATTCCATTGACGTCAGAGCACGACGACAACGGTGTGGGGGCCTGCAATCAGCTGTTCCCTCTTGCGGAGGACACGGCCCGGTTGCCAGTTCGTCTCCGATTTCCGAGAAGGTCGGATCGATTTACTTTATACTGTTTTTTTTTCAGTCTATTAGTGTTTTATTAATTTTTTCGTTTGGCGTTGGTATTTAACTGATACAGTGAGACCTTTTAGAGTGTATTACCGATTATATTATAATTACTGAAACTAGAGTTAAAAGATTTTAGTAATTTATTTCGTACTTTTTTCTTGCAGTGTAAGGTTTTCGAGAAGGTTGGTTAGACGTGAGATGGAATCAAACCTAATACAGGGTGAGTACGAGTTTTTATTTGTTTTTTTTAAGGACAGTGAAAAAAAAATGCATTTAAAATTGACAACGTCGTGTTTTAATTTACTCTCTCTATTAAGAATATTAAACTAGTTTGTGGGACAAAGTAGGCCTTGATGCGACGTTGCGTTTTACGTTCGGCATGGCAACCCTTGTATTTAATTCGATAACGGTGTTGTCAAGTTTCGATTTTTTTACATAAAAATAAGGATTTTTTTTTAAATTTTAATAGAATAGGGTTTCATTTTTAATTTACAACATTATTAGAACTAAATGTGCAACAAAAAAACTCTAATTATGCTAATTTAAAAATTGTTTTTTCGTATTGTAAAATAAATAATAAATAAAATAATTGTTAAATATTGTTTACGTATACATACTACAGACATATACTAAATACAAATTGTTTATAACAAAATATTAGGTCAAATTTCACAAAAGGATTTTTTTTCAAAATTGTTTTGACTAAAACTCGAATTCATTTATCATATTCACAACTACAAAACATTGTTTTTATATCAGTAAATGTACTAATTGATATATTAACATCTTATGTACATATGTTTTTGTTTATTGGAATTTAAAAATATTTGTATATTTAAAAAAATTACACAAAATATATAAAGGAACTTTATTAAAAAAAAACAAATAGGTGGCCATATTTTATAAGTACCATATGATCGAAAAAAAAACGGCGTCAAAGACGGCTGGGGAATTACAATCAATAAAAATTTTGGTGAGGTCAAGGTCTAGCCGTTTTTTTTTATCGTATTGTATTATTATTACATAATGTTGATATAAGAATTTTATAAACAAAAAAGTGTCCTTGAATTTATTTATGACAATAACAATAAAGATCCTGGCACTGATAACGTTCTAATAAACTAGATATTTTGTGTTATCATTACCATGCATCAGTTTAAGAAAATAAATACTATATAAAATATAAGACAAGTCTCATAATCTAGGTCATTTATGATAAAATTAATTATAAAAATATTGCCAAACGAGACCCAAACAAAATAATTATCACCGATTTTATAGAAAATACTTTTAAAATGTTAATATTTGCTTGAGATTGGTGTTTTTAAGGAAATATTCCGTATATTTAACATGTTAAGTTGTTAAATAAATACATTTAAAACGCATTAAAATGTATTTAAAAAGTACTTATTGGTTTATAGACGATTTGGTTAAAAAATGTAGAATCTAATTATATTTTACTTAAAATTTACTGTCTCTCATTTTAAACTATTTATTATTTTTTAATTACTAGTCTACCCCAAGTTTTACCTGTGGTTTTATGAATTATTACAACTTTGAGTTCAGTGAAAAAAGAAATAGTTTGGTTTCTCTACAGGATGACTATGAAATGACTATGAAAATAAATATTAAACCGAAATTTGGACACCCTGTACGTTGAAAAATCATCAGCCGCAAAAATCTCTAGCACAATTTAATCGAAACAGTGAAAGTTTGCGAGATTGGTCGCTATTCAATAACGTGAAAGGTCTACCTGTATAATATTATTCAATAGATTTTATAAATCCTTCACATCTACAATAAAACAACTAAAAATACTTTCTCTCTAAATAGGAGACTAAAATGTATTGAATTAATTCGTATTTCTATGTTAACTCATGCGTGGTCAAACTCTGTAACAAATAATTACATCTGATGCAATGAAAGTAGTATTACAGAATTATAAAGTAAGGTGTGATCGTTTTTTTTTCTTTGAATAAAAATATTAAGAGTCTATTACCACAGATTAGGTATACTATATGTATACGGATAAAAATCTTATCCCTAATTCGTGGTACGAAAATTGTTTTTTATGACGATGTGCAAACGAGTAAAATTTCCTGTGCGCAAAAATAAACTCGCGTAAAATAACAATAAACAGCGTAATAGAGAGATATCGCTAAACCGAATAGCGTGCATGGACGCTAATAAGGCCAGGTGTTATTTCCTTTACGTGAGGTGGTATTAACTCTCTTCATTTATAGTTATCGGATCGGAAAGAATTCTGTTCGCGTCGCGTCCGCTATTTAAACTTTTAACCTAACTTTGAATTTAAAACTTTGAAATTGTTTTGTTTACTAGGTATTTTAAAATCGTCATCTGCTGTAAACCTAAGCCTCTTTATAGGTTCTTTAATATTGGAAGAGGTGGAATCCATATTTTGGGCCATATTTATTTAATTAAAACTAATCCCAGCTACTTAAATATCAAATTACCTAATAAAACTAAAGTAATAATTCAAAACAATTCAAACATAACCTAAAATAAAAGATCTCGCCGGCCGGCCCCGGTTTTCAAATACCCGCACATGCCCATTTAAGCAATTTTTAAACGTTATTTAGAAATAGCGCTTGGTATAATTGATCCGCAAATTACGTCAGGCGGTAACGTTATTAGCGGGTGTTGCGTTAAAAATTGACTCGCGCATATCGTAACCATGATAAGGTAGGAGTAAATACTGCATGACGCTATTCGGTTTTTCGATATATCTCTAATAACTGTGCCGGTTAGGCGCTGAGCACAATTTTAGAGGCCATAAGTGGGCGTGCTATGTGCGCAAACTAGTAACCTAACTAGTGCCCGATTCCGAAAATTGGAACCACGAAAAACAATAAAGAAAAAACAAAGTTTATAATCTGTATAATCTGTGATAATACATTAAAGTAAATCATCCCCATTTTTTTATTCTTTTTTTTAGATGCATAGCAGCATTTTGAAACCGGAATCCAGTGGCAACGTCGCACCAAATGAAACCGAAGTACTGTCGGCGCTCGCCGCCTTGGTGACCGAAGGCCGAGTACCGGGTCCCCCCCTAGGCGACGCCCCTGGCAAATCGAAGGATTTTCACGAGGGACCGCACTGTCCCTACCAGAAAAAAGGACTTGGTAATCATCAGTGCAATAAGAAGAATCTTTTGGTAAGCATTTCAGACAAATAAGTCTAAAAAATAAAGGATTAATGACACTAGAAGCCAAATTGTTCTCAGTTGAGTGCCGTGCAGTGGCGGCGCGTACAAATTTAATTGGTTTCTTACAAGGTACATGTACGTTTAGTTAAAGGAAAATAAATCTCAAAAATAAATACAAATTATGTTAAAATGAAACCTGCCCCTACATTTTTAAATAGGTGTGAAACAAACGGTACATTGTGAGATAGGAAATTGTAGAGAGAAACAAGCCCTATAACATAGGATACAACATTTTAATGAACAGTGCTTTCCATAAAATCAATAAAATGAAAAATATACGAAATAATATACATATTTCTTTCGAAAATCGACAACTATGAAACTATGAACCCTTCCTGGACACAAACGGTACATTGTGAGACAGGAAATTGTAGAGAGAAACAAGCCCTATAACATGGGATACAACATTTTAATGAACAGTGCTTTCCATAAAATCAATAAAATGAAAAATATAGGAAATAATATACAGGTACTAATTTCTTTCGAAAATCGACAACTATGAAACTATGATCCCTTCCCGGACACAAACTGTATTTTGTGAGACAGGAAATTTGGATCGATTTCTACGACACTCTGTACAATAATTAGAAGTAACAAAATGATAGTTAATAAGCGTCACCTACCCTCGATCCAACAATGTATCACTTATTACAAATAAATAAAGGATATGGGAGATATTTAAAAAAAAGGGCAAAAAAGGAAAATTTCGAAAAAAATTTGAGGCCAAAATTGAACTTTTTTGGCATTTTTTGATTTTGATCATTTTTAGAGGGGGATAGGTATATAATAATAAAAAAAATATTTTGGTATAAAAAGTTTGTCAAAAAGTTTTATACAGGGCGAGAAAAAAAAATAAAAACCTTAAAATTAAAAAAAAAATAAAATTAAATAAATCATAACCTATAAATCAAAAGGTGAGGAGAAAAGAGGGGGGGAGGGGATCCCCCCTCTCACTTTCCTTCTTCGATATCATTACGTTCAAATATATAAAATATGTTTTAAAAATTTTAAAAACAAATATACCTCCTATACACCTTTTAAAAAAATTATCAAAACTCATTGCGCAACAAGTTCAGAACCTTTCACGCACCCAAGTCATTTGACTTGGACACTGATCTAGTCAACCATAAACGAAGTCTACTAGCTATCCGAAAACTTCGTCCAAATCGGTTCTGTCATACATGGTCGTACGCAGTACGACCCCAAGAGTCCGAAAAAAATATTAAAAAAATTCCAGGTGTGCCCCGAAAGGGGCACCCCCTTAAAAGTAGGGGAAGGAGGGGTAGTAGGAGAAAGCGCGTAGCGCCATTCGAAAGAGGGGGTCGAATTATGTCGGACTAGAATTTTTTCAAATTTTTTCTAGCCTCCTGCGAAGCAGGAGGACGCTTTAAAAAAGGGCCAAAAAGTGGGCGTGACCTCTACCATAAACGAAGTCCTGGAGCTTCAGAAAATTTTTTGAAAATTGCCGCAATCGAAAAATCGAATTGCCGCAAAAAAGTACAAAAAAATTGAAAAATTCAAAAATCGATTTTTTTTAAATCACCATATCTTCACTCTTCCTGACCTACATCCTAAAAAAGACCTACATCCTAAAAAATTAAAAAAAAGTGATTTGCAAAAAGAATAATTTAAATAAATTTTTCTAATTTTCTCCTGATTTTTGGGGGGGGGGGGCATTGACCATTTGACTTCATGGTTAAGCGGCCACTGGTGCCGTATCGGAGGGTTAATATGTATAGAAAATTGCAGAATCAAATAAAAATTGCAATTTTTAAAATTATCAAATTTTTTAATACGATCAAATAACACGATTTTGGTGTTTTTTAGTGTCAAAAATACAGGAATACCAGGGAGATAGTTCAGAAATTGGGAAAAAAGAAGCAGTTCCAGCTGTGCATAGAGGTGTTTTTGGCTTGCGCTTGTCACAGTTCAACGGAAGATTCTTTAGAAGCGACTGTCAGTTTGGACGACGCGTTTTTGTTGGAACAGTGGCATTTTTCGGTTTGTCAAAAAAGGTAAGAGCGAACCACCCTGTATATAAGAAAAAAAATCTTGATGCCACCTTATGCAATATGTTTTTTTTAATTATTTCTAGTATGTATATATCAATCAAATTTAATTTTTTAATCGTTATAGATAAGTAGTTGTTAATTGATAGCAAACAAAATTACCTTGTGATGCTTTGATTTTATCTGTTACGTAAAAAGGTTAAAGCATAGCGTTTAGTTTTGCCAATATATTTCCATGTCATTATATATGGATAAAATACAAACAAACTTTAATCTTTTTAAATTGATAATATTGTAGAAACTAGTATTTTATCAGCCATAATAAATTTTCCAACAGTGCTACGGAAATATATTATTTTATATTATATTGGATATTTTAAATTTTCGGTTTACTAGCGTAAAAAATAGTTTTTTACGCGAAACAAATAGTTTTATATACTCAAAAATAGTATGGTAATCGCAAAACAATTTCGGATGCACGTGATCAACTTTGAGTGACAAGCGATGGCGACAGCGCTGCCAGATTGTGATGGATTTATGAGATGAATCTTAATTTAAAAGTGACAAACAATACATATATTTATTATATCACTTTCTAAAGATTTTTGCGTTTTATTTTTAATTTAATAACTTATATTTTAGTAATTAATTGGTTTATTTGTTTTATAGCTTATTTTACTTATTACATATTAGCAAAAACTAGTCCATTGTGAAGATTATTCTAAGCGTTATTATGGGTTATTTATTGATGTACACAGATTTAGTTCTTCAAAGAACTGTTTGTGCTTAAAAGTACATTTAAAAAAAAAATAAGAATAGGCAAAAAAACGAGAATTACTCACAAAGATTCAACAACACGATGTGATACAAAATAATGACTGACATTAGGATAATTGTCAAATAATAAACGACAACCTTGCTGTAAACGGCGCAATGTGACCAACATAGCGATAATAAAATTCGGTTTAAACTAATTTTTGCAGCTTTAATCTAAATAAAATATCTGTTACAATCATTTGCTCTATAAAGTAAAATGAAGAGCTGCTCGGTATCTTAAATTATTATACAAAAAATTTAAACATTTTTGCCAAAATTTTATTTAGTCAGGTTTATAGACTGCACTGTCAATATCGATATGATTGATGACGTGCATCGGAAAATGTTTTGCGATTACTATAGATAACCAATAAATAACAAAAAAATGCCTCTAAAATTCACATTTCCCAGACTTTTGGGTCTTACTCTCGTTACTTCCCCTTCCAGGGACACCCCTGGCTGTTTCAACCTAACCCAGCTGGTCAGCGCCGTCCGTTCTCAGCTCTATTTTTCCCAGCTGACCGCCTGGCTGGTCACTCAGCACGAGTCCGACCGAAAAATCGCACCAGAAAATCTCCGGTACCGCCTCACCACACCGGAAAACCTCCTAGCTCCGCCCAAATTCACTCTCACAGCCACCAAACATGAATTCCCCCACGTAGACCTCGGCAACTCCAAAATTTTATCAGCCTCCTTCTTCGCTGGACCTAGAAATCCGACCCATCCAACAGTAGACTGCGCCAAGTGTCGTGGTAATTCGAAAAGTGGGGTTATGGAGGCTAAAAATGACCTCGTTGATGACAGACTTCACTCCTGGTGTACGGTGAAGGGTAAACATCGTTGTGATGACGTGGAAGACTGTGATAGTTCGAGAAAAACACCGGGGGAGTGTTCGAATAAGCGACTATGCCATCCGAACGAAAACAAAAATGAACAAGATCTCGAAAATTGGAAAAAGGACAAGGGTCAGCTCCTTCTGGACGCTATAGAGCGGAGCGGACGCAATTGTGATAAGAACCCACGTGATATATTTAGTTTTAACGTACCTGTACATAGTAATAATAATAATAACAGTAATAAAAAGCGTTGTGATAGCGTTGTTGTATTGAAGTCGGGCGTCAGAAAAAGAATCACCTTCGAAGAGGAGGATAATAATGATGTTGAAGAATCGCAAGATAGCAGTAAAGTACCGTCAGGATCTCAAGCGTGTGATATACCGACTGCTTCGGAACAAGCGAAGTTTAGGAGGAATCTGGGTAACGCGGCTTCGATGGTGTTCCATTCTAGGACTGGGTTGCCATTGACGAGTAGTCCTGCTCCTGTTAGGAAGGGTCGTACCAGTTTCGACTTTGATTCAACCTTGAATTCCGTGTCAGCAATAAAAAGGTAAGTTTTTTTTAGCACAAATTAGGTATACTATATGTATACAGATAAAAATCTTATCCCTAATTCGTGGTACGAAAATTGCTAACGTTATTAGCGGTTGTTGCGTTAAAAATTGACTCGCGCATATCGTAACCATGATAAGGTACGCGTAAATACTGCATGACGCTATTCGGTTTTCCGATATCTTTCTAATAACTGTGCCGGTCAGGCGCTGTGCACAATTTTAGAGGCCATAAGTGTGCGCAAACTACTAACCTAACTAGTTCCCGATTCCGAAAATTGGAACCATGAAAAACAATAAAGAAAAAACAAAGTTTATAATCTGTATAATCTGTGGTTTTCACTTTATACTCTCAAAAAAAAAAAGATTGGAAATAATTCTCTCCAAATATGAGCTCTTAATTTTAATAGGAAGGTAATATACAGGGTGTTCCGATAGTTCGTATAAATGTATGTCGTAAAATCCGTAGTTTCGGACATACAGGGTGTAGAAGTTTCATTTTTATTTCGATTTTTTCCAAATAATGTCAATATTTGGATAAAAATTTGTGTCTGAGAGTTTTTTGGCATGAGAAATTTGATTTTGATGTCAATATGACTCCTACTTGTAGAGGGCGCCTCCTACATACTTTTTAACTGGTTTGAAGTAAAAAAGGTCTCTTGGTTAAAAATGGCCATGAGTAATGGATCTCGAGATATTTGAAATCGAAATTAAACCTGTTAACTAAATAGTTATTAGACTGAAATCATAAAATTTAAATGTTTTTGTCCAAAAGTTCAGCAGAAACTGTTTTATAATAAATATTTTTCGCAAAAAAATTTATGATCAATATAAAAAAAATCAAAAAAAATATCCAAACCTATTATTTCAGTCAAATAACTATCTACTAAACCTGTTTATTTTGTTGTCAATAATGGCATGTATTGACTATTTTCGTTCTAAATATCTTCAGAACGGTTGCTCTTAGCGATTTTTACCAAGAAACATATATTTTTTTACGTAAAAGTCACGGAAATGTATATTTTTTCACTCAGTAGTTTTATACAGATACGAACGTAAAGTTATAACTCTTTAAAACAGTTAAAACACATATAGGTGGCGCCCCCTACAAATTGGAGTCATATTTATATCAAAGTCAAATTTCTCACGTCAAAAAACTCTCAGACACAAATTTTCATCCAAATATTGACCATACTTAAGAAATTATTTGGAAACAATCGAAATAAAAATGAAAATTCTACACCCTGTATCTCCCAAACTAAGCATTTTAGGACATATATTTATACGAACTTTCTTACTTATTTTTATCCGCAAAATATGCTACCGAAGTTTCCGGAATACAGTTCGGACCACTCTGTATATTCTGTGATATAATAATGATAATAACCTTGTGATTTTTCGTTTTCAGTGCCCTATTCTCCAACAGTTTCTCCACCGATGACGAAAGCGAGAGTGAGGGCAGTATAGTATCCCCCTGCAGTCCAGAGATCTACGCAGGCGCGAGGAGGGACACCTGTCCCGCGGTGTACAGGCGCAAAGGACAGTCCTGCTCGTTGTTAGGTTGGTAAAAGGGCTCGCGGTGGGGGCTCGCGTTGTATAGCACACACTCTGCGTCGTATCCGGGATTTAGTAATGTACGTACTCTATATTATTTCTCAAATTATCTCTGTTAAGTTTGGTTGAAAAAAATAACGCACACACGTAACATGCACAAACCTATAAGCGATACCGATTAAACTTTTAGTGACGTCATTGAGGGTGCCGAACTGGAATCTAAATTTCCCGCTGCTACAAAAATGTCAAGTTGCCACAGTTAGGGTGTATTCCGTAAACCAGGCGAACCAGACCGGTAAACTACGGTAAAGAGCAGTTCCTGAAAAACATCGGTTTGGTAAAATACTGGAAACGTCAAATGTTGACGTTTTCTAAATTTCAATACCTCTGTTATAAAATTTATCTTTTATGCATTTTTAATGTACCTGTTCTCTGCTTTTACGTTTGCTTCTTCTTTTCAATGGAGTTTAATATTGAAAAGTACTTTATTAATAAACTGTTAAACATGTTAGACAGCTCAAGTGAAGATTTGTAGGTCCAATATTAAAACAGATCAATAATAAATAAACAAATATAATCAGTATTTATATTTTTATAGCTTATAAAACATTCACGATTACTTGTTGTCTTGTTTTTCGTGTTTTCTTTAAATGTTCCTGACTTTAAGAAAACAATGGCTGCATGATAAGTTTAAATGGTCCTAAAAAGGCATTCTATTTAGTTAATGAAATTTATTTACCTTTACTGCCTACACCTCCATTGCTTTTGGATGTAAATACAAAATATTATTACAAATTTTAGAAATTAAATGAGAATTTCACTTCCGATATTTGCTTGATTTCTGTCACATAAATGACACTGATTGACAAACAAAACCAGAAAAACCAGCTTTGTCGCGCTGGTTAGTTTGGTGACAGTTATAACCGAATTTTTCATGAACCGTGATCTGTAATAAGAAAACTTTCAGGAAACCGATAGAAACGGAACATAAAACCATAACCAAGGTAAGCAACGGAATACACCCTTATTCTAATTTAGAACCTGCTTTAGTGCGAAGTGTTCAAGATAGCTTAATAGCCGTTGCAAAAAACACAATCGCAACCTTATTAGAATATTTTGAACGGAAAAGCGGTAGTAATGGGCCTTAAGTGCTGTTAAGGAGCTGAGTTTTGTTGGGGTAAGTAATAACTGTTTATATATTTATAATTAATTTTTTTTTTCCTAAAATAGTTTGATTAAAAGAAAAAAGTAGACAACACTGTGTCGGTCAAGCTTAATCACGTGACTAAAAGTTTATTTGGTATGCTTTATACGACCATGCTATCGAAAAAAAACGGCGTCACAGACGGCGGGGGAATGACAATCGATGATAATTTTCGAGGTCAAGCCCTAGACGAATGTATGGAGACGTAAATGTTTTGTGTATTGGATAGATTTGTGTATTGTTTCTGCGTTGTTAAAACACTAAACGATTCGTGGTGATTTTAACCTAAATATTGCCTCTTATTTTTTATGGAACAATAATTTAGGATATTTAGAGTGGAATCAAATATTCATTAATATTCAATAATTATAATATCAATTGAAATACTTATATCTCTTTAATAAGATGAACGACACAAAAAGTGTAGTATTGAGACACTCTGTATATTATTTTAACGTGTAACATTCTGACATTATATAGTGTTTATGTGAATTTACCGGAAAAATGTAAAATTTTCAACATTTTTTAAATACTTGTACTTAAATAATTACACGTATTTAAGAGACTCCTTGTATAATGTTAACAATACTCGATGTTTTTATCAGAAAAACTACAAAATGTTTGCTCTGAAGTAAAATAGCTTGTTCATGTTGGCTTCAAGAGACCCGCCCAAACGGCGGGTCTAGTTTTGTTATGATCTAAGGTTCGTATTAAATTATTTATTAACTTCTCGCAATTTAACAGGTAGTTTTGAGGAATCCGTGTTGAACGGCCGCCTGGAGCCGGTATCCACTGTCCATGGATTCACAGCCGAGTTGGGAGCAAGTGGATCCTTTGTTCCAAAACATGTCTTTTTGCCGGTCACGGTGTTTTTCTACAGTTTCGGAGACAACGATCAAGTGTCATCGCCTTACCTGGTGAGTATATAATATGAGATGTTCACATTACTATTTTAAATTTGAATGTGTCATATCGTCCCATTGCTGCCAAAACTCACTAACTTACTTTTTATTACTTCCGAGAAAAATGCGTCTAAAGATGAATTGCTTTGCATAAAGATGTTATAGACGTTATAGTTAGTAACTATTCGGTATTAAAATAAAACATAAATAGCCAGAAATCGTAGTTAATGACTTTTGCGATCGATTCTCCGCTTCAAAACATAGTTAGTGATTGAATTTGGTTGTTCGGAAAAATGTTAGTTAGTGACTTTTGGCAGCAATAGGACAATATCATCGGCTTCTTCTACCCTCCTGTAATTGCCTTTGTTTCTGCTCTTGCAGCAAATAAAAAAAATATTGTACCTACTGTCATGGATACTCATAGCCTACTTCGTAGTTTTTAAATTTATTGTATTTGTATACATTATCACGCATGTGTCATTAAAAATTCGCGATTTGCAAATATTTCTCGAAGTTTTGCTCTACTTTTGTCCAATAGTGTACATTGTAAATATTCCAAATTGTAATTCATTTTCAGGGTCATATTAACCTAGGAAAAAAAGGATACAACGTTCCCAAGTCTGGAACGGTGCAAGTTACCCTTTTTAACCCTCTGGGTACTGTCGTTAAAATGTTCGTCATTATGTACGACCTGTCAGATATGCCGCCGAATTCTCAGACGTTTATGAGACAACGCACGCTGTATATGCCGACGAAGTGTCAACACGGTGACAGCGCACAGTGGGGACCAAAATGGCTGCGATACGTCATTCATTTAAGGTAAGTTATGGCTGCTTCAGCAGTGTTGCCAGAATTGTAGGATTTCTTTGAATAAGACGGATTTTACGGTCATATTTCGCGGTTATTAACCTAACCCCCGCCCATACAATCTTCAATCCTTCAATATTGGCATAAGAATTCATGCTGTACTTGCAGTATATTCTTTTATATGTATAAGGATCATTTTATATGTATATAGGATCAAGTCCAACTTCCTACTACTTTTAAATATTATTTTTTCTAGTAGAAAAATGAATCAAGTCATGCTTCACGCATTAGGCAGCTACAGCTGTTTCTGTTTGGTTTCTGGATATTCTGTTGATTCCTTTCACAAGTGAACTGGATCAAGTCCATAAAATTTAACGCTGTGCGCTATTTTAACACATGTGGTAAGGTTAAGAGCTAAAAAAAATTTTTTTTTGATAAAATGGACGACAATGAAATAAAATCTGAACCATTTGCACCAAGTGAATCAGATTATCAGCCATCTGAAAGGTCTGATTCTATCGATTCTGAAAGTATACAACAAAAAAGTAACACACTTTAAAAAGCAACACATGAAAGATCTTCTTCCCTTTATCCCGCCTATATACCATAATTTTTATAGAAATCGAAGAAAACACTATTAATAGACAATGTGAAGTCAACAAATCCCTTAATGACGAAGAAGAATGTACAGATAAACCAATTTATATCTAAAATTTCAAATATTTTCAGAGATAAAATGGTCCAAAAGTCCAAAAAAGTATAAAGAAACATTCTTAATAATGACCACAGTGGTATTTTGAGTTACCTTAAATTGCAATTATACAATTTAAAATATAATAAAGCATTGTGTCAAGTTTTCTTCTCCAGCTTGTTTTATTTTAGTTAAGTAACATTAAAAAATTTTAATTCTCATTTTCTCCATAATTATCTTCTAGGACTTGATCCAGTTCACTGTTTTTTTTATTGCAAATAATTAATCTTCATACAATTTTTTTTTACCTGTATTTTTTTATTTTACTTCAATTTTATCCCATTTTTAAAAAAAAAATAATCAATATTAAAAATTTCAAATTTACACTTTTGCAATCTCTGACGGCACCTATCAAAAGTATCATGGTTAGTATCACAAAGGTAAATAAAACCCACTTTTCTAAATGTATTTGAAAGTAGATATATAATTAATTGTAAAATAAAACTTAAGGAACTTACGTTAAAATGATCTTCAGCAAAATAATATGTCAGCAAAATATCTTACTTTTGCTGACATATTGTTGTCTTGCCGCTTCAAACCAGGCTCTTCGACGGCTTTCATCCAAAGGAACAGTTATAAAAAGCTTTTCTGGAGAGCATTCAGAGCTATTTAGACAGCCCTTCACAAAACAAACTTTAACACCCTTCATTCCAAAAATAATAAAGAGGGTACAATAAAACAAAATTGAAAACTCAAAGTATTTAACGCCAAACGCAAAATCCACAAAATACAAATCTAACCTCGAACCCTCGAACGCCTCGAACATCCCAACAACTTTGGTAGTGTTTAGTGCTCCGATAAAAATAGCAGTAATCTGTTAATTATAAAAATTTAAGTTTTAATTTCTAGTGGTAAAAAATATAAAAGTAAATTTAATATTGGGGTAATGAAGAATAATCCCACATAAAAACGTATTTTTTAACGATCTTAATAAAAATAGAAAAATCTAACGTGATTTTAAGATATATGGCGCAAATACGGTGGTAGAGAACTAGACACGCCATAATATTATTCTTCAGAGGTCCGCGCCCTCTGTCAACTATTCAATCAAATGCTGATAGGTGACGTCACAATTTTCTACGCGTCATTTCAAACCAATGAAATTTGTATTGAATTTGATTTATTATTTATTCCTCAATTGTTTGCAGGTTTCTCAGTTCGAAGTCGAACAAGATCTACCTGCACAGCGACATCCGCATGATCGTCTCGAGGAAATCGGACATGGACACGGCAACCGCGCACGACATCGACATGAGCTACGAGCTGCGCAGCTTCGTCCACGCGCCGGCCAACCCGCGTTTCTCGCCGCGCAAGTAACTAAAAACGGCTTTGCGGGGGCGGCTCGAACCGCGGCAACTCCGCGAAGTTACCACAGATGAAATACGGCTGGATGACGTTAGAAGGATGACGTCACGACGGAAGGTGACGTCGACGTCTAACTCTACGCGGTTCTACACCTACTTGAGACGGGTGCTGTTCAGTTGCTTCGTGCAGGACTGTGATTATGCTGCCGCGGTACATTTGTAAGTAAAAAAATAGGGAAAAAAACATGCATATGGGGTCGGGTTCGGAGAAATAAGTAACCGTAGAGGAACTCAAACGTATAAAGTTTAGCAGCAGTTCAAATAACAAAAAAATGACATAATAAGTCTTGTGAAAACTGCTATGGCTGCAAATTTTGGCTGAGTAATTTTAATTAAATAGAGTTTTTTTAGAATAAATATACAGTGACTTTCAAAAAAAGTATATCAGCATAGACAGATTTATTTTTTAAGAAGACATCTAGGATCACTTATTTTTTTGAGATGAGGAGACAAAAAATTATATCAGATCTTCTAAATATTTGTTTTTTAAATACGGAGGAACTTTTTTATTATTGACATTTTCAGAAAAAATCATTTTTTATGAAACAATTTGCTTGTTCTGAAATGGTTAATCCCGTTTATGCTTTTCCAAATTTCCATATAATTTTTGATTAATATTTTTTTTTAATTGTTATTATGTAGAAGCACAAAATTAATTTTCTTCAATGCTAGTGAAAAGACGATTTGTCATTTTATAACAAGCAAAAACATTATCTCTTTGTCTAGGAACAAAAACTTTTATGAAGAATGCATTTTTATCAAAATGTCAATATAAAAGATTTTCCTCCTGTGAAGAGGATCCGGGGACATACTGTATATTTCAAATCCCGGTAACTACTAATAATGTGGAAAATAAATCACTGATTTGACATATTTAAAAAAAATTGTCGAAGTAGGCGTTGATTACAGATTACAGTTAATATTAGTATTAGCTCTGTCTTGTCATAACTACAATTTTTTATAATAGGAAGTACATAATATATTCAGTTTTATTTTTTTAATTTTATACAGAAGAAACATTTTAGTATATATAAATAAAATTATTTTTTCAAATACCTATATATTTTTTATTATTAAATGGACACATATGTATGTTTTTTTCTAATTTTTTTGAGACAAAAAACTATTCTATATTGTTGGTTTCCATACTTTGTTGATTTTTTGTTGTTAATTATGGTTGGTCGAAAAAAAAACAGCGTCAGAGTTGGCTGGGAAATGAAAAAAAAATTCTAAGCCCCTCTGACGTCATTTTTTTTCGATCATACTGTACTATAAACTATAACAACTCCAGAAATGTTCTTCTTCAAATATAGAAGAGTTACATTTTTTTGGACTATGTCCAATATATTTTAAAGACATAAAATAAAAATTGGATAAATTCAAATCACAAAATACCATACCATCGAAAAAAAAAACGGCGTTAAGTTGGCTTGGTAATAACGATCTTCATTTCAAAGTCAACTCTGACACCGTTTTTTTTACGTCGCGTGTGGTTACATCCAACATCAATATTTATTTGAACCATATCATCGAAAAAGGGGTGTTATAGTGGCGTTTGAAATGATAATTTTCTGTTATTTCTACGATACTATATTTTTAAAAATTGACATAAAAGCTCTTTAAAAATTGACATAAAAACTCGTCAAAAATTAAAATTTAAATCAGTGATTGTAATTTCAAAGGTTACTGTGATGCTGCTTTTTTCCCGATCATTCGACTATGAAAATACTGTACGATAGAGAAAAAATAACGTCAGAGTTGGCATGAAATTAAAATTGCCGTCACACATTTCTAAGCAGACTCGACGCCGTTTTTTTTCGATCGTATAAGTCCAACTTGAAGAAATCGTATTTTCTACAAAATGAACTGTAGAAACATAAAATCAAACACTCTAATGGTAATTATAACATCATAAAATCGACTTAAACATTTAAAAACCGTGAATATATCTACTGTACGATCGAGAAAAAAAACGGCGTTAAGTTAGCTTTGAAATTACGATGAATGACATTCTAAGCCTACTCTGATGCCGTTTTTCCCCTCGTTATCGTGCGGTACTTATTTTTCATTAAAATCTATTAGAGATTACACTGGTAGATGGTAAAGAAAAAGTTAATATAGAAAAAAAAAACTAGAGTTTGTTGGATTATAGTAGGCATGTTATTTGTGAATCACTGTTCATCATTACGCGCATTTTTTAGAGAGAAATAGCTCAGTGACTGCCATTGTATAATGTACATATTTTTTATAATAATCGAGGAAAAGAATATAAAAAGATATATATCGACTTCATGCTTGAAAGAAAGTATTTAAGTTTCAAACACGAGAATTATATATTTTGGGATATAAAGAAATCACGAATATAAGGAATTGGCAATATTTACATTGAAACATGTTATTGGAAATTTTTTTATCGAAATTCGATTGTTTCTGTTTTTATTATTGTATTTATATATATATATATATAGAGAAAAATCTATCTTATTATTATAAAAATCACATACTAATTTTTTATTAGACATTGAAAAATAAATGTGTGTAAAAATATAAACAGTCTTTCTTTCCTAATAACCTAGAAGTTCTCAGGATGCCGTTGAATCTCTTCTAATAGTCTTTTTTCTACGAGGGGCACTAATAGTCTGTCTTCGGCTAAATTAAAACTTAAAAACACTGCTTTGTTGAGTTTCTTCGACAGTCTCCTGGCTATGTTGCTTCCGCACTGTTCCATGATGTTTCCCATCAAAGTAGTACAACTAGGGACATCGCTAAATCGACTAAGCATAGCTAATGCTAAATTGTTGCAGTCCATTTGGTCTTTATCGTTAACGAATACGAGTAAGCTATCTTGCATTTTCACTACTTGATATATGATTCTTTTTTCGGATAATACGTCTGAAAACGTGTAGATTTTTGACTGGGGCTCCACGAATTTGTATTCGGCTTTCTTGGAGACTTCAGCCATATTAAAACAGCGAAATTAACTTAAATTCTAAAAAATATAAATTGTAAATAATCATCGATATTTAATAGGTTAAAAAGAACCACAGAAAAGAAATAAATTTGTCTAACCCATCAGCTGTCTTTATTTATTTTTGTAGTTGTCTTTGTCTAATAATTTACCATAGATTCTAATTTGATCATTCTCCTTTTGATTATTTTTTCAGGGCACTGGCCAGATGACCTGTATAAGTTCAAGCCATTTAAGAATAAAGAAGAAGAAAATATAAGTCAGATCTGTGGTTGCCCATGCTTAAAACCGTAAATATAAAAAAGAAGAATAATGCTTTCTTCTGTGGGTATTGTTCTTTTAAGACCTGAAATATGAAAAAGAAGAAGAGTGCATGTGGCGCCATTGTGGAAAAAGTGAGAAAATTATGAACTAAAATTTTTCCAGGGTTGCCAAGATATTAGCGAAATCCTGAAACTAATTTAAATCAATATTTTAGTAAGTCTAAAATTAATTGAACCGTTACAAAACCATGATAAATCTAATAAACATATAATTCAAAGTTTCTTTCAGTGAATAAATAACATATTTCCTTTTTAAACACGGCATTATTTATAAAGAAAAAAACGACCATTCCGTTTTACATGAGTTCAATCTGACAACGTTGACCGTTGACCTGCGACATTTTGTGTGACATTTTCCGTTGTTTTGTTAAGAGCAAGTGGTTATGTCCCTGTTACAATTTTCGTAATTTTTTGATAGAAAAACTGATTTTTCTGTGCATTATTTGAGTTTATTCAGTTCCTTAAGGCCTGTTTAAACTCCTGAAAATGTAAGTACCCATTATTTTGCCTGCTTTCTATAGTTTTTTTCACTTTGAAATATTTCAACTACATCATCACTAAATCCTTACAGATTTTTCATATTTTTATGATTTTCTTTTCCTAAATTGAGTATATGAAAATATATTATATACTTTTCTTGATGTCTCTATTGTACATTAAAAGTCTAGTTGCTTCAAATTTAGAGATATCTGATATTTTTTTAGTTTAAAGTTTAAAGATGTTATTTATGTCAGCGATGACTATGAAATGAAGATCGCTGTCATTTTATATGTAAATTTATGGCAAATGTACTCAATTTTTCAATTTGTACTTATTAATATATTTTTTCTTGTAAATAAAGGATTTTTCAGCTTAATTAAATTTCAAATTTGAAAATTGTGGCGCCAAAAGTTGAACAGATACATCCGGATACATCCGGTAAGAGCTTGAGTCACGTTAAAGACTTTTGAAGACATTGAGTCAAGTTAAAGACTTTTGAAGTTATTTTTTTATATAATTTATCATAAATTTATCTCATATTTACCGTTTCTTATTAAACTAAGGGATATTTATTGAATAAAAACACTTGTTTCTTAATAATTTATTAAGATATTAAAGAAATGCATGATTTTATATTTTATAGTTCATCTAATTTATGTGCGTACCAGATAATTTCAATATAAAATAAGTTTTGTATGATATTTTATACTGGAGGGAATAAATTCAAATAAAGACAAATCATTTAATTAATTTAAGAAGCATCTGTGGAAGCATATTCTACTAAAATTTTAATAAAAACCATCCATGTTTATTAAAAAAAGTTAAAATCGAGGCATCCAAGAGCAAAAAATACTCGATCGTGATTGGTCAGTTTCGGTCGCGTGGAGATTTTGAATTTTATTCTCGTTCGATGTTGTCGGATTGTTAAAAAATTCCGAAAATCTTTTTTTCTGTATGATTTTTGTGAAATTATATTAGTTTAAATTTATCACTGGCACTATAGTAAGGGCCGTTGCTATATATTTTTAATAAAACAAGTACTAGTAATGTTGTTTTGTAGAAATTTCTTTTATTTCTTCTTGTAGCTACGTACTAACATTATAGTCTTTATTCTTGGTTTCGATGTATTTATAGCATTAAAAATATATTTAAACAGCTTCATTTTATGTTTATTTCATAATTTTTGTGTGTTTATGTTTATAATTACTTATTTGTTTCTTATTTATGACAATAAATATTTTACCTTACGTAAAAAACGATATCAGTGGAACGTATTGAGTAAATAATAACTTTTGAGAACAAAATTAAGCTTAATTTAGAAGAATTTTCCTATAAACAATTTTATTAGTAATAAATAAATCAATTTTATGAGCAGCTTAAATTTTACGAATGACTTCAATCTGGCAACGTCGGTCCTCCTTTTGTCGTTTGCAATCGGAGGATCCGCACGGTCCTCTCGTCGGTTGCATCGATTTTTTTAATTTTCTGACGAAAAAGTGCGTTTAGTGTACACAATTTATGCGTAATCTGTTACTAGTGCCCTGCTTAGCCTCCTGAAAAAGTGAGTACCCGTAATTTTATGTATTTTTTGAGATATTTTAGTTCAAAATTTTTGGATTTCGCAATATCCATCATGGCAGCCTTCTTCTCAATGTTCCCCATTAAGTTATTAATTTTTAAGAATATTGTTTAAATAATATACGTAAATTAATAAATAAGTATGTAAAACTAAGGGTAAAATAATAGTACTAATAGTACTACATTTTTGGTAAATTACGTAATGTATCTTTGACTTTTTGTTGAATTTTTTCGGTCAAGGAATGTTTAAATAAAATGGCCGCCTGTTGGAATTCGATGTCTTGATTTTTTGTAAATTGCTATTTTTAATTTAAATTTCTTTTTATAGGGTATACTTAGAGTTTTCTTTATTTTTTAAAAATATAATATGCGCATTTTAATAATATTTTGAATGAGTAGGTTTTTTGTATTTAAGTTTTGAATGGGTATTAGGAATTTTATTACGTATTTTTTTTATTTAAGATTCCTACATATTTATGTTTCAGCATTTTTGTAATGATTTCTGATATTGGTATTTTAAAATATATTTCTTTTTTAAAGCGCGTTATGTAATATTACATGTTAAAAAATAGTATTAATGTTGACAAACGATTTTTGCTAATTCAGTATTAGTTGTAAATTTGCATTGAAGAAATAAATCGTTACTGAATTTTTATAAAAATTAAAATATTTTGAAAACAGCAAGTATGATTATTATTTGAGGTAAATTTTGACCGAATGTTTTTTGTCTTCATAGTAGAAACTAAAAATGTAATAAAATATATAGGATGTCTCATTGTTAAAAAAAATATAACTTTAATATTTTTTATTTATTTGAAACACTAGGTTTAACTTATTTTAGCTCTAAATAATATGATATACAACTCTAAAAACTCCTTGTGTATTTTTATTTTTTTTGTGTGTTACATAATGGAAAAATTCTTTGGATTTTGACCATATTCATCAAATTTATATCCCTTTTTTCCTTAGATCATATAACATCTTTATATTTTTGACATTTTTGGTATAATAATCAAGGAAAAATCTTATAAAATATTGCTGAGGTATAAATGGAGCATCTCTTTTTTCATTTAAAATAAATATACCTATTTATATATTGTCGTAATATTTTTATAGGTGTTCGATAATATTTTTATAGGTATCCCAATATTTTTTCTTTTTTTAGGCGCGTTATATTAATACTACAACACTACACACTCCTATCCCACTCACACGAGCATTGCTAGCTCTCTGTGTTGGTTAATAAAATTTTCTAATTCAACATTAGTGAATTTCGTTAGCTGATGCAGTTGGTTAACAGTGTTTTTGTCGGTGGGGATTCCTGGGCTTAAGATGACTCCAGAGCGCGGCGCGGCCTTCCCCAAGAGAGGAGACTTCTTGGGTCACACCCTAACCCTGATGTTCGGGCATCGATGACCTGTGTAGCATGCAGAGGTACCCAAGGGAGTCACCACCCTCTGGTTTACGAGCTAGGTGTTCTAATGCTAGAGGCTTCGGCCGGATACAACCTGGCACCCAAGCTCCGAGATTTCTTCGTGCACGTATTCCGTGACCCTCGAAGAGGCAGGGGGCGGGATATCGGACACATTGAAGATGATGAGGGGGGTCCGCCTGTAGGGGGTCCCGGTGGATGTCCGTCCGACGGGTGATGAGGGTGACCCCAGACGAGGCGGCTTAATTGGGATGGGAACTGACTGGTGAGGCTTAATCGTCGACCAATGGGTCGAATCTGCATAAGGAAGGCAACCAGCACACATTCGCAGGCGGGTCGTGGAAACATTTTTTTGTTTTTTCTCTTGGTCTGCCCCGCGTCGAATTTTGAAGGCAGAAAATGTCGGGAGGAGGCGAGCATAACCAGGCCTAACTTAAACCTGTTAAAAGTAAGTCTAATTTTTTTATATTACTTTCTTTAAATTGTAAACTTTTACTGTACTCTCTACCAAATAACTTTTCTATCGCACCATATGACAATCAAAATTCTTTTTATAATATATGTAAGTGTTGTATATTTTAGTTTTTTTGTTACAACATACATGAGCTTCAATTTAAAGTAGAATAACTTGTATAGTAATTAGAGCAACTTTTTTAAAACTTATAGTAGATATAAGTTTAAATTCTAACTTAACTTGTAGTTACTTATATAACTAATTTTTTTTTCATTTTTTTAGGACAACCCGGGTTCGCAGCGCGATTTTAAAAAACGAGATTGAAGAAGTCAGAAATTCTATCTACATGCTGCATATATGATCAGTCCCAAAACATTTCGGATTGGTCCAGGCACCGTCGAATACCTGGAAAACGTGTTTATTGTCAACTCTACAGGATCGACCGAAGTCCATGGAGTTGGGGGCATTCGATGTGCCCCATAGCAGTGAGACGCCACTGTTTTTTTCGCCGTATAATTATTATGGTGGGACTGAAAATGAACTTAAGCAAGATGTGATGGTGAGTTTTTATATTTTTACATTGTTTTTTTTGTTGTCTATAGCTTGTTTTTTGTTTCTTTTAGCATATGTATTTGTTAGAAATATTCTAATTTTTTTTTCTCTTACAGGTAATACAGTATGGCTTGGAGAACTTCAAAAGTCGGTTCGCGTCGTGGTTCCAAAGCAGTAACTTTAGGTTCCCTACATTTACTTGCATTAAGTACTCATTTTTTAACTTGCAATTTTTACATTTCATTTTTACTTTTTTTCTTACTCTATACAAGGCTTTAATAAAAAAAGTTTTTTAGCAATAATGGTAATAAAAAAATAACTCCAAGAGACAAAATTAGGTAGCATATTGTTTTTCTATTATATTTGGAAATAACTATTTTTCGTCTTATTTTAAAATTGATAATATTATTTAATTTTTTTAATAGTGATTTTTAATTAAACGTAAATTAGTAAATAATGTAATTTTACATTATAGTGAGAATTAAAGTATTAGTAATTTATTTTTGTTACTAAAATTAAATTCAGTTTGTTCCTGCATAAATCTTTTTAGTACTAAACTGCTTTGGAATGAATTTTTCTGGGGAACAACAGCAGGATTAGAGCCATCCTCTAGATGCCATCAGGTAAATTTATATAACTTTATATTTATCATCTTCTTTGACTAAAAAAGGGTTTTTCTTTTTTTAGGTAGGTGCGCTAGCGTAGTCGTTTGTTGTAGCATTATATCCCTTTTCCCCCTTTTTAAAAAATGTTTGTAAGACGCCTGAAATTTGTATAAGTTAGTTATATAAGTAGTTGAATAAGAATTGGTGAGACATGGAAAATAGAAGAGGACAGAGAAGATGGAAGAGGATTGCTTTGAAATAGAAGGAAAGGAGATAGATGTTTGAGGAAAGGAGGAGGACTTTGTTCGCTGTAACGGAAGTTTTTTGAATGAAATTTGGAGCAACTGTATTAAGGTAATTTTTTTCATCTAGTTACAAAAAATAAATACTTATCACAACTTTTTATTTTTTTATAGATGTTATTGGTATCTTGGACGTCAAGTTTCATTTATTTATGTATTATACAAGCATATCTATTGGGGTAAATGTAGAATGGCAGCTGTTATAACAACTTGGATGAATTATTAGAAACACCAAAGAAGTTTTGACATAATTTAAACTGGGAAAAGGCTCACAGATGACCAATTTATTCTACAGTAGATACAGGACATTAAATTGACTTCAGCAACGCAGATATCTCTCAAAAATGGTAAGTTTTTTTCACATTATTTTCTTTCCTATTAAAGTTTTTGGAAAGCGTGGAAGTTAGGACATATTTTACACTATAATGTGTATATTTCAATAACTTTAGGTGCAATATTTAATTTTAAATTTATTAGGAGAATTTTTTTACTCAAATCAACTTAATTTTGTATTTTGCCTATCTATATTGATATTACAATGTTTTCTTATTTATTTTAATTTTCTACATTGATACAAATTAATATACTTATTAATATTTGTTTATTTTTTTATTTTTAGATATCTGTTCGAATGATGTACTGGGCGTTAACAGTTGCTGTTACAAATCTGCAAATGAGTTACTACTGTACATAAGTTGGAGGAATGCCAAGGAATTTTTTGAATAAAATGATACTGAAAATCTTACCCACCCATGACAATTTTAAGATACAATCAATAGTATTTGGATTGATTGGCCTTCATTACTGTTGCGCTGTGAAAATGGTACGTTATTTTTATTTTTTTATTTTTAAGGTTACAATTTATGTATTTAACTACAAAATTGTAGGCTTTAAATTCGAAATAAAGTAAGTTTGAGATTGAAAATATATTAATATATTTTTTTTTCAATCTTTGTAGATATTTACAAATTTATCAGACAATTTTAATTTTATTTAGTATGTTTTCTTTTTGTAAAAATCTATGAATATTTGAAATATTTTAAAGAGTTACTATTGCGTTTATTTTTTTAATATCTACCTAACATATTAAAAAAAACAACATTTTTTATTCCAAAATGTGTGAAGAAACTGACTATAAAAATTTACTTATTTATTTTTTGTATTTTTAGTAAGCAATACAAATTGGTATTAATGGACGTTTTGACAGCTGTTTCCAGTCCAAGTTCCAGTTTTAATGGAAAATCTTTAATGGACACAGAAAAATGCCATTTACTGGATTGACTTCAACACCTGTTGCTTTTTAATAATGGTAAGTTATGCCTCTCAACTTATTCTTATAAAATTTAAAAATCTTATTAAAATATTAAATTTTCCATCATATTTAAGCTCTTTTGGTCCAATATTAACATGCTCTATTTTTTACTGTTTTTTTTTAACTAAAACAATAATAAAATGGATTATTAAAGGCAGGACAAAATAAAATACACTGTATTACTGGTTGCATATAGCGATCTTGGAAAAAAATGCAGTTTTTAAATCTGGTTTTCATAATTATTAAAGTTTCCAATAAGATAGGCACAATAAAATTACGGTATAATAAATATAAGTTGATTTATTTTATTTTGATATTTTTAGTACAGCAGATACCTTATTTATATTTTTTTCGGTCGTTAAAACCGCAAATATTAATATAAAAATTATAATTATTTTTTATTAGAGTCTATTTAAGATTTTTATTGTTTGTGACTTATTTAAATTGGTATAATAGCCGTATATTTATGATTTTACATAGTTCTAAACAAGTTCTAAATATTAATTTTTTTTTTTTTCGTTTTTAAAAATCTTTAAAAATTGATTCATTATAAAATTACTTAATACTTTTTTTGAATTTTAGGTAAACAATGGGACAATTGCTGTTAGAAGTCAACAAGTAGTACTAATTGCAAATAATATATTATGGCGGACATCAAAAAGCTTTAAATGGAATGAAACTTGCAGAAGAAGACTCAGAAAGTCCATTTAGAACTGTACTTAATAGCGGTTAGAGTGGATGCAGTCCTTCATCAATGGTAAGTTATCTCAGGCGTCTCTAAATGCAAAACCTGACAAGTCCATTGAAATCAATTTTACAAAATACACTAAAAGTTATTTAAAACGTTATGAATAGTAGAAAGAATAATAAATCTACCTGACTGAATTTATCTGGTGTATTATTTCTTGAAAATATCTTTAACAAAAATAATTCTAAATAAGGAATTAAATGGTCTATACATTTCAATTTTCCAAAATGGGTCACTTGTCGGGTTTTGCATTTAGACGTCTCATTTATTTATTTAATTTTTTTTTATTAAATTTCTTTGACAAGGTTGAAAATTATGATAAATTTAGTATGAACAAACTGACGTCATAATTTCTTTTTATTACCTATTTAAATTTTTTATATTTTAATTTCTTTTGTGCTTTTAGAGAGCTGAAGAAATTGATGGTAAAGGACATTTTGACAGCTACTGTTACAACTCAACGAACAAGTTGCAGCTTTGAAGGAAAATATTTGATTGGATACAGAACAATGTCAGTCATTTCAGGATGTAAAGTTAATAGAACCAGGGTTGGGCTCGACATCTCTTACCTTTTAATAATGGTAAGTTATTTTAATCATTTTATATACAGAGATTTTCATACAACTGGTTCATTAAAAGTTTTTCACGGTATATATTTTTCTAAGTCCTGTAACTAGTTTAATTTGGACTAAATTTCGTTTTAAAACACTTTTAATGGACTAGTTACGTGAAATACCCTGTATGTATTGTCATAAAATGGCATTGATAAGCTTCAAAATTTTGTAAAATGATTAAATTTTGCAGAATATTCATCATACTCTGCAGTTTGTACAGTGTTACACATTTTATTTTGCCCTAAATTTTAACAGGTTTTAACTTTTTTTATTTTAGAAGCTAGAACATTCATTGAAAAAAAAGAAATTATTAAGTTTTAACTCAAGTTTTAATGTGTATTTTTTTAAATGGATGACCCAATACATTAAAAATATATTAGATGGCACATTTTTTAATTTCTGAAAGACACTCGTGCCCTTTCTTTGTAATAGTTTTATCAAAAGTTAATAAAAAATACACCAAAATTATTATGTTTATTTATTTATTTTTTTAATTTATAGGGCATTTACTTGAGAGTGTTTGACATTTATCATAATAAAACCGTATTAAAACTTGACTGGAAAACTAATATAATTGTTTTTTTTTAATTAATATTAGAGCTCAAAAAAATAAAAAGTTATGGCCAGTTGAAGTGGAAAAAAATACAATGCTAACAGTGTTTTATTGGTTGCATATCTTTAAGTTTATTTCAAAATTATTAAAGTTATCACCAAAATAACGCAATAAATTTATGAGTTTTTACTAAATATTATTTTTTTCTTTTTCTATATATCTAGTAAATTAGATATTTATTTTTTGGATTATTAGTAACTCATTATAATAATGTTTTATTTTCTTATCAAGGAATTTTACAATTTTTTATATCATTCCTGAAGTTATCAATAAAAGTTTTTTTTTTAATTTTATACAACTCTTTATAACTTATTCAAATTAATATAAAGAAATGTCTATTATTTGTTATGTTACATAGTTCTAAATATTAACATAATTTATGTTATTGTCTGTTTTCTGATAGCTTCGAAAATTCCTATAATAAAAAATTATCTAATATTTTTTTTTTATTTAGGCATACGATAGGACAATTGCTATTAGAAACCGATAAGACATACTAGCTGCAAATAATATGTATGGTGGTCATAAAAGAGATTTAAATGAAATGAGAGAGAGAAACTCTTGTGCAGAAGAAATCAAGGAAAACCATTTTGAACTGCTGTTACTTAATAGATTGTTAATAGCTGTTAGAGGGGGTCCAGTTCTTCATCAATGGTAAGTTATTTATCTATCTTTAATTTCATTGGACAGCTTGAATTTTTTTTAAATATATACAAGGGCTTTTGTTCCAATATTAGAAAAGTCAACAACTATTAAAAATAGGCAGGACAAAATAAAATGCTGAAACTGTATTACTGGTTGCATATTGTTAGGGATTCTGTTGGTCCACTAATTTAAAGTCACGATAAAAATACTTAGAGGATTTATTTTCGCACTATATACACACAATTTATTGCTGATTACAACACACAATTAACTATTTAAAAAAAATCCTTCGCCAAATTGTCAACATTCGCTATTCAAAACTGTTTGGTTTAAAATTACAGAACTCGTCACACACACCTTGACGATATATTAATGTTCCCTCTAGAATAAACGCAATAAATATATGTATACATATTTTAATAAATCTTTTTTGTTTTGTTTTTATTAATCTTGTTTTCAGAAATCTTCCGAAATTAGTATAATAAAAATTTACTTAATATTTTTTTGGAATTTTAGGTTTACGCTGGGACAATTGCTGTTGGAAATCCACAAGCCGTACTATCTGCAAATATTATGGTGGACATAAAAAATGTTTAAAATGGAATGAAACTTACAGGAAAAGACTCAGAAAGACCATTTAGGACTGTACTTAATAGCTGTTGAAAAGTGGTCGCAGTCCTTTATCAATGGTAAGTTATCATCAATAATATTAGGTCTCTGAGATCAACGTCTATTCCTATATGTCATTTATTAAAAATTGATATAAAAACTTGTCAAAAATAATATTTAAATGAAAAAAGGAAAAAGGTTTCAAACATACCAATTATTATTCAAAGGCGAAAACCTTAATTTAAAAAAATATGAGCTTTGAATTTTTTTAACATTTCATTCTTTAATTTTTATAAATTTTTTATAAATGATATATTGTGGTCTACCTGGCAGAAATAATTGTTATTTCAAAAGCCACTATAATGCTGTTTTTTTTTCTCATAGGGTATATACAAATTATTAGTTTAAAAAACATAGTTATTGCATTAATAAAAATATATTTATTTTAATTTTTACATTATAGACATTAACTTATAGGAGTTAATGGTATAGATCGTTATATTCCTTTTTTTAATATTATTTTTATTTTATTTTTTAGATATCTCTGCATTTTCTTAACAATGGATATCAGCAGTTGCTCCTACTCCTCACTTTCCTCTTTCACTCATCACAAAAACTCAATACTCCTCAATGCCTCACCAAGGTTCGTTAGCTTCATTAATAGTGTTATTGTTTCAATAAATTTGTTTAGTGGTTTTTATCCTCTTACTATATAATTATCTCTGGCGTCATTTTAATGTTAATTTTTTGTAAAATTTTGATAATCTGGATAGAAACCTTTTTTTTTCTTAAGCTTTTGCAATGTAAAACACTAGTTCAGAGCAATACACTTTATTTTATGAATAGGACCATTAGGCCTGATGAATAAAGAGAAGCAATTGCTTTTTCTATAGAGCTATAGAACTTTTTCAATCTCGCCTATCTTATATTTACTTCCATTAGTTCAGTCATTAAATTATTATTAAATAACTATAATTTGTATTCTGGATTTCGTCAAAGGTATTTTTTAAAAGAATTAAAAAGCAATCTATAGGCTACAGTATCATTTCCAATTTATTTTTATCTTGTATTATTTATATTTTCCTAAGCTTCTCTAAGTTTATTCCAGATTATCAAAATTATAATTTTTATACTTGCGCAGCTGCGTCACTATTATAGCCCTATGAACACAAGTATTATTTTGGTTTTAAAGTTTATGTTTTTTAATATTTCATTTATTGTATTAACGCAAAACTAAATTTTATAGAATTTAACTAACTATATCTTCAACCGGATGATAATTTAATGGTTAATGGTCAATTTAATATTTTTTCATAAAAATTAAATGTGATTATTGAATACTAATGTCAAGACAGTAGATATGATTTATTAGTGTTTATTTTTTCGGAAATATTTTTTTTTACTAAATCAATTTTGGACACTTGTGTTCATATAGTTTTTTTTTGCTTTTGATAATTAATATTGGTACCCTAACACCGATGTTTTAAATCAATTTATATGATTTAAAAACATTTATGTTTATATCTATTTTGTCTTAAATTTTAGTGATAAAGTTTGTTTTTTGAGCACAAAGAGCAATGCACTTCATGCATTGCTTTCTTTTTTATGTGCAGAATCATCTTTATATACAGTCTGTCCTCAGAACGTCTTTACAAGAGCAAAAACTTTTTTTATTAATATTTTCATAAAAGATACATTCCTTATAAAAATATTTTTCTTTTTAATATTTTCATTTCAATTTTTTTAACAAATATATTGTGAGCACACATTTTGAAATTATTTTTCGTAGATATACTGTGCGATTCAAGTATATTTATACTAAAATTGTGTTTTTTTAAATGCAATGTTTTTTTATGTATGTACTAGTTAGTATACCACTGTAATCCAATCAAAATTGCATAAATTAATTATTTTAGAAGAGTTCAATTGAAAATAAATACATGAATTTTAACCTTAAGTATTACTGGTTGCCTAATCGATTCTTATGTAATGTTGTGGTAATGTTCTTATTATTTAAAAAAGTCTTATTTCCAGTAGTATTTTTTCTCTCAATTTTAGTATTTAAAATGTCTCTATCTTGTCATATTTATTTAACATATCTATTAGACCTCTACTCAAACTTTATCTCCTAAAATTTATGAATTTTACATATGAAAATGGTCTCCTAGGGTATATAATATATTTATTGTAGGATCAATTGAAATATCTTAAGTCATAATATAAAAATTAACAGTCGTAGATATATCTGTTAAATATATAATTTTAAGATAAAACACATTTTTACACAAAAATAATAATTCTAGTTTTATATGTGGCATATCTTTTTTCAGTTGGTCCTTTAACATTTAAAATCTTTTGGCATAGATTTCATTCCACTTTAGTGTCACAAAAAGATTTATTTTAATACCAATTTTGTATGTTGTTTGGTGTATTAGAATTTTATAAATATTGTTTTTAATATTTTGTTAATAATAGTGATCTATTATAGCTTACCTTTGCTATCTGTAATAGGAAATATTTCTAAATATTTTTTGTTGAAAATAAATATTACTTTATAACATTTATTAAGCAAAATAAATTTGAAGATCCCTATTATTATCAAAGAGATATCATTAAAGTATTTCAATACAATATCTTTTTTTTCAAACGTTACAAAACTATTAATTTTTGCGACATGATGACAACAAAGATTGTAAGTTAGTTTCTCGATATATAATTACTTACAAAACATATTACTTTTAAATATTTTTATATTTTTTGCAACGTTTGAAATTGTTTAAAACATTATTTGTGACGTTTGAAAAAAGAACATGTTCTATTCGGAGTAAAAATTATGTTTAGTGTCTTGTCTGTACTGTCGAACGTACAGTCTCGCCGCATAAACTATCATTTTTACTTCTAATAAAACAATATACCGTATGATCGAAAAAAACGGCGTCCAGTTGGCTGGGAAATAACGATTGAGTACATTTGCCATAAATTTACATATAAAATGACAGCGATCTTCATTTCATAGTCATCGCTGACGCTATTTTTTTTCGATCATATAGTACGGTATTATTTATATTATTGTTTTAATATTTCGCACAACACGTGAACGCTTATTATGTATTTTTATAGTCAATAAAATTAAATAGAAATAAAACTCTAGATTCCTACAATTAATCTAATTGCTTAGATTATTTGTGTTATTATGCTACGTTTAAAAAGTGCTTTATTAAAAATTCGGAAAATTCTTCATTTCATAGCCATCGCCGACGCTATTTTTATTGATAATATTGTACTATTTCTGTACAAATGTTATTATCTGTTTTCTATATATTATTGTGACGTATTGCTGTATTTTTGTTATAAAAATGTTTTGTATACATCTATATTTTGTAAGCGTTTTAGAGATTCCGAGCAGTACGTTTACAGTCGTTTCTTTTTTCATTTTAAATATTTTTTTGTCGTGTCTAATAATTATTAATCAGCTAATTAAGAATCTTTTTTTAGTAGGTAAAAATGAATAATTTATATTACCAGAGTATTAGGCCACTCTTGAGTTCCAAAAATAATCATGTTAAGTCTTCAGTTTGAGATTTTCCCTGAATTTTTTTTATAAAACGTACGGGTTACAGTAGACCATATTTTAAAGCCAGTTCGTAGTAATATTTTTGCTTTATATTGGTAGTATTTAAATGAAATGTTATTCAAATTTTAATTCTATTGTTATTTTAGATTTTTCCTGTACATTTTTAAAACTTTCACAAATTTATAAAGTCGTATTTTTTTTAATTGAAAATATTTTATATAACAGAAGATCAAAACAAATTATACTAAAATACATTATAAATTAATTGTTGGTAACTAAATATAATATAATGTCTTTCTCTGCTATTTAAATAAAACACCCTTAATGTTATAATAATATACTTTATAAATAACAAAATTGTGGCATTGTGAATATTTAGAAATTAAATATATCCAGATATTTAAAAGTAGAATATATTAAAAAAATGATACTTAAGTAATTACTACCTAATTCAAATTACTCGACACAAATAAATTACATTAAATAACATTCTTATGAGCTGATACTGTTGTTTTGTATGCATCTGGCAAGCTTTTTCTGGAATAATTTATTTAAGCACTTATCAATTATCTGAACTAATTTTAAGGCTGTAAACTGTAGTTTAGGAATCTTTAAGATATTTAGTCAGTGATGGGATTAAGATTTGTAATTGTGTAATGATTAATCCACCACTGTACTCCAGTAGAAAATTGCGTAAATTAATGATATAAAGCTCATTTTACATAGAAAAATCATCTGAAAATAGTTATCTCAATTTCTTTAAATTTTAGTATAACTGGTTGCCTAATCGATTCTTACTCATTCAAACAACTTAAAAGTTAAAATTTGTAGAATAATTAATATATTTGTTTATTGCTTTCTAAAAAAAATCGTTTAAATTACTACAGGGTGGCTCAGTGTTAAATAGTTTTTATTTGAGATTTTCACTTCAATCTTTTTATTACAAAATATGCCGGTAATATTAGAGCACATAATAAAGCCATTTAAAATTTCAGTTAACTAGAAGTTTACCTTGTTATTTAATATGTTTTTTATTTATTTATCAACTATTCACTTCAATTTTTTTTGTATAATTTTAATTCATGCGATGAGCGATTAATTAATTTATGCAATTTTTAATTTTATATTAGTTTAAATGGAAAATAAACAACAAACCTTGTAAAAACTTCCATTGTTAAAATGTTTATTTAAATTGTAATCAAGGAAAAACTAACGGCTATGCTCTAAATTATAACGCAATGTTTGGTATACTCATGTGAATGGTATTTGTCACTTTCTCATGAGTAATATTTTCCGGCATTTTATCATTTCCACTTTGTGTGCTTTATTGAAAGTATTGGCGCTTGCTAGGAAAGGTTTATCAATCAATAATGTTGTACAGACTGTCCAATTGAGTTTTCTCGCTCATTAGTAAGGATAGGACATTGCGATTTTTATAAACTTGATTTTTATGAAAAATAAAATTGTCACGGTCCCCTTTTAGTTTCTATGATACAGGGTGATTTTGAAAATGTTAGTTCCTATTTCAGTAGTCTGACAACTTATCAATAAATTTTAAAACATATTGCTATTGAACTGCTTTTTTAATTTCTTTAAATAGTTTTTTTTTAAATATCGACCAATGTTTTAGTTTCTATTAATGGGGCAGCCCGTATATTTGTCAGGAAATTAACGTATCTTCTCACAAGCCACCATAAGTCACAGTTTTTAATTAGTCGTGAAAGAGTTTAAAACAAATTTTTTTTATATCCTATGTCATTGTTCTTAGTATTTGTATTTTTAGTTCTTTATTGTTTAAACTTTTCATTTAAAAATTAAATAGATCAAAATTGGTTTCGCCAATTAAAAGATAATAAATAGCAGCATTGTTTTGGCATGGTCCTATGTAAATTTTTATTTGTATTATTTAAAATTATTAATTCTGCAGCTTTTAACTAAAATATACTGTTACATATATTTTGAAAGCTTGTGAAAGACGAAGATTATTTTTTTGACAAGTATACAGGGTGTGTGATGAAAATATTAAGAAAAAACTTATTCTTATGCCTCTGGTTCCAACTAATATGTTCTAAGTATATGAATCTGTTTTTATTTTTTTTTTTTCAGACTACTGATATAATATGAGGTGTGTGTAAAACTGCAGCACATTGTATCATGGAAACTAAGAAGGCCATGACAATTTTGTGTACTGTTTCTTTGCTTTCAAGAAAAAAATAATAAGTTCATTTAAGTAACGAGTTCGACATTTAGTATTCTTTACTAATAAGCGAGAAAGCCCTTAATTGCAACTAAATGTGGAAATGACGAACCCGTTTAACATGGGTATCTCATGTTTTATAGTGTTTCTCCTTTATGAACGGAGATAGGAAGAAGCGGTTTTCGCAGTGGCTACTAATTTTTTATAAAATACCCTACGGTCGAAAAAAAACGGCGTGATGAACGGCAGCTTAAAATTACAGGGTAAAAATATTTTTTGAAAATAGATTTGTGTGTCTAGAACCGTTCTATCCTTTTTTATTCTTTCTATAATTAGTGTTAATATTGAAGTTTTATGTAAAATTTTACTAAATGACGTCTAGAGATTCACCTCGGCAAAATTATCATCGATTGTCATTCCCCAGACGCCTTTGACGTATTTTTTTTTCTTTTTTTAAATCACATGTTATAACCTTCTTAGTTTTTGAACTACAGGGTGATTTTGATAAATGCTTTTAACCGTCCCTTGTATTCAGATATAAAAACTTATTGTAAATGTAAAAACATAATTCAGTGTAACGTTCTTTTCAAAGCAAATGTTTTTATCTTAAAAAAATATGTTCATATTTTCAAATTTAAAAAAAAAACCAAGCCAACTATTGCGAAAATCTCAACTTTTTCTCTATCTGCGTTCATAAGCTAGAAACTCCCTAAAGCACGAACGAATGAAATTGATACACCCTGTACAGGTTAGCAATTTACTTTGTCCAATATTTAACAGGCTTTATAATTAGCAGTGGTATAAACACTGGACTAAAAAAAATAGTTTCTTTTTTAGGCCAAAAAATAAACCTAAACCTTTTTAAAAGCGAAATGAAATAAAAGCTAATAATATACAGAGTGTCCCATTTTTGTAGCAAATGTGGTATTTTTCGCTTTATTAATAAAGACCCTTACTACTTCTTTGTAAAATTTAATGTGCCAAGCAAAATTCTCGCGGCCTACTTTGTTTTCCTGCTACAGGATGTTACTAAAAATGCAATTTTTTTTTCTACCCTGCGTATCTCAGTTTTCTGATAAGAAGTTGAATTATTTCTTCTGGTAAGCACATACTCTAGCGGAAATCAAAACGGGGAAAAGAAACACACGAGATTAATTTGTATGAACTGTAGTAAGGAGCTTGTGTGTCTGTTTTCGCTGTTCTGCTCTCCGCTCCTGTATATGCTTAGCTTTATACTTTATGTGGAATCCAGTGTCTTAGTTTTCTTCTTAATATTTCTATTTGTGAAATATCGACCATTGTTTAGTTTTTTTTTAAATAGGACGCTTCATGTGTATTTATCTAGAAATTAATTTGTCTTTTTACAAGCTTCCAAAAATTCAT